AATCAATTTTGTCACTTTTTTCTTCGAGGGTTTATCAAAATGGATTGAAACTTTGCATAAATATTCCAATGCTAAAACAAATACAAATAAAACATCTTAAAATTTTTTGAGCAAAGAATCAAGTAGGAAATACATTTTCAATTTTGGACTAGTGGCGACCCTAGTCAAAAATCAATTTTGTCACTTTTTTCTTCAAAGGTTTATCCAAATGGATTAAAACTTTGCATAAATATTCTAGTGCTTAAAACAAATACAAATAAAACATCCTAAAATTTATCTGAGCAATAAACCAAGCATGAAATACATTTTCAATTTTGGAATAGTGGTGACCCTAGTCAAAATCAATTTTTTCACTTTTTTCTTCGAGGGTTTATCCAAATGGATTAAAACTTTGCATAAATATCCTGGTGCTTAAAACAAATACAAATAAAATATTCAAAATTTTTTTTGAGCAATGAACCAAGAAGGAAATACATTTTCAATTTTGGACTAGGGGCGACCCTAGTCAAAAATCAATTTTGTCACTTTTTTCTTCAAAGGTTTATCCAAATGGATTAAAACTTTGCATAAATATTCTAGTGCTTAAAACAAATACAAATAAAACATCCTAAAATTTATCTGAGCAATAAACCAAGCATGAAATACATTTTCAATTTTGGAATAGTGGTGACCCTAGTCAAAATCAATTTTGTCACTTTTTTCTTCGAGGGTTTATCCAAATGGATTTAAACTTTGCATAAATATTTTAATGCTTAACACAAATACAAATAAAACATCTAAAAATTTGTTTGAGCTAAGAACCAAGTAGGAAATACATTTTCAATTTTGGACTAGTGGCGACCCTAGTCAAAATCAATTTTATCACTTTTTTCTTCGAGGGTTTATCCAAATGGATTTAAACTTTGCATAAATATTTTAGTGCTCAAAATAAATACAAATAAATCATTCTAAAATTTATTTGAGCAATGAACCAAGAAGGAAATACATTTTCAATTTTGGACTAGTGGCGACCCTAGTCAAAAATCAATTTTGTCACTTTTTTCTTCAAAGGTTTATCCAAATGGATTGAAACTTTGCATAAATATTCTAATGCTCAAAATAAATACAAATAAAACATTCTAAAATTTATTTGAGCAATGAACCAAGTAGGAAATACATTTTCAATTATGAACTTGGGGCAGGTCTATTCAAAATCTAGTTTTTTATTTTTTTTCCGAAGGTTTATCCAAATGAATTGAAACTTTGCATTAATATTCTAGTGCTTAAAACAAATACAAATAAAACATCTTAGGATTTTTTTGAGCAAAGAACCAAGAAGGAAATACATTTTCAATTTTGGACTAGGGGCGACCCTAGTCAAAATCAATTTTGTCACTTTTTTCTTCGAGGGTTTATCAAAATGGATTGAAACTTTGCATAAATATTCTAATGCTCAAAATAAATACAAATAAAACATTCTAAAATTTATTTGAGCAATGAACCAAGTAGGAAATACATTTTCAATTATGAACTTGGGACAGGTCTATTCAAAATCTAGTTTTTTATTTTTTTTCCGAAGGTTTATCCAAATGAATTGAAACTTTGCATTAATATTCTAGTGCTTAAAACAAATACAAATAAAACATCTTAGGATTTTTTTGAGCAAAGAACCAAGAAGGAAATACATTTTCAATTATGAACTTGGGACAGGTCTATTCAAAATCTAGTTTTTTATTTTTTTTCCGAAGGTTTATCCAAATGAATTGAAACTTTGCATTAATATTCAAGTGCTTAAAACAAATACAAATAAAACATTCTAAAATTTATTTGAGCAATGAACCAAGAAGGAAATACATTTTCAATTTTGGACTAGGGGCGACCCTAGTCAAAAATCAATTTTGTCACTTTTTTCTTCAAAGGTTTATCCAAATGGATTGATACTTTGCATAAATATTCTAGTGCTTAAAACAAATACAAATAAAACATCTCAAAATTTTTTTGAGCAAAGAACCAAGAAGGAAATACATTTTCAATTTGGACTAGGGGTGACCCTAGTCAAAATCAATTTTGTCACTTTTTTCTTCAAGGGTTTATCCAAATGGATTAAAACTTTGCATAAATATTTAAGTGCTTAAAACAAATACAAATAAAACATTTTAAAATTTTTTTGAGCAGTGAACCAAGAAGGAAATACATTTTCAATTTTGGACTAGGGGCGACCCTAGTCAAAAATCAATTTTGTCACTTTTTTCTTCAAAGGTTTATCCAAATGGATTGATACTTTGCATAAATATTATAGTGCTTAAAACAAATACAAATAAAACATCTCAAAATTTTTTTGAGCAAAGAACCAAGAAGGAAATACATTTTCAATTTTGACTAGGGGCGACCCTAGTCAAAATCAATTTTGTCACTTTTTTCTTCGAGGGTTTATCCAAATGGATTGAAACTTTGCATTAATATTCAAGTGCTTAAAACAAATACAAATGAAACATCCTAAATTTTTTTGAGCAAAGTAGGAAATACATTTTCAATTATGAACTTGGGACAAGTCTAGTCAAAAATCTAGTTTTTCATTTTTTTTCGAAGGTTTATCCAAATGGATTGAAACTTTGTATAAATATTCTAGTACTCAAAACAAATACAAATAAAACACTTTAAAATTGTTTTGAGCAAAGAACCGAGTAGGAAATACATTTTTAATTTTGGACTAGGGGCGACCCTAGTCAAAATCTATTTTGTCACTTTTTTCTTCGAGGGTTTATCTAAATGGATTGAAACTTTGCATAAATATTTCAGTGCTTAAAACAAATACAAATAAAACATCCTAAATTTTTTTTGAGCAAAGAATCTAGTAGGAAATACATTTTCAATTTTGGACTAGGGGCGACCATCAATTATTTGAATTGACATAATTCTGACATAAATCACATACAAATATTACTTTTTGTAATGCATAGCTTAAAAAAATCGAAATCTAAAATTTCGACTACCCCATCTGAATTTTGTTCATACTCTTCACTGTGGAAACCAAAAATTCTTTATCTTAAAACACTTGACAAAATAGCGTCATAATTCAGGATTAATTACTTTGTAATAATATTTTAACATTTACGAGAAAATGTGGTTCAAATAAGTGTGAAGTATGGTCGAGATTTGGACGAAAATCAGCTATACTGGTTTATGGTGTTCCCGAGGATGACAAAATTCAAACTAAGTGTTTTTGTAGCTGACATAATTATAACACAAATTAGGTTCAACTTTTGAACTGTGTCGATATGGGTCTCGGTTGTACTTCATGCCCACCCTTCAAACTTATGCTGAGCAAATCTTGGTCTATCCATAAAACTTTTGATGGTACGGTGTGAATATATCCGCATTGGGTTTCTACCCGATACACTAGTTTTCTCAAGCATTTTTTCTAAGGATTCAATGAGATTTATTTTCGTTGCTTGTTTTATAGTTTGAAAATTTCTTTTGAAAAGTATATTCGTGGCATCGAAAAATTATTTGAATGCGGATGGTGCTGATTATAATGTTTCATAATAGTCAATACTATAGATTTCATGAATGAATGTTGTAGCAGTTATGCAAATGATGAAAGGTATACACTAATGAAGTTTAATTATAGAGTTTTGTAATTTAATACCTATGAAAATTTTATAGCATGAAACTGATAAAGTTTGAAATCAACTTTCATCCGAACCATCATCTGTAAATGTACGTTTTGCACTTTTCTCATATCCTATTTAACCGATCCACAAAGTTTAAATGCTGTCGTTATGACAAAATTTCAAATGGCATATTACGAACTATGTTTAATTGTAATTTGTGTTTTTCATTAAGCATTAGGCGCTTGATCCTATGTTTACTCACTAACAGCATAAGCAGCGTTTCAAATTTTGTCGATCGGTTCAGTTATTCGCTCGAATATTAATTTTAAAGAAATAAATCAATAAAGTTTGTTGCGCTCCTGTAAATTCGTATCATCAATGCACTTCCTTTAAGGTAGTCTCAAAATTTTATAAAATATATTTTCGTCGATCTGCATTTTCAGATATACAGAATTATGCCTCTGCATTGGTCTTTGCATAAGTGAGAGAAATTTATTAATCTCTGATTTCCCTATAACGTGTACATTTTATTCATGAAGTCCAATACAAAATTTTTTATCGCTTAATTGCGCATGAAGGCAAAGACAGTGCTCGTTATAAATATCGAGACCACCTCATTGATACGTACATGGAATAAGAAAGAATTGAAAGGAAGCAAAAAAAAATCATTGAGAAAAATGTTAATTTGAATTTAACAACATCGCGCGCAGCGGATTTAATTTGATTATATTATGTCTGTTGCTTCAAAATTGCCACCCAATTACGAAAGAAACAAGCAAATAAACGAACTCTCATTCACAACCGAGAGCAATTGAGTTTGCATGCTTTTTTAATTTTTGTTCAACTTGGTCGGCGCCAATAACATTACTATATGAATCAATGAAGATTTTAATGCATTTTGACAGATATTCGATTTCATTCAGGTGTAGTATCTATTGATTATTGCCACTTTCTTCCATGAATATGAATTCTGATGACTGATGAAGAAAATGTAAACCACCAGTGAAGGAACTATTGAGTCAAGTGATAAAATCTAAATGTTGAATAACTCCCCTCCAAAACAATAATTTTCACTTCATTAAATACATGGAAGTGTGTCCATCAATAACCGAAATCGATACGATAAAGATTAACTATCATAATACTTAATATTCTCTGCTAGAAATAAGTTTTTGTCGTCATAAAAAATCATAAGGATTCCTTTTCAATGCAATCATATAAATCTTATCATTACTTCAGGGAATAAACTGTGAATCCTTCAGTCATAAAAATCGATAAATGTCACAATCTATAAATCAACTGAATTTGATGATAAAAAGGTCGATAAGTTATGGATTGAAACGTTCATGTTCTGCCTCTTTTGATATGAAACCACTTATTGATTTTAAGTTGCTACATAAAAATATTCTTGACATTTCACTTGATTATGTCTATAAGCGATAACATAGTAATCTATTATATTTCATAAAAATAAATAAACGTCACGCAAATTTCTCTTCTTATTTTTTCGGATATTTATTTAATACTTAGTGTATCAAAAGGATTGGAACTTTGCAGACATGAATTTCTCACTGTATCATCACCGAAAATTATCAGATATTATATCAATTCCAAAAGGACTTCCAGAACTTATGGCTGATATCACAAAACAAGTAATTAAATATCAACCGCAAAATTTGGAAGAATTTTTGGCTGAATATTTAGATGCACTCGTTCAGACTCGGGAATTCTTACATATTGCAGAAACTACTGTTGACGATGTATTGATCAATAGCTTACAAATAAAGGAATTGATGAGAAAAACTAATATGAGTCTGGAGCAGGCAAATCAGTGCTGTACAGTAATTAGAAGTGAGTTTTCAAAACATTTATCGCTAATTCAAAATACTAAGTCCATGAAAGAATTTGATGTCGTTAAACGACTGATTTATGAATGTAATTTGAGTATTGCACAAGCTAGAAAAGTTTCAAAAATTATTGAAATTTCCTGGCACTTTTTCTATCATCAAAACAAAACATCCTTGCTTAATAACAATTTACATGAATTAAGGCTGAAAAAAGAAGCTAATGATATCACCATTAAAATTCAAAGTCCAAGTAGTGTAGAGGCGGAAGAAGCAACAATAAAAATACAATCTTGGTTCAGACGACTAAAGATTAAGGAAAAGGAAAGAGAACAATTTAAATTGATGCAAAAATCTGCCACAATAATTCAGGCACTTTCTCGTGGTTATATTCAGCGAAAAAAAAATTAGTATGCCAAAAAAATAAAGTGACAATATTGTATAAAAAAAATTAAAAATTGAATATCAAATTTTGTTGTGCAGAGCAGTGCAGAGCTTCCTCAAACAGTAATTTAATTTTCATTAAGATATCATTAGTTTTTTTTTTCAAGGCAGTCATACCAGAAAGGAAAAGAAAAACAATAAATAATTAGCATTTAAATTAAAAAATATTGTTCGTCCAACAAGGAATATAAAAAAGAAGGGTCCATAAAACATAAAAATACATTAGCACGATAAGAAAATTGAAATTATATTTATGGTAAAAATTTGTGAAGGAAGACGATGTGATATATCTGAAAATTAAAAAGGAAAGTGTGAGTTTTTTTTTGCTTGCTTTATTTCCAAGAAAAATAGTCCTTTGGATTCTTTTGTCTTCAACTATTGTAATGCATTAATAAATCAGGAAATTAATATTTGTGGTTTTAAAAATGATTTGTATTTTTTAAGTTTGACATGAAGTTTTTATCAAACTTCATACGATAAATTTGGTCACTTCCAAAAAGGATAAATATTTAAAACATTGATATTTAAATAGGGTCATATTTATAGGCCAGGTTTAAATCCAATTATCAGCCTTTTGATTCTTCAAAGGTTTTGATACTTTTGCTAATTAGGTGCAGCAGTTAAAGACGTAAATCTAAGAATTAGGCAATTTTAAAACGGTTCATAAAATGATATAGTAAGAATATGATTAAAAAGAAAGCAATAGTAAATCCACCATGGAGAGGTTTTACTGATATGGAACCAAGAGACGTTGAAGCTGACTGAAAAATTGGAACGAGACCTATCATAGGCACTGATTTAAGATCTGAAAAATTGTGGCACTTAAATGCTCACTGCATTATTGCACAATTTAAGATGAATAAATAATTTTTTTTGTTTTAAATTTCTGTCCTTTATATTTTTTGTAAGAATATTTGAACAGCCAATTCCTACGCTTTTGAGCTTTGTTCCGTGTCATACAGAATTTGTCATTAAGATCCATTAAGATCCATTAAGATCTGTCAAACCTTAAATTAATTCAGTGAAAATAGATTTTCAGAAAGCTTAACTTTTTTCAGATTTATTAAAGGTGTGTCTTTTTTGAAGGTGGTAAATGCCAGAATCTTCCTTCCATAAAAAAAGCGAATGTAATAAGAGAACGAACCCAGATTGAGATTTTTAAAAAATGTGCATATTTTATCCAAGTATGGATATCTGTTATAACTTACTTCAATGTTTTAACTATTAATGTTGAAACCTTAATTTTAAGTGTTTCACAAGAGAGGGCGCTAGTTGACGACTAGCATTTTCTAATTGATAACTTAATAAATTAAATTTTTGATAAGAACTTTTTAATATTCTTAGTAATTTTTTTCCCAAAATGTGGTAGAATTTGCTTTTTAAAATATTTTAATAATTTCGTGCATTTCAAAAAGTCGAATAAGGTTGAAAATAATAAAAATATCCAAAAGGACGTTAACTTTAAATATTTCGATGACTTTGCTATTGAGAAACATTGGAATAGACAAAAAAACAAAAATAACAATAATTCGACATGTTTCAATGTGTTTGAATGAATGATCAATTCTACCGAACAGTCATTGAGTCAGTAAGCTGGAGTAAATTGAAGTGTTAAGACAAAACAAGCAACGCGTACGTTTCATAAATAAAATAAAATATAAAATTCTTAAAAATAGCATTAAAACTTCAATTTAAATGTTTGTTAATTGAATTAAAATATAAATAACATGGATTATGGATATACAGGAGGTTTGTTTTCTTAATATCTTTTAAATCTTTCGATTTTTTGTGACCTAAAAAAATAATTGATGCAAGCCTTAAAAAAGTGATGATAATGAGTGTTTTAACAATAAATTCACACGGGAATTTGTGCCAAAATACAATAAAACTAGCTGTAAACTGCATATAAATATTTTTAGAAATTAATTAATTCGATGATCATAAGAACACTTTGATCCCATATTTAGTAATTTCCATTCCTTTTTGAAATTAAAATCATTGTAATCTCAAGTACGACAACCGTTTTTGACCAACATTTCCAGTTATTTTCTCAATTTCTTCGTTTTCATCTTGAATTCCTCTACGTTTTTTTCTTCCTCTTCGGAATGATGCCATTCAGATTTAAAATATTGTATACGCATTATAAAAGTGGCCCGAAAAACCAGATATTTTTTCCCATATTCTGCTCTATGCTTTCAACACAACTAAAAATTAAACGAAAACAATTGTATAAAGAAGATTCTTAAAAGATTTCTTCAAGTAGTTCCGACCGGCTTTTATAAGAAATGATTTGTAATAGTGGATTTCTGTTTATGTCATAAGATATTTTTATAAACATTTCTCATCATTTTAAAAGCATTTAAAATTTAATAAAAAAAAATTTTATCTTCATCATAAGATCCAGCAATAGAACTTGTTAGAAATCAATATTTATAAATTTTCATTTTTATTGTGCAGCATCTTAATGAAAAATGATTATTCCGCGATTGATACGATCTGGGGGGAAAATTTGTTCATCTTTTAAGCTATGTGTGACCATATAGGAATTTCACGTACGATTTTTTTATATGTATTAGTTTTACACATATACATGTACTGAAGAATTCATTCTAAAAACACAACAAACACAAATGACTCATTTTAAATATCATATTTAGATTTGAATGATTATTATCTACAGCTATTACGTTCACCCAAAAATTTGTTTAAAATTAAACAAAAGATTTCAATTTTTTTCTCTTTGCGCTTTTTAAAAATTGTAAAAAAAATATGCGATTCGAATTGACTATCAATGTTTTCATTTGTTTTATTATATACTTCGTAATGGTTAATTTTTATGGCTTCAACATAAAAAAAGTATACCGAGCTAAAGTAGAATGAATTTTTATTCTTTTCTACATACATAGTACTGTTACATCAATATAAATATATGTTCTTGCAAAATCCTATATAAAAACAAATTCTTGTACTAATTTGCATACAACGTGAATAATTTTCGATTGTTGATTTTTTCGCAAATTATACTTGTTTTAAAGATCTATCCGTGTTACACATATGAGAGGCGCTTGAAATTTCAAATGTATTGTGAAAAAAACTTATCAGTTTTCTTATCATAACTGAATGATAAAGCGTTTAGTGTATGAGTGTGCTTTTAAGCAAACAAACATTTTGTGCTATTAGTTCATAATTACAAATAGACTTCAGTAGCAAAACAGCAACCTGAACAGGCTAGACAAGAATTATTATTACTGTATAAAAAAATTTTCATTAAAAAATATTGATTGGGTCATTTTTGCACGTATATCATCACTTGATTGATTATGTAAGAAAGGCATTCTAAAATGTCTCAGTATAGTCGTAAATTTGTTCTACAGACAGGTAATGAATTATTTTTGCATTATCGCCTAAATTTAATTAATTTAAATGTGATAATCATTGACTGCAATTAAGAGGTTTAATTAAATCATTGACGAAAAACGAGGAGAAGAAGAAGAAGACTTAATTAAAATTCCTCTGGGGAGACATTTGATTCGAACATACATACTTCAAAAATTAAGTTCATAAGCTAGATAGCACAAGAATTTACATTCATAAGATTTTCACATTCCTACTTATGAAATTCATGATAATTTTCGGTTTTTGCAAGAAAAACGACTTGAAACGAAATTTTCAATGGAACAGAATTTAGAAAGACTCACGTAACAGTCTATAAAAAGCTTATCTCTTATCGTGACAGTATTTAAACTTCTTTTTTGATAAAGAAAAAAAAATGAAAATATTTCCAATTCCTTAACAATACATAATTTTAAGATACATGAAATTTATGGGGAATGGTATGACGTCTAATTGTTGATAACATGTTTTTAGAAGCTAGTGGAAGTTTTATGGTTCTTAAAACAAAAATTATTATTTTACTTTTATGAGTGATAATGATTCTTTTTTTTTCGTTGTGTTAATAAGAATGATAAGAAGCTTAAATTATTACCTTCTAGCGAGTCAATATGAGCCGGGGAATTATTCGTTTGTTCAGGTTCAACAACGACCAGCAATGTCTCAAAGAGATGGAATCGCCAAATTTGAAAATGAAAGAATTAAAACATTGCAGGAGGAGCGTATGCACATTCAAAAGAAAACATTTACGAAATGGATGAACTCATTTTTATTCAAAGTAAGTAAATATGCAAAAATGTTTATTGCATTTTTTAACTCTCAAATATTAACTTTTACAGGCCAAGATGGAGGTGGAAGACTTATTTGTTGATTTAGCCGATGGCGTTAAATTGTTGAAACTACTTGAAATCATATCCGGTGAAAAAATCGGCAAACCAAATGGAGGAAAAATGCGAGTACATAAAATAGAAAATGTCAATAAAAGTAAGTACACACATATAAAAAAATTCCGAATCATTTTTTTTATGACTAAACTTGATTATTTCAAATTCCTTTATTATCTCCGAATTTAAAGGCTTAGCATTTCTACATACGAAGGTAATTCAATTCTTATCAATAAGATTCAATTTGATCATTTTATTTAATGCTTTGATTCTTTGATTAAAGGTCCGCTTGGAATCGATTGGAGCTGAAGATATAGTCGATTGTAAGGAAACTATATTTTTATCAGTTTGATGAAGTCATAGTTTAACTTTCTTCTATTTTCTAGGTAATCCACGCCTTATTTTGGGTCTTATCTGGACAATTATTTTACGATTTCAAATTCAAGAAATCGAGATTGATGTGGTAAGTCATAAAACCATTAAAATTGATACTCTTGAACTTCAAGTGATATTATTTATTGTATAGGATGAAGAAAATGAAACAAGTGAAAAGAAATCAGCCAAAGATGCTTTGTTATTATGGTGTCAACGAAAAACATCTGGTTATTCTGGCGTACATATTCAAGTGAGGAGTTTAAGCTGTCAAAACTTCATGCAAATAATAATTGCGGTTTTATAAAATTATTTATTTCGATAGGACTTTTCTTCATCATGGAGGTCTGGTTTAGGATTCAACGCTTTAATTCACTCTCATCGACCAGATTTGTTCGACTATTCCTCACTACAAGCTGGAAGAAACATCGAAAATTTGAATCATGCCTTTGAAATCGCTGAACGTCATTTGGGTATTCCAAAATTACTTGATGCTGAGGACATTGACCAGCCTCGTATTGACGAAAAATCTGTTCTTACATATGTTGCGTCATATTATCACACTTTTGCCAGAATGAAGAGCGAACAAAAGGGTGGAAAGAGAATTGCAAATATTGTTAGCAAAATGATGGATGCTGATAATAAGAAAGACCAATATGAGCAATTAACATCAGATTTATTGCAATGGGTTAGAATGAAGACTAAGGAATTAGAGAAGAGAGATTTTCCAAATTTGTTAGAAGGAATCCAACAAGAATTGTTGAGCTTTAAACAATATCGTACGATTGAGAAACCACCAAAATACAAGGAACGTAGTGAAATTGAAGCTCTGTTTTTCCATGTTAACACATTGTTGAAGTCATTAAATCAACCATCATACATTCCACCAGAGGGAAAACTTGTAAAAGATATTGAAAAGGCATGGCAGAAATTGGAATATGCTGAACATAATCGTGAAGTGGCATTAAGAAACGAACTTTTACGACAAGAAAAACTCGAGCAATTGAATTATAAATTCGAAAAGAAGTCTGTTTTGCGTGAAAACTATTTGAAGGAGATGATTCAAGTGCTGTCGGATTCCAGATATGGTGCCAATCTTAGACAAATTGATGCAACTGTAAAGAAACATGAAGCAATTAGTGCCGATATTCTTGCTCGTACTGAAAGATTCAATGACTTGACAGAAATGTGTGAAGAACTGCAAAGAGAAAATTATCATGGAAAATTGCGCGTTAAAGCAAGAGAACAAGAAGTAATTGATCGATGGAATGAACTTCTTAAACTCTTGGATCATCATAAGAGCAATTTAAATCAAATGTGCAGTTTAATGAATCTATTAAGAGAAATAGATACTACGCTTGAGGCGATTAAATCATTACAAATTCAATTTGAGTCTGAAGATGTTGGACCTCATTTATTGGGCGTAGAAGAATTACTTCAAGCTCATTCGCTTCAAGAGTTGCAGCTTACTTCCCTTGGTGAGACTAAAAAGAAATACATTCGTCAAGCAGAAAATTATAAAAAGTTGAACAAAGAATCAGATTTGATCAATCAGAAAATCGATATGCTGGAAAAAATGTATCAGAACCTCGAACAGTTGGCAAAGAGTAGAAGAATTTGCTTGGAAGAGGCCAGAGATTTTTATCATTTCTTAGAAGATCACGATAATGAAGAAGGATGGCTAGTCGAGAAACAAAGAATTTGCAAAACAGCTATAACAGCAAAAGATTTACGCGCAGTCTTGTCATTACAACAAAAGCATAAAAGTCTAGAAGATGAAATGAAAGTAAGAAAACCAAAATCATCTCATCTTAAAGATATTGGAAATAAACTAATTTCTGAGGAACATCCTCGGGCAAATGAAGTAACATATCGGATGGATTCGCTTGACGCACATTGGAAGGCACTTGAGGAGCTTGTGGAATTAAGAAGGCGGCAATTAGAAGATGCTGCTGAAGCTTATCAATTTAATACGGATGCAAATGAAGCTGATTCATGGCTTAATGAAAAACATGCTTTGGTAGCATCAAAAGACTTTGGTGTTGATGAACCATCTGCACAAGCATTATTACAACGACATCGTGATTTGCAAGGTGAACTGAATGCGTATTCTGGTGACATCATGAACTTAAATCAGCAAGCAGAAAAATTGATTAAAGCTGGAATATGTAATTTAGAATTAACACAAGAGCCTGAACAAATTCAAGAAATTGATCAAGAAGAATGGGTCAATGAAGTTCGTTTAGTTCCGCAAGAAATTTTTGAAGAAGAAATTGTTGAAAGAAATGAGCCAAGAACTGTCACTGAAATGAAATTACTTCCACATGTTCGTGCAATGTATCCTTTTGAAGGTCAAGGCATGAAAATGATCAAAGGGGAAACAATGGTACTTTTAAATAAAACAAATCCAGATTGGTGGTCCGTTCGAAAGAATGATGGAGTTGAGGGATTTGTGCCAGCAAATTATGTTAAGGAAATTGAGCCACAAAAAGTTCCGTGCATAGTTCGAAAAATGGAAAAAGTTAAAGTTGTTCAAAAAGTTAAGAAAACAATATTAGTGAAACAAAATATTCCAGTGAAAAGAATAAAGCCTGCTCAAGTGTCGCAAATTAAATCTCTCGTTAAAAGACGTGGAGATGGCGATGTAGCACAGGATAACAATAGTGTAGAGAAACGTATCAAGAAAATAAATTTAATGTATGATGAAATTCAAGACATGGCAGTACAAAGACATGCTCTATTGGAAGATTCCATATGCTTGTTTGGATTCTTTAGGGAGTGTGATGATTTTGAAAAATGGATCAACGATAAAGAAAAACTACTTCGAACAAACGACTTGAAAGATAGTGTAGAAACAGAAAAGAGAAAATTCGAAAACTTCTTAACTGATTTATCAGCTTCATCAAAACGAATCGAAGCTATTGATGCAGCAGTCGATGATTTTACCCGACAAGGTCATTCACGTTTGGATAAAATTAAAGCTCGTCAGAGGCAAATACATCAAAAATGGGATAATCTGAATAAATTAAAAGTGCAAAAAGAAAAGAACTTGGAAGGTGCATCAAGTGTTGAACTTTTTAATAGAACATGCGATGAGGCTAAAGATTGGATGCATGAAAAAATGAATCAGCTAGACAGCGCTGAAATTGGACCTGATTTAAAAACAGTTCAGGCTTTACAAAGAAGACATCAAAATTTGGAAAGAGAACTGGAGCCATTAAAGGAAAAAGTTTCACGTGTAAACTTGCTTGGAAACTCCGTTAAGCATTCTTATCCTTCGGAAACCGACAATGTTGCAAAATCACAACAAGAAATCAAACAAATGTGGGAAAAAGTTCAAGCAAAAGCAATTGAAAGACGTTCCCGTTTAGAAAATGCTGTTGGAGAACAAATTTTCACAAATAGTGCGAAAATGCTTTTTGGATGGATTAATTCCATAAAAGATCAATTGAATTCAGATGAGAAGTGTACTGATGTTGAAACTGCAAACAATTTATTAAAGAAACATCAAGATTTGAATGAAGAAGTTAAAACAAAAGATTTTGAATTTGAAGAACTGATTGGACTTGGAAAACAATTGACTCGTAGAAATCCAAATTTGACAGAAATTCCATCAACAATTGATCAACTACAAGCTGAGCAATCAAATATTAAACGTGGATGGGAAGAAAAGGAAAAATGGCTTCGACAATGTGTTGAGCTTCAACTTTTTAATCGTGAAGCCGATAAAATCGATGCAACGACCAAAGCACATGAAGCCTTTTTGGATTACAAAAATTTTGGAAATTCTATTGATGAAGTTGAAGCCATTCTTAAACGCCATTATGATTTTGAAAACACATTGGGTGCACAAGATAAAGTTGTTAAGGCATTCTCAGACAATGCTGACAAGCTTATCGAACACAATCATTATGATTCACCTTACATTAAAGACAGACGTGATCAAGTCTTAGGCCGACGTCAAAAAGTCAAAGACTTATCAGCTAAGAAACAAAATGTACTTCAAGCTTCTGAAGATTTTCATAAATTCGCTGCAGACTACAATGATATCAATGGTTGGCTAAATGACAAGTAAGTGTCATAATTAAAATTAATGAATTTTTAAATTTGGAATACGTACATAATTTTTTGATGCCTACATGGCTTCGAATACTTTCTGTTTCATTTGATATTCTTATTCAAAAACCAAATAAGGCGCTTATTAACAAACAATAATTAAAACATAAATCGAAATAGAAGCAGAAAGTATTTAATAATGCATGAGCCGGCAATTTTTTAACCTTTTTGTTTAATATTGTCTTATTTATTTTCTTTTTTTCTTAATTAGGATGAGAATAGCCAATGACGAGTCGTATAAAGATCTTTCAAATTTATCGAGAAAATTGCAAAAACATAAAGCATTTGAACGAGAAGTAAGAGCTAACGAAGGTCAATTAAGAACAATCAATAAGCAAGGTGAAAATCTAATTAAGCAAAATAACAGGAAAGATGAGGTAGCTGAGATGTTGGAACAATTAAATGAAAAATGGAATGATTTAAAGAATATTTCGTTTGAAAAAGGTCAAAGACTTGAACAAGCATTATTGCAACGTGAACACAATAGGAACATTGATGATGCTAAAAATAAGTTAAAGGAATTTGAAGATGCATTGTTATCTAAACAAGTAGGTAATGATTTGCGTAGTTGTCGTGATCTGATGAACAAACATCAGATGCTTGAAGCAGATATTTGTGTATGGGAGCAAAAGATTCACGAATTAGTCCAAACAGGTGAAGAAATGGCACAAGAAGGACATTTTGATGGTTCAAATATCAAAACAGAAACAAAAGACCTGCAGGATCAATTTAAAAACTTAAAAGATCCCATTGCAAATAGACGTTCAGCATTGGATGAAAGTTTAAAACTACACAAATTCATTTTTGAAGTTGAAACTGAACTTCAATGGATAAATGAACGTCTTCCATTAGCAACATCAAATGCTATGGGTCAAAACTTGTATCAAGCTCAAAGCATGGATAAGAAACACAAAAAATTACAAGCTGAAATAATTGGTCATCAGTCAATGATAACGAAAACTTTACAAAGTGGCAATGATTTGGTAGAACAAAATCATCCAGAAAAGGAAAAAGTTGAAATATCTTGCGACGAATTGAGCGAGGCATGGAAAAATCTTCAAGAAAAAACTGATGAAAGGGGTAAAAAATTGGATCTTTCGTTGAAAGCACAACAGTATATATTTGATGCAGCTGAAATTGAGACATGGTTAAGTGAGAAGCATAACATTTTAAAATCTACAGAATATGGTCGAGATAGAGATTCAGCAACAAAACTTTTGACTAAGCATAAGGCAATTGAGTTAGAAGTAGATACTTACACAGCCATCATCAATGAAATGGGTCATACAGCTTCAGCGATGATTGTAGCTAACCATCCCGATAGTAAAGCTATTGTGGGAAAACAACAAATCATTGAAAAGATGCTTAAGTCCCTACAAAAGCTTCTAGCTCAACGGCAATCGAAATTAATGGAAAGTTTGTACAGGCACGAATATTTTGCCGAATCTGCTGAGCTAGAAAATTGGATGAAGGAGCAAGAAGTTGCTGTTTTGTCTGAAGATTATGGCCAAGATTATGAACACTTATTGGTACGCAGTTAGATAATTTTTTCTTTTTTTTTTTGATTTTAAGTATTTTTTCCTCTTAGATTTTGAAAAACAAATTCGACGATTTGAAACACCGCATTGAGTTGGGTGCAGAACGCTTTAATCAATGCGAAGACTACGCTAAGAAATTGATAAACAATAACAGTCCATATGTTGATGATATTGACGGTCGACAAGAACAATTGAGGTACTTTAGTCTTCAAATCTCTTTTTATCTACTAATTCGATTACATACTGTAATACTGATCTTTATCTATCTATCTATCTTTCATAACATTATAAACTAACACTTACTAACCCTACACTAGACGTAATAGGGAATCTTTTTCTCGCAATGCATTAGATGTGTTGGATAAGCATGAACGATTACGGTAATATCTTCATTCCTCTTGCTTGCTCCGATTCTTCATTACTTCATTTTTGGAAACTCATTATCAAAAAAAAAAAAAAAAAATTCATTACTTCACTTACTTCCCATACTCTCATTTCAATTAGAACATTATAACTGTGTTTAATCTGGTCATGAACATTTTATATCATTTAAATAACAAAAAATTACTATACTAATTCAGAACTTATTTTTACTTTACAATTTAAAATTGTATAGAGCTTCCTGGGATAATTTACTGAAACAACTATCTCAAAGAGAACAAAGGTTATTTGCTGCTGGAGAAATTCACAGATTCCATCGTGATGTCGCTGAAGCTTTATTCAGAATTCAAGTAAGAAATTTTTAAAAAAATATAAAATATATCAAAAATTCTAATTTTCTCTTTATCTTTTTAATGAAGGACAAAAATGCGGTGCTTTCATCCGAATTGGGAAAAGACTTGAATTCTGCGTTAGCATTGTATAGAAAACATGAAGGATTCGAAAATGATTTAGTAGCATTGGAAGCTCAATTGCAAGTTTTGGTAGAGGATTCAGTAAGACTTCAAGCTAAATATCCTGGTGATAATGCGGCAGCAATTGCACAGCAACAAAATACAGTTGTTGAAGCATGGAATAATTTGAAGGAAAATTCAGCACATCGCAGTGATCAATTGGCAGCTAGTTGTGATCTCCAAACATTCTTAACACAAGTAAGAGACTTAATGCTATGGGCAAGTAACTTAAGAGCAACATTACAAGCTGAAGAACATGTGAGTGATGCTGCAGGTGCAACAGCATTAAAATTACAACATGATTCAATTTATGGGGAAATTGAAGCGCGAGAAGAAAAGTTCCGTGCTTTAAGTGAGCTTAGTGACTCTATGGTACAAACTGGTCACTATGCTGCAGTTGAAGTTGAAGAAAAATGTACAGCTTTACTCGACGAAAGACAGAAATTGCACAATGCATGGAATAATAAGAAAATTTTATTGGAACAAAAGATTGATCTGTTCTGTTTCTTACGTGATGCAAAGCAAATCGATAACATATCAAGTATTCAAGAGGCAGCTCTAACATCAAGTGATGTTGGTATCTCTGTTGAAGATGTCCAAGACAATATTAAACGTCACGATGAACTTGAAAAATTGATTCAACAACAAGATGAAAAAGTATCCACACTTCAAGATCATGGCAGCAAATTAATCGGTCAAAACCACTTTGACAGTCCAAATATTAAGAAACGATTGTTGGAGGTTGTAGATAAACGAGCAAAAATAAAGAAATTAAGTCAAATAAGAAGGCACAAGTTGACAAGCTCATTGCTTTACACTCAATTTGTGAGAGATGTTGCTGAAACTGAAAATTGGATTCATGATAAACAAAAGAACATAGAGTCAAATGTCAATTCGTTTGCTGATGTCAGCAATATCGAAGAAAAAGTTAAGAAACTTCAAAAATATCAAGCGTTCAGAGCTGAGATATCTGCAAATCAAGGACGAATTGATGAAATTATTAAGATGGGAGACATATTGATCAACAATAGTCCAGAGTTGACGAAAGAGGTTAAAGAAGCCATTAAAAAGTTATTAGATTCATGGAATAATTTGATGGCTGATGTAGAAGCTGAAGGTAAAGGTTTAGAAGAAGCACAAGATATTCTTGAATTTAACAACCAACTTGAAAAAATTGAAGCATGGATTAGAGATAAAGAGCTTATGGTGCAAGCAAGTGATACAGGAAGAGATTTAGAACATTGTAGTGCATTGCAAAGAAAACTTGATGATACTAGTTCAGGAGTAGACGAGCATAGAATTAAATCAATAAATGTTTTAGCTGATAAGCTAATGAGTCAAGAAAAATCACCTAACGAAAATAAAAATGTTGATAAGAAACGAAACAATTTCAATTCACGTTGGCGTCAACTCCAAGGAGCGCTTGCTGAATATAGAAATCTTTTAAATGGAGCATACGAAATTCATCTTTTCAATCGAGATGTTGACGATACTAAGGAAAGAATTGCCGAAAAAGCACTTATAATGTCAAGTGATGATTACGGACGAGATCTTTTTGCAGTTGAAACACTCAGAAGAAAACAAGATGCTCTGGAACGTGATATGACTGCCGTTAAACAAAAAATCTTTGATTTAGAAAATGAAGCAACTCAATTAATGAGAAAATATCCAGAAAGAGCTGAAGAAATTAACAATAAGCTTTTGGAAATTAAAGATTGTTGGGACAATTTGGAATCGTTGAGTGTAAAACGAAGGCAACATTTGGAAAATGGATATCATGTTAATAAATTCCTTAGCAGCGTTGACGAAATTCAACAATGGGCAAATGACATTATGAATAAAATGAAGGCAATGGTTTATCCTAACACGATCCAAGAATGTGCTATTCAAATTGAGTTACATAATGAAAGAAAAACGGAGATAGATGGTCGTCAAGAAATATTTAGTAAACTTCTTCAACAAGCAAAAGAATTGCTTGATGTCAAAGGAATTAATTGTAAGGATATCGAAGACGCACAAAAGTCTATTGAAGAAATTCGTTTAAATGTTACTGAAACATGGGAATCGAAATCCAAGTGGCTCAATGATATTCATCAACTTCAACTTTTCAAAGAATTGGCAGCTCAAAAGGAATCTTGGATTGCAAACAAAGAAGCATTCATTAACAATGATGATTTAGGAGATTCATATACTTCTGTTGATAAGCTTATTAAGAAACATGAAGCATTTGAAAAACTGCTTTTTTCAAGTTCCAGCGAAATTATTGATGAATTGCAAGATGCTGCTAATAAAGTTATAATTCAAGAGCCCGATTCAAACGAAATAGAAGTCATTAATACGCGTTTAGATGGAATTAAAATTAGAATGGACAAATTAAAATCGCAATCCAATCAAAGAAGTAAAAAATTGCAAGAATCATTAGCACTTCAACAGTTCCTAAGAAATCTTTATGAAGTTGAGAGATGGTTGAACCAAAAATTGCAAGTTGCCCTTGACGAGTGCTACAAAGAACCTAGCAACTTACAGAGTAAAATTCAAAAACATGCAGTTTTCGATGCTGAACTAATGGCAAATTCAACAAGAATTTCCTCTATAATAACTGAAGGTGAATGCTTAATAGATGCAGAACATTTTGCATCTAACGAAATACAACAGCAATTAGAATTAATCGAATCGGAATGGAGTAAATTACAAGAAGCTTCACGTTATAAAAAAATTCGTCTAGTTCAAGCATATGATGCTCTTCTCTTTTTACGTTCGCTTGATGAATTGAATGGGTGGATGGATGAAATTGAAACACACCTCTCAACCGAAGATTATGGTAAGTTATAAAATTTATTGATCAAAGAAATTGTTTCAACAAACTATTAATTACTGTTATTCAAAATAGGAAAAGATTTGGCTTCTGTAAACAACATGATTAAAAAGCATCAGAATTTGGAAGCAGATGTTGCTCATCATATGGAAATTATCGAACAAATTACAAAGCAAGACGAAAACTTTTTAAATTCCGATCATTTCTTGAAAGATGAGTTGCATGAAAAAGCAATGAACACAGTAAGAAGATATCATTCTCTTCATGAGCCAATGTCAATAAGAAGTGATAATTTAGAAGACTCCCAATTGCTTCATCAATTCTTGCGCGACGCAGACGATGAATTGCAATGGTTATCCGAAAAAGAGCATGTACTTGCATCTAACGATTTGGGAAAAAATTTAATTGCAGTCCAAATTCTTCAGAAAAAACATCAATCTTTAGAATCAGAAATTTCATCACAAGAACCTATAATTTCATCCCTTGCTCATCGCGGTCATCAAATGATTCAAAATGGACATTTTGCAAGTGAGGAAATTGAAAAATGTTATCGTTTAGTACAAACAAAATTGGCAGCTATTCGAGATCTTGCCAGCGTACGCAGATTGCGACTTTCTGATGCAATAGATTCACAAATATTTTATTCTGAGGTGAACGAAGTTGAATCATGGATAAATGAAAAGAAACCAATCTTAACATCATCAGATTTCGGTAAAGATGAAGATGCAGTGTTATCACAGCAAAAGAAATTTGATGCTCTTCAAAGAGAAATGGTTGCATTTGAGTTTTCTATTGTCAAAGTCGCTCAACTTGGAAAGAATTTAATAGATCGTGGACATTTTGATAAAGAGCAAATTAATTCAAAGTGTGAAAGAGTCCAAACTGAATATGATAAAATGAAAGAACATTCAAAAATACGAGAAAAGCACCTGATAGATCAATTAAGATATTTATCATTCATGAGAGAAGTAGAAGATTTACAAGAATGGATTGCCGAACAAATGGCTATTGCATCATCTGAAGAATATGGTACGGATGTTGAGCACATTGAACAATTGATTATCACCTTTGATTCATTTATTTCAACGATTCATGCCAACGAACCAAAAATACAACAATGTATTGCACGCGGAGAAGAGCTTATTGAACAACGAAATTATCACGAAAAGATAATCAAAGTTAAAAATACAGAAACTGTTCAACTGTGGACGGAATTAAAGGAATTGATAAGTGCTCGTCAAGAAGCTCTTACTGGTGCCAAGAGAGTTCATGTGTACGATAGAACAGCAGACGAAACAATTTCTTGGATTAATGAAAAATTGGGAGATGTTCTTAGTGAAGACTATGGACAAGATTTAGAGTCTATTCAAGCTTTATTAAGAAAACATGAAGGATTCGAGACTGAAATTGCAGCCGTTCGCGAACAAGTTGATCAAGTACAAAGTGAGGCAAAGAAATTAGTTGAAACTTTCCCAGATGCAAAAGATCATATTGAAGTGAAAAAGGAAGAAATTGTTGAAGCTTGGACCGAACTTGCTGAAAAATCACAGCAACGCAAAGAAAAACTAGCACAAGCAGAACAGTTGCAAGTATACTTTGATGAATATCGTGAACTTCTGGCTTGGATAAATGAAATGTTGGCAAAAATAACTGCACCAGAACTAGCAAAGGATGTAAAGGGTGCTGAGCTTTTAATTGCCAGAATTAAGGAACATCAAACTGAAATAGACGCTCGTAATGAAGCATTTAATAAGTTCTACAAAGCAGGAGAAAAACTCATTATGGAAGAACACTTTTTGGCTAGTGAAGTTGAGGACAAAATTAAAATTTTAGAACAAAGAAAGAAATTACTAAACAACACATTGATCAACAGAAAGAACATTTATGAACTTAATTTAGATACACGACTTTTCTTGAGAGATGTTAATATGCTTGAGCACTGGATGGATGCCCGTGAAATACAGCTAAAGGATAAAAATTTGGGTGAAAGTATTTTACATGTAGAAGAGTTGATAAGAAAGCATGAGGACTTTGAAAAAACAATTATTGCACAAGAAGATAAATTTAATATAATAAAACGAATAACAATGCTGGAACAGCTGTTTAAAAAGCAACGTGAAGAAGAAGAGTCAGCCAGACTTGCAGAAAAGGAAAGAGTAGAGAAGGAGAGAATTGAAGCAATGAAACAAAAAGAAGTTAAACGTATTACAGATGAGAGAAGAAGAAATGAACATCAGCCCCAAATAAGTGGTCATGAAAAGCCACAAATCATCACTTCTGGTATTAAACCAAGTTCCTCATCCGATTCACTTAATCAAGTTCAGAAATCAAATTCGTTTATCAACATGTTTGGAGATCGTCTTCGACGTGGTTCAGAAGGAAATGCAAAGCGAGCAGAAAGCATGAAAGTTAATGTGAAAAATCCAAAACGTACACCATCATTCACAACAAGAAAAAGACAAACAAGTTTTAGAAAAGGTGAAAATGCAGATCAATATGATTTACCTCCAGTCGAAATTCAAGGAATATTAGAGCGAAAACATGATTTACAGTCAGGAGGAAAAAGAGCTCCTGTTAGAAGCTGGAAACCGTTTTATACAGTTCTCTGTGGACAACTTTTATGCTTCTTTAAAGACGAAGATGACTTCCATGTCAGAAAAGCATCAGCACCCCCTGTAAATATATTGAATGCTCGTTGTGAGAAAGCAGATGATTATACCAAAAAGAGGAATGTATTTCGCCTTAACTTACCTGACGGTTCCGAGTTTTTGTTCTTAGCAACATCTACAGATGATATGAATGATTGGGTTAATAAAATCGCTTTTCATGCAAACTTACCTCCCAATCTACAGCTTATGAGTTTCGACGAATCAATGAAGGTTGGTCTAATAACATAATTTGGTCTAATAATCTATGTTTATTGACAGTTATAATTTAATCCTTTCTTAGCATGCTGATCAATCTCCGAAAAATAACAGCGAACATGATGGATCGTCTGTAAGCTCAAGAACATCATCACCTGACCCAAATCAAAAAAGAGACACATTGCATCTTACACCGCAAATGAACTTCCTTCAACAACAACGGGAGATTCGCGAACGAGAAACTAGAGTGAGTTTTTTGATTTGCTTTTCAATTGTGGTAAATTAACTTTTGATTTCTTATAAAGGCTCGAAATATACCACCACCTCATTCTCCTACTGGATTTTATGACAAACCACCAATTCCACCAAGAGCATCAAACAATCATCGTCAATCAAATGAAAAAGTTGACGTTCAATTAAGACAGAAAGTTGTAGAAGGTAATAATTATATTTTTAGAGATTAGGCATTCTTTTTACACTCTTTTTTTTCAGAGGACTATTACAACAATGCACCATCAAACAGACCTTATTCTTTACAACCACAGCCAGTCCAACAAACCGCATCACCCCAAAATGGAAACAAACATGGTAATGAAATTCAAGATGTACTGATGAAGAATAGTGATATGAGAAGTCCAGGTAAATACTAAAATATTTTTATTTTAAAATGTACAGTGTTATTTTTTATTTCAACACTTGCTTACAACATCACATTCCCTTAATAACATAATTAATTATCATGATTTTTTTAATTATTGTACATTTGAAATTAATTGTGTCATTGTGTGTTTAATTAATAATTCACAAATATGTTTGTTTGATTGTGTGAAAAGAACCATCCATTCCATTATTTTTGTCGAATCCGCCACAAGTTGCACGAAGATTACCCGTTTTGACATTTCATCAGCATCACCAAACAATTCCTCATCCGCACCCGACATTCAGTACATTTTATTCTCCGACACACATGGAAAATCATCATCATAACCATCAACAATTTTCCAATCCTTATCAGCAGCAGCAACAGCAGCATATTCACGAAATCAATCAGCCTTTACCTATCCGAAATTCTCCAATTCATCCACGAATGGGAGTCCCAAATATAATGCATAATTCAAATTGGAGCGAGCAAATTTCTATACAAATGCGAAATAACAATTACGGAAATGGAAATAAAAGCAATGAATATGGTTAGCATAATTTTTTCTGGCAACATCAAGATCTAAATCTCAATTGGTGTTTTTGATTTGAAACAAATTTTTCACAAAATTATGTTAACTGTTTAATGGACTCTCCTACTTCTATCCACTGTTGCATGCTCATTTTTGCTTACTAACATTTAACTTTTTATACCAGCATTCTACTACGCTTATATTTCATTTCTTAAAATATACGGTGACAGAATAATTGGCATTTGTTTGAAATATTAATGCTTGTAAAATAATAGGTGTGTTCTAATGATTACGTAAATAAGCCACATGTTTCATCACAAATTGTTACTTATTGTTTGCCGCTTATCTTATTGATTAAAAGCTAGATAACATTAAATTGATAAATTAGATATTTGGGACAGTTACCAAAACTTTTAATGACCAGAGTATATATGGATATTTATTACTTTTGTAGTGCACGACTTTTTGTTTTTCAATTTTAGTAATCACTTGGTCCAACTTATTCAATTATCTTAGAATTATCAAGAAAAAAATTCCTTTATGAGTAAATAAACTTTGCATTTTAGGCTGGGGTATGGGAAGATTTGAAGGAAACAGACCAACTTCAATGCCACCACCATCATCACAACAAGCATTTGACAATTCAGCTACACTTTCAGTGTCAAGTCGAATGTCAGCAGAAAGCTCAAGTGAGAGTGAAGCTAGTGGAATCATCCAAAAGAAAGATAATAAAGAAAAGGACAAGAAAGGAGTCTTCCGAATATTTTCAAAGAAGAAATCTAAAAATAATCCTTAAGAATTAAATATGAAATGTATTTTATATGCCTTATATATTTTTGTTAAATGGTTTTACACCCTATTATTTTTTTTATTTTATTATTTTGGAAGAAACTTAAGTTTCTTATGCAAAGCATATTTTAAGTCCTTTTCAAAACATAACAAATATATCCAATGCTTTAATCATCATGCTTCAAATTAAGATAAAATTATATATAAAAGTTGTAACCAATAAATAAAACATATGATATCAATTATTGTAGTTTTACCCTACTGTTTTTATTGATTGAATTGGAAGGAGTTATTAAAAATTTCATCAATTTTGAAGGTTTTCAGCAGTTTTCAGAAATAAAGGATCAGAAAATCTGATAACTTAACATCGTTTAAAAACCGTTAAAAAACGATTGTTTGTGATTCAAATTTGAAATAAATTTTTACAAAGTTTTATACCCCCAACAACAATAACACAACATAATTTTTAAAATTAAAAGAATTATATTAGAATGGATAATCTATTTAATATAGATGTTAGTTCTATATTTGAACAATACACCATAAAAGAAATAGAAGCTTTAAATTTGAAGATTCAGCATGAAGTTGATGGAAAAAAGGAAGAATTGAGAAATATGGTAAAATTTTATATTATTTACATGTTTATAGCAGTTTACTGACTTAATTAAACTAACATGACTATTCATAGGTTGGTGAAAGATATAGAGATCTTATACAAGCAGCAGATACAATAACAGAGATGAAATTTACTTCAGAAAAAATCGAAAACGTCATCAGCAAAAATGAAATAATGAACTGGAAAAGCAACAACAGAGAACAAGAAATCATTAAGGAACAGTGTTTTAATGACGAGGTCTTTGAAGTAACAAAACAGATTAAAATCTTAATCAACTTAAATGAATTAATATCAACTTCAATTGACGAATGCAATTTTTTGACAGCAACACAGCTATTCTTACTATCAAGACATTTAAATGCAAGTTTAAAGCTCGATAGTAATAGTGATGTCATTAGAAAATTTCCTGTTGCAAGAAAAGTATGGGATCTATTATCACCATTTTACAGTTCCATTAAATCTCATTGTCTTAAAGCATTAGAAGATCAGAATATCGATCTTGAAAAGACTGTTGATTGTCTTGGAAGTTTAATTTTGCTAGAAAATGGGCAATTCACATCATCGCTAAGTACTTTCGTTCAAATAAGAGTTAAAACTTTCCTGAAAATTTTAACCGATTCTGATAAAAGTTATGAACTTGTCAAGGATAAACTAATTACAAGTGTTATGGAATTAGTCAATTCAACAAAAATTGTTTATGAAGCATTTGTGAATTACAACGGAAGTGATGGTTTATTAATTCAAAAATTAACATCGCTCAATTCTGAAAATGTTTCATTACCGTCTAGCTTGATAGCAAAAAATCCATTCCTTGCCAGCATAAAATTAGTGAACAAATTTAAGTCACGTTGTAATCCCGGATTACTTGATAAAGAATTAGTAAGGAATGCAATGGCTCAATGGATGAATTCTGTTGAATCAATTGCACAAAATCAATTAAAAGACGTAGTCAAGTATATAGTATCGATTGACATTATTCGGGAAATGGAGAATCAGGTGCAGAATATTACAAAACCTCCCAACTGGTCTGATATGAGTGAATCATTATTTGGAATGGAACATTTAGATTTCTATGAAAAACTCTATCAACCTTTAATTCTAGAACGTATTTATAGCATAATCAATATTTCATGGGATAATATCCAAAATAATTTCAAGAATGAAATTGAAAAATTAACAGTAATAATCAATGATCGAGTGCATAGAGATATGAAGCATTATGTTTGGATAAATGATGATTCAGACAATCCGCAAAGTTTAAAGGATGCATTGAATGTTGAGCAAAAGACACATAATTTGTTGATGAAAGTGAATGGATATAATAAGCACATTGTTGAAATATGCTCCAAACTAGACATGAATTTGAAGAAGTTGATCGATGATTTAAAAAATTACATTTTGGCAAAAATTTACGTACAAAAAGCTTTGAGAATGAAGGAATGCCAAGTACCAAATCAGGAAAAAATGTTACTTTATTTAAAAGATTCTAGTAAAGATAATATATCTGCATTAATAAAGTACATTAAATCATCAGTTCTGTTGAATGATACAGAAAATTGTCATTTACTAGCACGATTACTTCAGGCTATCAGCGAGATGTGTCCGAATCTGAAACACTGTTTTTCTAATAATTTATTGACTGAACACAGAGTTTACTACACAGAAAGTTCATTAAGTTCACAAGATTCGGATCATTGGAAAGAAGTTTCTGATATGCTGACTAATGACAGTATTCAACTATGGAAAGTCTGGCTACATGGATTCATAGCTCAATGGAATGAATTGAAATTTGAGAACGAATTGACAGCTTATGCATTATTAAAAGAATTTCCAACATGGAGATGCCTTACTATCAATGAAAAAGGCGAAAACAATCAAAATATTGAATCGAAAATATTCATTCCCCAACAGCTATCAATTGGAACACAATGCTGGATATTCAATATCATCAGTTGTTTGAATAAGATCATTCCACATACTTTACCTAAACAAATTCATTTGGAAATCGTTGAAGAATTCAACATTAAGCTATTCAACTATTATAGTTCACTCTGTCAGCAAAAAGAATTGATATCAAATCAAAAGATTGCATGGCAAATTCTATTTGACTTGAAAGTTTTAATTGGACTTTTTGCCGTGAGAGAAAATAAGTCGAAAAATGATGAATTTCAAGAATTGATTAATGAATGCAAGACCATAATTGATCCTTTTGATTTTGATGTCTTCTATCCGCATATCATCAATAATATTAAAGACAATACATCAAGATTGCAGTATGAACTAGGTTGCATGATTCCTTATTCCAATTATAATTCGTCAGTATTACAAAGTCAGAATATTGTTCATATTCATGATACAGAGCCAAATATAATTTCAATGAGTGTGTCACAAGCTGAAAAACGTTGGATACCACTTTTACCTATAATAAAAACGAAAACCTTTCCTTCTGAGCTCAGCAAAGAAAAAATTAAGGTAATTAAGTTAATTTTCTCATTCTTTCATATTGATTCTATTGATATATCTTTTAATTACAGCTACAACAACCGCTGCAACCAGTAAAGAAAGCTCTGCCAGTGAGTGCTTCTAGTTCTACGTTATCATCCTTGCAAGAATGGTTTAAATAATTGTCTTGAATGATTTAAATATCAATAAAAAATTGCCTTATCTTTTATGTTAAATGAAATTAGAGGAACTTGATTTCTTTAAATTTTCCTACATGAGACACATTGGAACTGCTACAAACACAGACAATGAAAAAAATTTCGAACATTATATAAGTTTATTCCGAATATTTTAAAAACAATAAGGAATAAAAATTAAAATGAAACGATTATCAATTCAATTGTATCGTGCGTTTTCCACGACAGTAAATAAACAAACTACTGTCGCAAAACCAGTTGACCCATTAAAGAATGTGATTGGTAAGCGCCGTATTTTATTCAGTTTGTCTGGAAAAAATTTATTTATGTATTAATTTTCCAGGACTTACAAGCAAATGTGTACAAAATAATGATGCTAAAGCAGTGAATGGAACTGGCAAGGAGTATAAAGTACCAGAGTATTTTGGATTTAATCGTATGAGCTATAGCGAAGCAGAAGTTGAAATGGAAAAGTTTAGAATCGCTCAACCAATTGCTCCAAGAAAGTAAAGTCATAAATTAAAAATATTAGATTAAAATGTATCAATAAAGTTCAGCTTTGGAAAGTCAAAAAAAAAGAAGCTTATTCCGTACTTTTTCATATTTGAAAGATCAGTTTTTGTAGTATAAATTATGGTAAGTGATAAATTTCTCTTTATCTTTGTGGCTTTTGGTAAGTCTGTTATTTATTGAAATTAAAATATTTGAGTTTCCTTATCAAAAAACTAACAGAAAAATATCATATAAAGGAACTGTATTTAAATTTTAAAATCAGTAAAACTTAAAACATGGATCAGAAGCTTTCACTATCAACTCATATTCTTGACGTGAATTTGGGAAAACCAGCACAAGACGTCGCTATTAAACTATTCAAGTTTGTGGACAATTTATGGGTTGAATCAGCATGTCAAGCCCATACAGATACCAATGGAAGATTTAAGGATTTCAAAAAAGTTGATGACTCAGTTGCCGGTACTTACAAGATCAGATTCGAGACGAAAGAATATTTTGATCGTTTAGGAATAAATGACACTTTATATCCATACATTGAAGTAAGTTGTGAAACGTAAATATATAGTTTTTATTTACCGAAATAATTATTTTTAGATCATTTTTGAAATCAAATCTTTGGATCACTACCACGTTCCTTTGTTATTGAGTGCTTTCGGTTATTCTTCATATCGTGGATCTTAATAATTAATCTTAAGATTAGGAATGAATCATGAATAAAACTGCCAATGAATAAACTGCATACATGCTTTTAGACGTTCGTGTTTTTGTGTAAATATGGTATAGATTCTTGATCTTGTGATTTCTTTGTTCTATCATCCCAGAGTTTTGCTACCTGACTCACATAGCCTGATTTAACTGTCACGTTGTCATCTTGTTTCTCATTATCACGTGTCTGGCAGTTACACGAATGTGGCTCATTCGAATAATCTCGTATTACCATTAACTGATCAACTTTTGGTCCTTGATAATAAGTGTCGTGTCGAAATTTGGAAAAATCATCATAATATGTAGGCATATCATTGTGTATTTGTGTTTGATCATGATAACGCGTATAAGACGATGGCTGTTGCTGAGTCGATCGGTGCAAAATTTTCTTATACGGTTCAGATTCAAAATGATTAACAATTGTTGGATATTGTTTGACCTTAGTAGGCATTTGAATCGTGGGATATGTTTTAGCCCTTACAACATCACTTGTCACAAAGCCTTCATGGATATGCTCATGATTTGGTAATGACGTTTGAATATGATATTTATTAATTGAATGCGATTGTCCTTGATTTTCAAAATCGTTCATCATACTTTCATTAGCGATAATGGAAGCAGTGTCAGTAACTTTTGAGGATATTCCATCAGATTGTACATTTTGAACACTTGATCCTCTTGATCGAATTGATTGATTTTGAGTGTTTCTTCTATCATTCTCATCATGATCAATAAGATTAAGTTCACTGTTTACTGTCCCTATTTTAGGACTTCTACTAAAATTTCTGTCAATTGAATTTGTGTCTGTCTGTGTTGCATCCGTTTTTGCTTTACTGCTCATTTTCTCACTCATATCAATAAGGAATAAAAATGCTACGAAAAATGATAAAACTCCAAGAATAACTGCATTATCAATTAATTCATCAGGCACTTGATCGATGGCAGCAAAAACCAAAGCTCCTTTTCATTGTCACATTGCCAAAAAAAAAAAACAAATAATAATGACACGATAATACGTCATTCATCAGAGACAATTTTATTGTTCAAAACTACTTACCGACACCAAAAAACATTAGACTTCCAATGAGTAGAAAAATTTTTTCAGCATAGACTGGCCTTTGTCTTGAGTCGATGCATCTAAAAAAATTATAATTTTTTAAAAACAATGAGAACAATAACACCACATAAATGTATGTCACGATAACTTCATTTTTTTTTTCATTCACAACAATTACTTATATTCAGATATAAAATATATATATACAAGTGCATTGAAATATGTTGTGGTTAGTTAAATTACATTTTAGTGGACCGTCAATGATTATATGTGTAGAAAGGGTAATCTTTATGCATCATTTAGCACATTATAATGAGATGACAATACATACATGTTTTTGTTGCTGAAAGACTTTTGTGTCATCACAACACGTTACTTATCACAACTTTACTTTTTACATGTTTTAGCAGACCTTGTGCTATCTAGGAATTGCCAATTGTGGTGACAAATTGCACTACTGACAAGAAGATAAATTTTGATGTTTTTGTTTCAAAATTTTAATATCAAAATTCCCTGAATCAACAATTAATGCTGATTTTAAATAATTAGCTATAAATCACAAACTAGAATCAGAACTAACACAGCTTAAAGTGGAAGCTAATTATCATGATTTTGGTGATTTTTCTTTTATTGAAATTAAAATTTGGTAGCATAAAATTCAAATTTTCAACCGTTGAAAAAATTCAATTTCAAGATTTGAACATGATAGACAAAGCGACTCAATAAAATGCGTGTAGCTACTCACATACTGATTCCAAAAAATAATGTTACTAGAGAGTAAGATCCATATGTAATCCATGCAAAAGCATCACCTGTTGATTAAATTGATTGGGTATTCAAATAGTAAATTACAAAATACACAAATAGCTTTTCAATACCTTTTAAATTCCAAAAGATACTGTTTAGTAAGCTCCACTCCCGAGAGTACTTTTGTCTGGTGTAAAAAATTCTTCTCGCTTCAATGTCTGTCCAAAATTTCATACCCAGACATGCTACACAACCAAGCTAAAGAGAACAAAAAAAAGAAGATATTGTTTGATATTGTCACCGAGGATAACAAAGTAAATAGATCCTTACAAATTCTAAAACCTTCTTGGTTATTCGGGCGATAGGTTTCATTTCCCTTGATTAAGAACTGTGTATTCAAATGATGTTTTGCACGTTCGGAAGTCTGATAAATACTAAGCTCTATTCAAAAAAATTCAATTTAAAACGTGGGAAACTATTGTTTATTGAAATACGTACATTAGAAGCTATTTGTGACTTTATGTGTATATCTAACAATATACATCAAAAAATAAAAATAAAATTTGTGGTTGTTACTCATGCATGCATCTTAATTTTGCATTACCCGATAGATGTTCTAAGAAGGAAAAAATCAACAAGTGGTTGGATTATAAGCTACAATTATGCGTCAGGGGGTATACAAGTATAAGCTTTGTAATGCAATAGTTTCACTTCAGATTTTTATACATTAATAAGATTTTAATATTTTTTACAATAATGAATACGTTAGGCATAAGTTTACTATTTAAAAGCTGTGTGTGTATGAGAGAATCTGTCGAGATTTCTGGAACAAAATATATAATTCTCGAGAGAATTGCAGTTGGTAAGTGATGAGTTGTAATTTGCTGTTCAGTTTTTTTTCTAGCAATAATTATAATCCTGTTATAAAATTTAAGGTGGATTCAGTAACATAGATTTGATTCAAAATTCTAATACTCATCGGAAGTATGCTTTGAAACGAATAACAAATCATTCCAAAGAAGACGAAAGGAGTGCTTTAGAGGAAATCGAAATTATTAAGAAACTTTCTCCACATCCCAATATTACCAAGATTATAGACTTTTCATTAGAGGGTATCGCAGATGACCTAACGAATCAAACAAGTCAGATTAATATCGTTTTACCATACTATAAAAATGGATCGCTGGACTCTTATCTAAGTCGTAAAGCTAAAAATAATGATTATATAGCAGAAAGGCAAATCCTTGCAATGTTCTTAGGGATATGTGAAGGAGTTAAAGCAATTCATGAAATTGGATATTCTCACAGAGATTTAAAAACTGGAAATGTATGCTTTTCTGATACAATGGAGCCTGTTTTACTTGACTTTGGATCTGCGGCTCATGCAAGAGTAGAAATTAATGGTCAATTAGATGCGATGAAATTACAGGACTTGGCTGAAGAAAAATGCAGTCTTTGTTATCGAGCACCTGAATTATTTCGAGTAGATTCCATTGCAATTATCGACGAGAGAACTGACATTTGGTCATTAGGTTGTATCTTATATGCTTTATGTTTCTTCCAGTCACCATATGACGAGATATATCTTAAAGGTGATAGTGTCCCATTAGCAGTTTTAAGTGCAAAAATTCCATTTCCTGAAAGTTCGCCATATAGTGAGGATATGAAGGAACTAATTTTATTTCAACTAAAGACGAATCCAATGGAAAGACCTTTTATTTATGGAGTTATAGAGAAAACACAAGATTTAATAACAAAATTAGAAAATTTTGTTTGACTTTTTATAAAACATCACATGCCACATTTTAGTCCAATTTTTTTATTTCGGTTGCTATTTTTTTTTTTATTTAAAAAGAATTCAAGAGATTGAGATGCTTAAAGCTCACAAATTAAAATTAGAGTAAGACTTTTTTTCTGAATAAAAATGTTTAATCAGGACAAAATATTAAGCCTCGATAGTTCTGCTATGAAACATTTAAAATACATGTTAAGGCCATAAAAATTGATAAATTAATGAGGTGATATGCATTATACATTATTTACAAAATCTATTAAAAATTTATGACAATTTTTCATCCTTAAATCTCCAATAACTTCTGTTACGATCGTATTGAAAAAAGCACTATGTTTTTGTTCATTGTACCTTTCATAGGAATCCAAATTGTCTATAACTTTTAATGTTAAATCATAATTTTCTCGAACAATGCTTAAGACTTGTTCTTCGCTAGGTGAATTCAAATTTTTACTGACTAACCATTCCTTTATTTTTATTTGAAAATGTTTTATGATTGTTAAAATATTTACTAATGAGTTGAGAAGCTTGAGGACGTCCTGTTTATGTTCAGAGTCGGTCATAGCACTATACCTGAGCACTAAAGAATAAAAGATTTAATTGGGCGAAACAATAAAATCAAAAATGTCGAGTTTTCTTACCAAAAGCATGAGTTTCACTGAATATTTTCTCTTCACGATTTAATTCATAATAAAGCTCATCATACATAATTGTCGTTCTCAAAAATGTATCTCCAAACGAGATGAAAAAGTTGAATATGTTAATGATCTGTAAAGAAAATAGAGGATATTAATAGAGTTATTATAATGCTGTAGTTATCGTTGATAAGTACTTGATTTGCGAGTATAAAGATGTTATGCTTTTTTATTAAATACTGTTCTTGATAGACTAGAAACTTTAGAAGATTTATAAGTGCTGCCCATAGAGATTTCCAGTTGTAATTTAAACGTACACAGTATCTTTTTTGATAAACCATTAATCGATGAATTATTCCAATGCATAAAAGATATAATTCCATAGGAAATCTTTTTGTCATATGCGAAACAATAAATTCAATTAATAAGTTGAATAATGTCGATGCCAATGGTTTTGCATCCTTCTCTTTTGGCAATCTTCTTAATCTCATTTGTGCTCTATGAATTTGAACCTTAAAGTTTAAATTTTCATCATGCATTAAGCTATTTGCGTAAGAGTCCTCAGAAATACACGTCAAAATGATAAAACAGAGTTTGGTGTTTACAATTGATTCTGTCCTACTATAATCTTTCATCACAATCGAGCAGTATTCAAACAATGAAACAAACAAGTTTGTAGGCTGAACATCCTGAAAGTTTCCAGATACTGATGAAAGATTTGATGCCGATGAAGAGCTTTGAAGTGTATTACTAGGTGATGGAGGATTTGATTCATTTTGAGTATGAGCCAAAGTTGTTACAAAGTTTCGATTGAGATGAATGTTTTCGTAGAGTGCAAGAAGCTGGAGATTATTTGCTCGAATAGTGCTGGTCTTATCGCTATCGTCATCGCTTATAAAAATGTTTCGCAAAGAAGATAAGGATGTCAACCAAGAGTTTGAATGAGAGTCAATGTTCACAGAAGCATATTGATGCGAGAATCTGGAATTAAAACTCACTCATATTATTGACGTGTCACTAAGCATAAAAAAGTCATTAGTACTCACTCAACAAGTTTATTATTAATGATTGAAGCAAAAGAGTTTAATGCTGGCTCGTTTGCAAATATCGACAGTTGAACACTATATGGATTAGTACATTCATTTTTTCTATAATTTGCCAAGAGTATGATTATTAACACAACATCGTTTCCAATATCCGACGTTTTTGAGGACGTGTGGCTTGATACAAGCTTAATAAGAGAATCGAAAAAGTTTTCAATCATGAGATATTCAATAAGCAGATTCTCGTTCAGATTATCCACTCCAGTTAAAATAATTAGTAACAGTTTTAAACAGATATCTTGAACTGAATCCGGTAAGTCCATGTCTAAGATTTCATGACATCTTTTGAATAAAAGTTTAAGATCTTCATGTTCCAAAATATGTTCAACTGTGCCATTTGATTTCCTCAATAAGCAATACATAACCAGCGATATCATTTTTAATGCATTGGCAATTTTCTTCACATCCAGAGTATCTGAAAAGATGAAGAAAGTTATTAAGTCAAATAATCACATAGTTGATTTAATTTTTCTTACCTTCTAGTTCTATGCTTTTAATGCATTCCTTTAAGAGCAATTCAAAGTTCTTTTTGACAATAATTGACTGCTCAAAGTTTACCTTAGATACTTCTAGCTCAAATGATTCCAAAACTATTGAGTTAAGACTTTTGGTGATGTCATGAACGATATCTACATTTACACGAAAATCTTCATTTTCTTCGTTTTTAAAGAGTATTTCATACTTTTCTTTTGATTTCTTATTACTATTAGAATTGGACCTTTTTCTCGGTATATTCATTTTAATTAAAACTTTAAAGTAAGTTGTATAAAAATCAATTTATAATAAAAATATTTGATGAAAACAATACACTGTTTATATTGAATGAGTTCGAATGAAAATGCAATAACTCCAACGTAAGTATTAAAAGGCAAGCGTGGAAGTTCATCAAATTCATACCCCTTTTTATTTTTACACGCTTTTATTTAACTTACACTGTTTGTATGTTTCATGCGTCAAATTTTGTAATCGTTATTTCGATCACTTCTCCTGCTACAATCGAACTCAAATTTTTTATGCACACTTATTCTCGGTGACAATACAATATTTTAACATTTTGGAACCACAAAAAAGTTTAATTATAGTACAATTTAAGTAAAACTTTTTTTATATCGGAAAAAATCCAATGTCAATGACATATATTTTTGATTTGTTTAAAATATTATACTTGAAATGTTCAAAAGTCATTTACATGATTTAATATAGTTTAATTAATATTATTAATTATTAATTATACTATAAATTTGAATAGCTAAAGATATTCTGGTAAGACCAGTAAAAAAATTGACAAGTAATTTTTTCATAGATATTCGTAAGTGAAAATTTGAATTTTAAAAAAACCGTTAAGCGCAAGTCAGTTACGTTTTTAATACAAAATAACTATTGATATGCAAATATGCATTTAGCACACATCGTTTGAGCATAATATATATGCTTTTAATGTATTTGATTGATTCTTAACAATTGACTAACATTTAATGAAATTCACTTTCTTTTTATCAACGGCTTGACGTAGTTTTGCATAACATATAAATGACATTCATTAAAATTAAATTTGAAAAATCCGTTATAAATACTTTAGTATTAAGTAGAAATGGTACGAATAAACACCAAATCTTTATGATTGATTTTTAATGTACTTTACTAATTGATGTTCAGGACACTTTTAAGAGTTTAATGTGTTTCCAAGTATGAATTAAATTATATAAAACGAATGAAAAATTTTGATAGTCTTTACTAATTACCCATTAAAAACTGGTATTCAATAAATAGTTGAACGAAACGGAGTGAAACTAAGTGAAGTTTAGAATTTTGAAAGTTGAATCGATTTGGAGATTTTAAAGACTAAAAAGTAGAAAATAAAATACTTTAAAAAAAACTTTTTTTAAAAAAGCACGCTTTTATTTCCGATTACAGAGCACTAAAAAGAAGAAAATAATTTTTTTTGCTAAGCTCTCAAATTTGATACAAAATTTTATGACTCAAAATAAAAGCGTGGGGCGCTCTTATAAATATCACTTAATCTTGAATTTGTATGTTTACATAAGCGTTAGGTCTTCAATGTTTATAGGTTTGTCTAAGGAGAATGATGAGCCCATACAAATTATGGTAAATCTGAGACGGTAGACATGATCTTTATGAGATTAATGTAGAGTTTTCTGTGTGACACTAGAGATCAAGTCTTACTCTCCTGCTAAATCTAACTAGTTCCTTTATGTCAAAAAATAATTTGAGATCAAAACTTTAAAAGGCCTTTCGTTTTAATACAAAAGTTGAATTAAGAAATGGATAATTAAACTGAATTCAAATAAATTTTGGAAAATCTAGAGCTAGTTTATATTTAACGCCCCACGCTTTTATTTTGAGTCATAAAATTTTGTATCAAATTTGAGAGCTTAGCAAAAAAAATTATTTTCTTCTTTTTAGTGCTCTGTAATCGGAAATAAAAGCGTGCTTTTTTAAAAAAAGTTTTTTTTAAAGTATTTTAGTAAACAATTCAACGTGGGTTAAAGAAAAGAATTATAAAATAATTCAAAAATGCCTATTGTAAGTGTTTTAATTAGTTTATTTTATCATATTATTAATGAGAATCATTATCTTAGCGTAAGAATATCAAAATATCGTCTACAAAGCGAGGACATCATGAAAGACAAAAGAAGAATTTTTTAAAGTCAAAAAAACAATTGAATCGTGAAAAACAAGTGAAATCAAACATATTTAAGAAGTCTAATAATGAGAAACGCAATGAGAGCTTACAAAAGGATGTAAAGTCTAAGAAAAAAAAGTCCAAATCAGATAGAAAAGAGAATGTTTTAGATCCAGCGATGAAAGGGAAAGACATCAAGGCATCAGATGTTTACGACATGTTAAGCAATGAATCTGATAATGATTCAATAGATGATCAAATTCCTATTAAACGTCAGAAGATTGAACATTCAGACGAGGAAATGTCCGATTATAGTTTGAATGACAATGAAGAAGAACTAGATGAGGATGATTTGAGCGATGGAGAATTAGAAAAAATAGAAATAGATCAACAAACGTCTTCAAGAAAACATGCAAAAGCTTCTAAAAGTTTAAAAGAACTGTTGCCAATTAAAACTAAAAGTGGATTAATGCCAAGAATGGAAATAGAAACGCCACAGATAGTTTCTAAGACATTAGCAGAAGTAAATTACCAAGCAAAGGAAGTTGTCTCGTCAAAGCAAAATCAAAAGGCAGAGCAAAAACAAAAAACTGGTAAAAAGATTTTATCAGCAATGGAGTTGATACAAGAAAGAGAAAAAGAATTGGAAATTCAAAAGTTTCGTATTGGAAAATTGTGTTCAGGAATAACAGAAAATCCAGAGGATAAAATTGGCAACTTAAAGATGTTATTGCTGCTGTTACCACAAGTTGGAGCTGATCAAAAAAGAAATTTATTGAGTGTCCGAAAACTTACAATGTTTTCACTAGCAGAAATTTTTAAAGATATTATACCAGACTATAAAATTGGTATTGTTGATTTAGAGAGTCAGAAAGTTAAGAAGGATACATTGGCTCGTGTAACGTACGAAAATGAGCTATTAAAATATTATAAAAAATTCTTAAGAGAACTTGAAATCATTTCAAAGGCACTCAAGCCTGGCAAATTTTCAAAACGCCCATCGAGAGAAAGCATTAATATTGGAGAATCAGCTGTGTTTTGTTTATGTGAAATTCTTCAATCACATCCATACTTTAATTTCAATACCAATATTGCACAGCTCCTCGTGATTTATTTAAATTGCTCAAACAGCAAAGTTCGTAAATTAATCAATGAAACTTTTATCAAAATCTTCAAAACAGACAAACGACTTGACCTGACTTTACACGTAAGAATCATATCACTTGTTGATTTCATCTCATTTTATAACACTATAAATTCTATTACTTTGTAGATTGTTCGTAATATAAACCACCTTGTAAAGAAGAAATCAAATTCTGTTTATAGCGAAGTTGTAGCATGTCTGTTAGCCCTTCAAATTAAAAACATTAATGTTGATGCAGAAAAGGAAGCTGAGCTTAAGCAGAAAAAGTTGGAACAACATAAATCAAGATTGTTGAGCATGTCAAAGCGTGAGAGAAAAAGGAAGAAGAAATTATCTGAATTGGATAAGGAATTGATGGAAACTAAGGCTGAAGAAAATAAGCAGTCCAAAAATTCAAAATTGACTGATATTTCAAAATTGGTATTCACTATCTATTTTCGAATATTGAAAGAAAGTCCAAAATCAAGAATTCTTAATTATACATTAGAAGGATTGGCAAAGTAAGTAAACATAAAGTCGCAAAAATAAAATATTACCTTAATAATTGTTTCTGTTTAGGTTTGCGCATATAATTAACATTGAGTTCTTCTCAGATTTAATTAACGTTTTGAATTCGTTAATTGAGAGTGCTGATCTTGGATATAGAGAACAACTTTTCTGCATTCAGACTGTGTTTGCAATCTTATCAGGACAAGGAGAAGCATTAAACATTGATCCGGCTCGATTTTATACTCATCTTTATAGGAATGTTTTGCGGGTTAATGCTGGAAGAAATCATGAAGATATTGAGTCAGTCATTGAAACTTTGGAGAATATTTTGATCAAACGAAGAAAGAATATTACGCACTTGAGATATATTGCATTTTTGAAACGCCTCATGACTCTTAGCCTACAAATTTTACATAATGGTGCTCTAGGATGTTTAGCAATGATTAAAAATGCCATGCAGTTAAATGTTTCTTTAGACGTCCTTTTGGACACTGAAAGTCAAATCGGATCAGGAAAATTCAATCCGTTTATTGATGAACCTGAATACAGTAATTCGAATTGTACAAGCTTCTTCGAATTATATCTTTTGCGACATCACTATCATCCCACTGTTGCTAAAATTGCTAATCATATATCAAAAGGATGTCCACTGAATCAAACTTTAGATCCAACAATATCTAAAATGACACCAATTAATTTCTACAATAAGTTTGACAGCAGTCAAATGGCTTTTAATCCCCCAATTCCATGTCCACCTAAAGACACGGAGCCGAAATTTTCAAATACAGAGAATCACGTGTACAAGCTTAAGGATTTAAATGAGCTTTGTTATAGCAATTTAGAATTCTCTGCTGAAGATAATTCGCATTTAAATTTCAATTTTTTTACAGAATTTAAGTAAATATTGTAAACATTAAACTTTGTTAATAAACTTTCAATTACCTAATTAAGCTTAAAGTTTGTTTATTGTGAAAAAAGTTTTCAACTGTTTTGTGGAATTTAAAACATTGTAATAATTCAAAATTTGGCAGTTCATATTTCCTTGGATTAAAAGGAACTTGAACAGAAATTATATATAGTAACAGATGTTTGATTTTGTGGATATACATTTATTACAACAATCCTTGAATCTTATGATGAAGTAAGTAAAACATAGATTTAAACATCATTAGTTTTTCATACATCATATCATTTTAGTAGTCTCAAAATAGTGTATTTGAGTAAAGAAATGTATTAAATAATTTAATTGAATAGCACATATTATTGAAAAAGGATAATTTCAACATTATGCCTTGCAATATTTAACGGTTGAAAAAACTTTGAAAAGAGAAAAAGTACACAAAATCAAACGAATCAGAATATCGGGCAGCAAGCAAAAAAAAAATCTTCAGAAACATAAAATAATTCGATAAACACAGAGCTCATTTGTTTAGCTCGCGAATAAAAGGCTCAAAAGTTCGCGTTAAAAAGTATTTTAGTGATATTCTGTGTTCAATCTTGTGTACAAGTGATTTGAGAAGAATTAAATAAGTGTTAATAGCAAAAGGATACTCAAGGATAAAATTTCAAGGAAGTGAAAAATTCAATAATGCTTTTCGAAAACAGTCCAAACGCCGTATTCTCTTATACAACAACAAATGGTGTTCCACAAATTCAAATTCCTGTCAAAACTCAGTAAGTGGTTGCATGCCTTAGAATAAAATTTTGTTTAAAACATAAAAGATGCTTAAAAAAATTTATCGAAAAATGACAACGAAATAATGGAAAGTTTTACACATAAAATAAATACCTACTATTTTTGCTACCTATGCTATATTCTTTATGGTTTCCTTGTGTTACCTATTCATTTTTTTTTTATTTTTATAAAATGAATCCTTACAACATAAACTGCATACATGTAAACTTGAGAGTTAAATAAGAAATTTTGTATTGCTTTAATAGTGGTGTTTTCCTTCTTTTTGTACATTTCTATGCACTGTCAATATATAATGGTTGCTATGATTTTTTTTTGTTCTATTGATTGGATATTGAATAAACAAAACAAATAGCTACATATATATACAATTGTGGATTAAAGGAATCACGACACATTTTTAAGATATTTCATTTCGAACAAAATGTTGAATTGAAACAGCAAATAATCTAATTAATTTTTCTGTTTTGTCTCATTTACTAGCTAGTAATGTTAATTAATGCTTCCGTAATTGTTAAGTAATAGATACATTTGTGAATTTTTCTGTAAAGCTCTACATCTCTAGAACTAAAGTAAATGTAAGAACTTCCCATAATTTCTTGATGATTCTTTTTATGCCTAAAGTAAATGTGAAGGAACGACAACGACGATGTGTGTATGTACAAAGAGAGGGAATGAAGAAAAAAAAATGTAACAATGCTATTGTTGAAATCAACTAACAAATAACTTTTCGAATGTAAAAGAACTTAATACAATGACCTTGGAGCTAGTCTGGTCAGCTTCAGCAACATTAAGTAATATCGAGTTTTATGCAAAAGCAATACAGATATATCAAATTCGTAGTATTTTTATTTATTTCGCTTGATTTACTCTCCAGAATAGAGTATAATGTAATTATATATGAAACGAAAAAAAAAATATCATGTTAAACTTTTATTTCCTCTGAAGATTCGAGCAAGGTATCTAAAATTAATAGTTTTGCGTAAAAAGGAATGAAAACAAAAAAAAGAGAGAAAAATCAATTACAATGTTCAATGACTTTAGTGTGCTGTCTTGATTTCTTCCTTGTCAATATCATTTCTTCTTTGCTACCATTCCCTTAATATTAGTTCGTGTAACATTGGGAATCTTTTTATTAACTTCTCCGGAATAAAAACAATGAGTAATGTGTTGTGGATATTCATATTTCAGTTTATGAAATTGAAATTAAAATGAAGAGAATAAGAAGAAGAAGTATATGTATAAAATAACTATAACACTGAAAAGATCTCCCTATCTAGAAAACCGGTCGTATATTGTTGTTGCAGCACCGTGAGTGAGCCATACGATCATCAGAGCTTTTAGAATAACTATAGTCGTCACATTGTTCTTTTTTCGATTTCTTGCGAATGTAGATATGAAAAACCTTTGCTTCATATACAATGTCGATGTGAAAGAAAACAATAAAATATGAGAAAACATTCAAAAGAAAGTGAGAAGTGCTATTGGTATTAGTAGACATAGCAGAATAAAAGCAGAAATTCAAGAACGTGCATATAAAGAGAGGCTTAAGAATGTTCTGTTTATTTTTATTTTAATTGTATTGCTGCGTAATTTTTTAAAACATATTATTATTAATCTCTCATAACGCATATTATCGACAGCAGCAGCATAAAAATCGGAAGAAAATATTCAATGCATTCAAATTTCCCTTTTATCATCATCGCTTCTTCTTTTTATTCTCTTTAATTGGCTTCCTACTTGTAGTGATCTTTATTGATATGAACAGACATGGAAGGTACTTTCATTTTCATCATTTCCTTTGAATTTGATCTACTCCTACCTACGAAAATATAGAATTAATCTTTTTTAATTGAGCAGACAAATTTATGAATAAATGGATTGAAAATATCATCAAAAATAAATTATTGAAGCCTACAACTACCAACGTAGTTTCAATAATGCGATACCTCCATCCCCATCTGCCTGTCTGAAGAAATTTCAGCTGTTATATTTTCGTGTTATTTAATTTTTCAATATATTCGTCATCATCATAATGCCGATAAACGTAAAAAATGGCAAATTATTTGTTCTATTTTCTTATTCAAATTATTATTATTTTTTGCATTCAAATATCGTTGTACGACAGACTCGAGCGGTGCTTACGATATTTATTATTTTATAGATTCGACGATGAAGTATATATTTATAATGAGACATCAAATGGCCTAAATGCTAATTTATGCAATATCGTATTCTATTGATTCTATTTTTACCATCGATTCGGGAAATTTTTAATTTTTTACTAATTTTACACAGACATATAAAAACATGAATTAATGATCGTAGCACATTACTCGTCAAAAAGTTCCGTTTATGCAATAATCTAAATAACTTCAAAGTCAATATTATTTATGAAGAGTTGTGCCTTTTATTTTTCATTTCCACTTCGTATATGGACAGAATTTTTGAATCCGACCTCCCTCAATAATAAATTATGTGTAATGGCAATATTTGAAAATATTTTTTTTCGCGAATATTTGTTAATTACATTAAATCAGCTATTTTTTATTTTTTTTTTATAAATTTTTTAATGAGCCATAAGAAAAGATATAAAAAGGTCTCCTTATACATGTATGCATATTGAACTAAAGCGATAGAGTGAGTAGAGACGGTGTTAGTTGTGAGGATATATATTCCGGGTTAAACGACACATGTTAAACGATAAATTTCTTTGCAAACAAAAATTTCCATGCATATCGGAGAAGTTAAAAAAAACACTTAGTGGAGATTCATTTTCGCTATTTAAAATTTGATTTGATATTTTTGGAAATACGCTTGTAAAGCTTACGCGGCATAGAATCAAAATGAGAGGAAAATTTCATAGGCAGAGATTATTAAAACATAAATCATCTGTGTTTTATGTTCATTTGAAATTTGTCGTTTAATAAAATGTCTGAAAATAAGTTTAGGCTCATAAATTCTGAAATTTAATAATAATTAATTGAAACTCATTGTTTTCGTAGCATAGGATAAATGCATTTAAATTTATTTCCTCCAAGTGAACATTTTAAAATTTAGTTTTTTTTCTTCACTTTTTTTCTATGTTTTATAAATATTAATCGCTTATTGATGCTCAATCAGAGAATTTGGAATAATCGAATCAGACTAGGGATTTTTTTAATCTGTCAAATTCTATCCCATATTTTTACTCCTTAATTGCATCCAAAGCAGCCTTTAACTCTGGATTGGGTTTGTATTGTTGATTGACAATGCGCATCTGAAAGAATTTGAAAAAAAAAATAAAATTATTAAATTTAAGGTCTAAAAACTTTTCGATTGTTAAATAAATACTAAGGAAACCATACAGAATATACTAAGAAATCTTGAGTAATTAGATTTGATATTATTCGATACAAAAATAGATCAAGAGTGCAAAATTCTATTAGACACAGTTTGTGTGGCTTCATGGAAATTCTTTGCGTACTTTTTTCCTCTTTAAAAGTCATCAAAATTTACGTACCACTCTGTGCAATTCAAAAAAGTTTCAAGTCTAATCCTTAGAACAGAAAAACTTTTTTTTATATGTGTTAGACTTCATTTCTGAGTAGCATAAATAAGGGGTTAATAGATTCAGTTCAGAAAAGAGGAAGTTCAAAATATTAAGGAAGATATTCACAGTAAAATTAGATATGCTGATAAATTCATAATTAAGTGTTTAGAGCTTAAATTTAGGTAAATAGGGAAAATGAATATTTATATAGAAAAAAAGGTAGAATTCATTGCACTCAGTGTTTCAGTTAAATAATGTATATAGGTGAAGCTTATTGTTTTTTCATTTTTGATTATGGCTAATAGATGGAGTTACGATGTAAATTCAGAAATATTTTCATACAAACTGTACGTCACTGCATTTTAGGATTATTTTACACATGCGTAGTCTTTTGCTTTAGAATGCCCTTATTTTCATTGATTCTGCGTTTTAAAGCATCAAATTTTTACGATATCCTAAATGTCCTCTACTAAAATTAATCCTCATTTTCTTTTAATGTTTAAAATTTTCTTCCATCTTTGAGGGTTTAAATTTCTTAATTAAGAAAATGTCAAAATTTTGGATAACTTTCCGTACTCTAAATGATGATTCAGAAAGGGATGCTTTTTTCATTTGTTATATTGAAATCTCTTGGGAAGAGCAGAAAGAACTAGATTAAAAGTAGAGAGGGTTCATTGTACTCTTCCATCCAAAAAAAAAACTTTTTTTTCGCAAGCATTTAAGAGATGGAAAATCGATAATCATCAAACTTAGGATTTTTTTTTGTGAAAATATATTAAATTTCTAATTTAATTTTATAAACAATTCTAATTTATAAAATAATAATCAATTTTAAGTTATTGGACCATTCTAAAGGGAGTGGCACTTTTATGAATAATCTTATAACTTCATTACTTTTTTCCTTAATACTCCATAAGAGATTCATATTTGTAAATTTGTTGTTTCGCTTGGCAAACAATACAAATGTCCGGAAACAGCAGCATAGTAGAGGACATTACTGCTGTGACAGGACAATATAATCGTCTACAAGCCATTGAGAAAATTTTTTATGCTTCCATTGTGAAAATGATTTTCCACCCGAATTTCCTTCTTCATTTTTAAACTTTTTCACACTTTTGATTAAGATTTAATTTTATTGATTCTTCTTTTTCATCACTTGAGATGAATTTCCAATAAAATTCAATGAATTTAATATAACTTTAAGTTCCTTTAATTTAAATGTTTAAAAAAAAGTTATGAACTTGCAGAACACTTAACAGCACGACGTGACTATAACGACTAAACTAAGGGTAGTGGTAGTACGTTATCCGGTGTTTCGGTATATCGTCATGATACAGCGGCGAAAAATAAAGGGACTTCGGCTTTTGTAAGGGAAAATTCGTTATCAGAGTTGCGTAGTGTGTGACAAACGAGAATATCAGGAGGGATATACTGCTTCGACTCAGTCAATGCTATTTCGTACTCAAAAGATTTTTGAAATATATCATTGATTTTTTTCATTTACTCAATGATTTTAAGATATTATGACTGATAAATTGAATTACTTTAACTTGAAATGATTCTTATAAATTTCAATTGTGTTAAATTTCATCAATAACTTTTTGTATTTAACAAATTTAAAAAAAAAAATCAATAATCCGACTTATTAGAACATTATGTTCTCGTAGCATTATTTCGCGAGTTTGCGCAGTCAAAAATGCCACTTTTTTAAAATTATAAAAATCGCATGGAAGCATAAAAATGAAACTCAATGGCTGAATAATATGTTCAATTTTTGTTTTTTTGGTAATTAATTATGATTTAATCTTAAAAAACTCAATTCTTATGGCAATATTCTATATCTGTTTAATTTTTATTGATTTCCAAAAATTATTATTGATAAAATATCTGTTCACTCACCTTATTTACTTCTGGATTCATCATATCCATTGATTCACAAATTTGTGGGTTTGCTCGATTGAAACTAAAATAGGATTAAAGAAAAGGTTTTAGATCCAAATCTCAATGAAATCTTATTCAGTCATTTACCTTACGTCCACACGAGTCTTTGAGGCATACCCAATAAATGCAGCCAAGCCAGCCTATTAAATTAGGATGAAAATTAATTAAACATTTTGAAAATAATGAGAACTTGAGATATTATTCTTACAACAGCTCCAGTCATGATGAAAACAAGTGGCAATACCTAGAAGAAAAAAAATATTTTATTAATATCATATGAAATGATTCTTGGAATCTTAATTTATAGATCTAGAGATATTATTTTCAAAAAACCAAAAAAAAAAAATCATGTTTTAATTTGTATCTCTATTTATTTTTAGTGGTGTCATAGAGGCAAATACAGTTGAACATGAGATACATAATGGCTTGATACCAGTTAGTGCTACGGCAGTAAATTGTAATCCTAGTTCAATTACTAATACTAGTAGTACAACTCAAACATTATCTAACGGAGGTAATTCAGGTAGATCAACACCAAATAATGCAGATATGGCTCCGGGAAAATTATTTGTTGGTGGTTTGAGCTGGCAAACATCTAGCGAAAAATTACGCGAGTATTTTGGAATGTTTGGAACAGTTACTGATGTTCTCATAATGAAGGATCCGATAACACAAGTATGTAGAATCATTTATACTAATTAGATACATTTCCTTTCACTTTTCACCTCAACCTTAATGTTTTTTAATCATTCTATTTCTTCTTCACATATTTCATTACGTAACTTCACTATTAATAGAGAAGTAGAGGCTTTGGATTTATAACTTTCACGGTAATTAATTGATATACAACACATTCTTTTAAAGGAGTTATCATTCTTAAAATAATCAAAATTAAATAATTTAGGAACCCGATGCAGTCGAAAAAGTACTCAAAGTTCCAATTCATACATTGGATGGAAAGAAAATTGATCCAAAACATGCTACACCAAAGAATCGTCCGAAAGCTGCCAATAAAACTAAAAAGATTTTCGTTGGTGGTGTTTCACAAGACACCAGCGTCGAAGAAGTTAAAGCTTACTTCAGTCAATTTGGTAAAGTTGAAGAGGCAGTAATGCTTATGGATCAAACGACAAAACGCCATCGCGGTTTTGGATTCATAACATTGGCAGATGGTAAATTATAATACCCCCCAAAAATGATAACATATTAATCTATTGTGGTTTTTTCAGAGGATGTTGTCGACAGAATATGCGAGATTCATTTCCATACGATTAAAAATAAGAAAGTGGAATGCAAAAAGGCTCAACCAAAAGAGACTGTTTCTCCAGCAACACAAATGCAATTACAGAAGCGTTTGTTATTAAACGGTCTTGGACTAAGAATGCCAACAAATACTGCCGTTGTTGGAAATCATCATCATCATCATCATGCTGCAAATGTAGTGCCAACAACTTTAACTGCTTATCCGTTGAATGTTGCAGCTCAGGTAATATTGTTTTTAAACGTTTTTAGCACATTGATAGTAATTTCTATCGCTTACATAGGCCGCTCAAGCAGCTAGTATGGTTCCAAATCATCATCATCATTTGACAAATGCTGGTCTTGCCGCAGCTGCAGCAGCTTCAAATAATGGAGGAAAATTAATTGCAACATATCCCTCATCATTCCACGCTTTAAGGTAACTTTTCATACAGCTTCTTGACATAGACAAAGACTAATTTATTGTATTTCTCTCAGATACACTCCATATCCAATGGCTCCGACTATGCAAACTGCCGCAGCAGTATCTCAGTTATCAGCTCAGACAGCAAATCAACAACAACAAAATCCTCAGTTGACTGCAGCAGCTGCAAATCCTTACCCAGGATATAATTTGACAAGTGTCGATATGTCAGGCTTCAACGGAATTGATTGGGCATCTATGTATGGCATGTATGTATAAAATGCATCATCTATCTGTCTTTCTCTATAATTATTTTCTCAGTGCTAAATTACGAGATTTATCTTTGAATTTTTACTTCTTAATACTTAGTGTTACTCATTCATTTTGATTAATTTTTGATTACTTATTACACTTAACTTAATTATTTCCTATTTTGGTAAATTTTACATTAATTGTTTCTCTGGTAATTATGATAAATTTTGATTAAAAACCGATTGATAACTACTTAATATTCATATAAAAAAAACAAATATCAATTATTACGATACACAAATATCTTTGTGATGTAACCATGACATCAAATTTAATGAATTTCTTCTTAATTTTGCGTATAGTAAATACGTTGAAAATTGAAAACACTACTCATTATTTTAACTAAGCACTTCTTGATAATTCTCTTTTGATTTATTTGATATTTTTTGTGTTAAAATTTAATGTGCTATACTTAGTTTATATATTCCTATTTTTTATGTATTAACATTAATTTATAATTTGTCTCGTAGTAAGATGATTTCGTTTCCTACTTTTTTCTTAAAAAAAAGAAAACATAACAATAACATATTGGTCTCATTTAATTTTATGACGTAAAAGAATGCATTATCAAGCCTCTTAATTATCTTTATTTTAGTTTATTTGATATTTGAAAGAAAAAAATTCGAATTTGTTCTTAATAATCTTGCCACGATTAACTATACCTATATGATTTTCAATAACTAATAACTAGTTTTAATTGTAAGAGATTTCGTTTAGTGAAATTTTGATGAGAATGCAAAAAACATTTATGTAATATATAGTAAAACATATTTTTATGTTAGTCCCACCTCTATTGAAAAAAAAAACAAAAGAATACAAATGGTAAATTAGAAGAAGATGAGATTTTAGTAATTAGTAGAATTTAATTTTATATCAGCTTATTATAAAAAATAGAATAAAAAAAAAGTATGGAAACATTTTTTGAGATTTTATAGATCTTACAATTTTCTTAATAATTTGATAATTAACTATATCGGCTGATACATACAAAAGCGAGGCTGTCTATGTATTCAATACAGCGGTTAAAAAAAACTTATAACAATATCCTATTTGCGTTCTTAAAGCAATAAAAAGCTCGCAATAATCAGTATTAGAAATTGTGTCCTTTTATATTCTGGATAAAAGCATTATACATTTTTGAAGAAAAATTATTGGCCATTATGTGTGATGTAAATTTAATTTTTTCCCCTCAAGCATACAAATTTATAATGTGATGATAATATGATAGATTTACAGCATAATCTTGCCCATTTTTAAAAAATGAACAAAAGTAATACAAAAAAAAATTCATTTCATTTCATCAAATTCTCTAGTTTACGACGACAAAATGTATGGTTTTCAAGTCTTTGAAAATATATAAAGAAAGTTTGCTCAAGAAAAACCTTTCTATACATGCATAACTGATATTCCCATTTCATAATTATTTATCAATTTATTTTAATTTGTGAAACATTAAGTAGCCAAAATTCTTGACATCGTTACCTTCAAATTCGAAAAGATACTCAATAACAGCAATAAAACCTATTTTTCTATCAATTTAATGATAATTTCTCTGAACAATAATAACTATAACTTTAAAGAAAAAGAAAAAAAATATATTCATAATAAAAAATGAAGAAGCACCTTGTGCCTTATATGCCAGCCAATGAGTTTAAAACAATTTTGATATTTATACAAATAATTCATTCAAGTTTCAATTACCACATCAATTTTTTTTTTTGAAAGACACATTTTAAAGTTTCTTTGATCATTGCAATACATTGTTGTGATTATTCATATCCTACTGCTTGAAAACTTTTATTTTCTCCTTTAATTTTATGTAACATCCTAGTTATTTTTTATAAAGTAGATATTTGAATCACTTATTTTCTTTCTGGTAGATGTTTCAGAATTTTGGCTTTTAATAATTAAATTAATGAATTTTTTAGTTTTTATGTACCTAATTTATGGTTCTTATCACACAGTGGTAGTCCTGATAAAGTAAGCTCACTTATTTTATTGTAGCAGAAAAGACACAATTTTCATTTTATTTGTATTTTTTCCAATTTAGTTTCTCTATTTTTATTATTATTATGATTATTATGTAAATGAATAAAAAGCTATATTATAGAAAAGGAAGAAAGTACAAATATTTTCATTTTGTGGAAGTATATAATATAATAAGATGGTTCTCTTTGAAGACTTTTTTTAGAACGTCAAAAAGAGACTTAATAAAAACCTATACCAAAATGTTTCAAGACATAGCAAACTAATTCTATCATATAAAAATATCACGATAAAGTGCTCTGAAAGACTGAAGAAAGAAATACTAATGAAAACCATCATATTTAGATATATTTTTTATCTGTTTCTAAATTTTTTGATCCCACCATTCTTTTAAATCTCATTTCTGTTTTAATAACCAGGATATATAGATGTGTGTGAATTAGATAACTTGCAGTAGATGAGTCAAACGTGGTCATTATTTCACATGAGACTCTTTAAAAGTATGAAGCTGCATGCACTTTGATTTATGTTTTGCTCCACGTCTATATAGCTTGTCATCATCTCTTAAGTTTGAAGAGATGTTTAAGACATTAAGTGAATTTTCTACGTTCATGATCAAGTCATGAAAAAAAATTCAATTAATTCCTTTATATATCAATGAAAGAAATTGAAAAGTGTTGTGTGCACACATATCTTTTTATATCATGAGATGAAATAATGCTCTAATAATTATCATCTGAATTTTTTTAAGATTGAAATTCTATAAATTTTTAAATAAGAGAAGAAAAAAAATGAATAATATTCCTTGTAACTATCAAAATTAACTAGTTATTCTTCTATCCGACATACAAGAGAAAAAAAAGAGAACAATTTGATTACAAAAAAGCATGGTTTTTAAGTGACAATACTAAAGATACTACTTTTTCTATTTAAAATTACTATATAAAAATGTTGATATTACTCATTATAAAGAAAAAGAAAATACCTTTTTTCAAAGGAATGTGGAATTTGAAAGCAATAAGAACTTAATAGTTGTTTTTTATGAAAGTAAAATTTCTAAAATGAGTATTTTTGTGCAAAATTTAATAGCAACGTAGAACAATAATAATTTTTCAAAAAAAAAAAAATTAAAGATTCCTTCCTCTCCTTACACTACTTTTTCTAATCTCATTTCATTATAGATGTTTATATTTTAGTATTTTTCTATAGTAGATTATTCTTTTTGGTAAAATAAAAATTTGCAGTAATTTGAATTTTGCTTTTAAATTAAACAACTTTTTTGTTATCTTTCCTCTCTATTTATTCTTTTTTGAGAACAAAAAAAAAACTTAAATATATGTATATTAATAGTAGAAAGACTTGAGACAGTAAATTATATTTTGTGAGATCTTCTTAATATAAAAAAGTATGTCTAATAAATAATTTAAATATTAATAAATGATAAATAAATAAATGATCTGAAACATAATGTTTATGCGAGAAAAAAAAATAATAATAATAAATAATGTAAAATTATTCTGTATCAATATAATATGTAGAATAGAAAGATGCTAAATACTTAAATGTAGTTACATTGAAGTTTTGTGTATGAAATAATTTTATGTGTATTACTAAATGGAACAACATATAGTGTTAGATTAGAGACTGGACTTTTCATATTATTTTATTTATTTGCATTCTTAATAAAATTATTAATTAATTGGTATTTCCTATATATACAATAGCTTTTAGTTGAAACCTTTTTTTTGTCATAATAAACAGAAAATTGCTTTTCAAGTCTATCCATATCAAGTTAAGACTTACTTTGCAATCAAATTTTGCTGCAAAGTATATTTTTATCACAACTTTTCATTTTCATATTGCAAACATTTTTTTTTGCAGATATTCATTTAATTTGTTTGTATGATTTACTTCCTTTGATCTATATATACTGGTTTCTGTTAATTTGGTATCGCATATTTCTGTTTCACTATGTAAAACATTAATAATAAAATTTTAGAATTTAGAAAATTAATATAATGTAACAGATCATAGAGCAATATTTGTAAGGATAATGACATATAATATATATATATATATATATATATATATGAAAACTGGTATATTTATAAATACATATGAGCATATCATGAAAAAATAAATTTTCGAGAAATTTGATAATCATTAATAAATTTTGATTTGCTTTGTGAACGATATGCCAGTTCTCAACATTTGCATTTTAAGCTTTGTTTGATAAATTCGCCCAAGGTTCAATCGTATCTAATCTTTAGTCTACCTTCTCGATTCATTTAAAGAATGTACTTAATGAACATAAACTTTAGATCCTGGTATTATAAATTAATGCATGAATGTATCAAGCATTGGTAAAAATTACATTGAGATTAAGGATTAGAAACTAGCCTTGGAACCACCTAATACATGATCAGTTTGTTTTCCCTATGTTTTTCTTCAATAGTACGTAAATTTTTGTTTTAAGGTTTTTTAATTTTTAAAATAAATTGACAATTTTTTTTTGTTTAATTACATAACAAGTATTCAATTCTCATAAATTTATACAGGTAGTACTTATTACAAATAAAATAAATTGCAAAACAGTTTGCAAATTATCTATAAAAATAAAAATTAGCAAACTCTAGTAATGATAGTAATATTTGATGTAAAAACCTTAGTAACTTTCAAATAAACATTTATAAGTAGCAGTATGTTATATTAAATTTCATGTAAACATAAACAGTTTTTTGGTCTGAATTTTGTAGATTAGAATTCTTTTGGCAAAGAAATTATTGTCTTGAATAAAAGTGAATACGTAAAAAAATCACTAGATATACATATTTTTTATCTCTAAAACTCATTTCCCATTTTTTTATCCCCTTTTTGTAATGTTTTACTTATTTCTCATGCATTTATTTTCTTTTATAATTATAGCACACTGTAATTTGTAAGACATTAATCTGAAAAAGTTTCTGGTCTGTACATACTTCACACTTGTACTTAGAAAAGTAATTTAATGGGAAATTTTTATCGAAAGTTATTGGAGTAGTTAGAATTTACTTTTCAGTTTTTAAATGTAATTAAGGCGACTTTAAATCAAACGCATGACTTTTTGTGTTTATTACTGCAATGCATTTCGATTTGAAATTTTGACAAAAAAAAAATTATGCTCATCATGTTGGTTGAATCTCGCGATTTTCTTTGGTAGCTTCTAATTTTCCATTAGACACATTTGTAAGCAACGTAGACATTTATCTTCAGTGGTTGAAGGAATTTAAAATTTACATCTAATTAGCTACTAACTGATGTCATCTTCGATATAATAATTTATTGGATTTTCCTTTTATTATATAATTATTTTTTTGATTTTCTATTACTGACTTAAATTTTTTTCCTTTATATCTAAAGCAGATTTTGGCAACAATTCAATGTTGCCCCATCTTGATAATTTATGATTACTTTAGGATAAATATAAAATTGTGGAATTTATTCAATAACGAAACAGGTAAGGAACGACAAAAATATGTGATCATGTGTGAGAGTAACAGAACGTAATCAAAAAGTGATTTTAGTGAATTTATCAAAATTTATAATGTCAATAAAGATGCATGAAAAGTTTAAGTCTATTTTTTTTTCGCCCAATATCGCGATAGTGAATCAATAAAGGAAATAAATTTATAAAAAACTTCTTATTTCATAACTTATTTTTTTGAGTAGTAAAACGTTTCAGACAGAGTTGTACACTTTACCGAATTACTGCTAAAGGCAGAAAACAAACAGTCTTGCAATGAATTGGCAAGAAAAAGTATTATTACTTTATAAACATTCCTAGGGACATGGTCTTCATGAGTATGCCTTGACTAATATCAGGTAGGTATTCATTACTTTTTAGATATTAGTTTTGTTCTCAATGTCTAGGAAAAGACTTTCTCAGTCCACAATCCCAACTACCGAGATGCCTAAGTGATTTCCCTATCTTCTCGGATAAGGAAACACGTTGTTACTCGGAGGGCATTACGGACCTGTTATTGCTCAATTTCATATTGTTAAAAGCGACTTGTCTATTAATTGCTTGTATGCTTTTTGTTCAGCACATGACTAATATTATTGAAGTCAACTATGAAGACGCAGTTTTATGTGCCTTGACGTAGATATTGAAAAATTGAATACAATCTGACAAAGCATCTTTTCAACAACTCTGATTTCAAGTTAAAAACCAGAATAAATCATGTTTTTTTGATTTGAATAAATCAATAAAAAACAAAAACACTATGTCAACGTACTATTTCTAGATCTATAGTATTTTTTTTATAGATGTAATAAAACTTACAGCATAGTTCTTCTTCATTCCCTTCCATGTAAAGTATCTCCAGTCTCTTTCGCCGGCTTTACCTACATAAACAAAAAATGAAGTCAGTTTAATTTGTAGATAAAAATTAAGCTTAGTAAAATTACCTTCATAGTGGCGTAATTTAACGGCTAAGTTACGGGTCTAAAAATTAAAAGATAAAAAAAAATAATCTGGTTACAGATATATATTCCAGATAATGTTTGATTCTTCATAGGTAAGGATAAACATAACGACATCAAGGTCACATGCATTTGTGTTGTTTATTTTCAATATGTATACCTAGAAGAGGTTTTTTTTTTGGCATAAAAGTAATCTATAGATAGAATGATACAAGTCATTATTTTTCGCTCCAAACGTTTTCGCAGAGGTTAAATTTTCGTATGTATTTTCTGCTTTCTATCATTTTCATCAAATTCGTGCTTGAAAGTGTATGAGTTCTCTTTTTTTACTACACTTTACTTATGATCGATTTTTTGAGTAATATACGTGTCTATAAATTATTTATTAATTTATGTACTCAAATGCAAATGTTTTTTGAATACCTAACGATAGTGACAATTTTAATATTGAAATCATAATAACGATATCGATGCTGGAGAAATTAAATTTTAAGCGAAATGGAATGTTTCGTAACAACAATTTGATGGTATTCGCAAAAATTCTTAGTGTGAGAAAGAGTTTCTTATTCTTACTTTTAAGTAAATACGTTGGTCGGTCGTCACCTTAAGAGCAACCATTTCGTTTTGCATAATAATAATTTCAAAGAGATAAATACAAAAGCGTGTGATGAATTTGAATAGTAGCAATAATTATTAGACTCATTATTAAAAATAATATTATTAGCGGTTTTTAAGCACGACTGTTGTATATAAAAATTTCGTACTTCTATCTTATCAACTTTGCTCACAAATATATGAATATTTTTTTAAATAGTATGAATGTCGCTTCCAAAACGCAGAAGAAGTACGGCCGTTTATATAACAATATAATTTCTCAGAATTATATATCATTACGCTATTTATGAAATTTAATACATTAGGTTTCATCATTCCATGACTCATCTTACTCTATTCTGCTTATTTCCTCTTTCTTATTAATCATTTTCGTACTAGATACATTTGCACTTTTGCACGCAGACGTCTCTCCAGAATGGAGACTTAAAATCTATGTATTTGTGGACTCTTACCGTCATTCGTTGAACGGATGCAACTGCCTTTGTAAGAACCATGTTTATTCACTTTTTTTTTGATGCACTGATAAATAAACAAACGTTAGAATAATTTTAAAATCTTTTTCGACGTGCGATGGATGTTAACAGTTTGAAAGCAAGTTTGTGAATGAGTAAAAAAAATCCCTCTGTAAGAATAAGCGAAAGAAGAGAAAACCTTTTTCAAGTTATGGCATGCTACTTTTCAAATTACTATGATATTAATTCGACATTGACCCATTTTTATAGTTCTGACTATTAAATTTATGTCGTGGAAAGTAGTTGTTTTCTTCATTTTTTACATAAGCCATAATACACAATTAATTGTGTGGTGTCATGCTTTTCAAATTTTTCCCGACATGTGCTGCATCGATATACTAACACAAACAAACTGGATGGAAGTAATACACATTTCGTCTGCGTAGAGCGTACTATATGTTCTCAATGAAAGAGAAAAAAAAAACAATTACATAAATACTTTCACACAAATTTAGCGAAAAAGTTGGGAATCCTTACATGTGAAAAAGTCGATCGAAATACATGCTGCATAGTTGTCTCCTTACTTGCAGAGGGGATTAAATATTTTTTTCTCTTTAGCTCCATTTGCCTTTTTTTTGAGAACATAACAATAACAAGAAGAATAATGCAAAAATAAGGAAGAGAAGAAGAAGAAAGGTACGGCTCGTATCACACGCCGTACTTTATAGTTGTTGTAAGATACATTTTCCACCCATAGCTAAGGACATTTGAAGGGCAGAATGGAGAAAATAAATGCCGGTATGCGTGAAGGGCTGCTCATTTTTCTCTCTTCTTCAATCGTACACACGCAAGTCATTACAAAATCATTTTTTATGATGAAATTAAATCTGCCTAAGTTCCCCCGATGAATGTCTGTATGAAAAAAAATAAAAATAATAATAAAACATTTTTAAGAAAAACATGTGACTAAAAAATTTTAACGGTGTTGATAAAAAGCATAGTGTTAAAAATTTTTTACACAAGCAAGCAAGCCCATTCATATGTCGATGACGTCAGAAACAGTACACTTAGTCACGTAGGCATCTTTTACTTTTCGACTGCGCTCAAAGCGAATATTCTGATCGAATATTGTTTTTAAATTTTGCACGCGTGTTCGTTAGACGGCTGTAACGGAACTGCAAAAGAAAAGTATGTACAGTAGTATCCAAAAATCTAAAAATAAACAACACAATACTTTGTTCTATTATTTTTTAATATTTATTGAAAATAATGTCAAAAACATGGATAAATTAAAATATTCATAATTCTTACAAGAAAATATCGCAAAGCTTTATTAAAGTAACTATCTTTGCTAAGTTCATTCATTTCATGTGTATTAAATATAGAGAATTTTTATTTGTTGTGGTGATGGAAAATTTAGCGCGGTAAACTGCACATTTCACATGTCTGCGTATCATTATTGTTAATAAAAGTGCAATGATTACATGTCCAGTCTGTTCCAGCGTTGCTAGTTTCTGCATTCATATGGTTGTCATTTCTACAAAAAAATATAATTTTCATTAAAAGGGATTGCCACAATAATTCATGCAAAACTTACTCATGAACATGAGCGCTGATTAATTGTTCAAATGTGCGCCAAATGTCACTCCTCATAAACTGACTAGCTAAGTTTTCGTCTTGTGCTCGAACAGCCTGTAATATCTCTCCCATCTGAGACTTCATTTTGATATCAAAGCACGTCGATCCATACAGATAAAGGAGAACGTGAAAGTCTGACATTGCCTAAAAATAATAATTCAAGAGGCGTCAAAAGATGTAAATTAATTCGAAATAATTTGTGGATTATACCAATAAAAAGTCTCGTGACTTATAAATTTGCATATAATTATGAAAAGTGGCATAATCTTGTAAATGTTTGTCCAATAATCGATTTTCAATAGGGAATCGTTGTTGACGGGATGGAAATGTGAAAAGAGGAACAAGCGGTGATGATGTTGGGACATCGAGAAGCAAATATTCTACAGGCAGAGGACGTGCCATCTTTTGAACCTCATTTCCATACTGATCCTTATCCTATTAATAAAAAAAAAGAAATAAAAAAAATTTGAAAAGAAGTTTTTAGATCGAAATTTCATGTCCAAAGTAATTGTAGATAAACGATCACATTTTCTCCGTATTTTGCATATGTATGAGTGTATTTAAGCATACGTCAGCAATCAATTGCTTCCCCGTTCTTACATTACATTATTTGGTTCAATGTCCATCACCCAGAAAAATTTCCCTTTCTACTTTGAAAACGTATTAGTGCTTTTAAAAATAACGCATTGACTTATACATTACGGCTGGAATGAAACTTGAACTTTTCACCTTGAAAATCGTAAACAAATGTTGGAGAACTTTTTTTTTCTCTTTACATCACGGGTACGCGCATAATCCAAAAATGTCGTCAACCAGCTGGTTTTATTTCTCTCTCATTACTCATGCGCATTCTATAAGTGAGAGCTTCTCAGCGCTTATGATTTCTATTATCACATACATTTGCAACAGAGCCGCAAGTTTTGGAGCCAAAAAGTTTTTCTTTCCCTTTTCACTGACACTTTTCAGTTGGTAACTGTTGATCATCATCGTACCGCCGTTTTATTTTATAATTCAGAAAAAATAAGATGAGAAAGTATTGAGAATCTATTCTAGTCAGTTTTCTCGTAACGAAATTGTGTCACCGCAAAGTTAATTATATATTTCATAATATTTTAATCGAGTGAAAAAGCATATAGATAATATTATTAACGTAACATTGATAAAGGTCAATCGAAAAAAAAAACTATCACATATTGATCATTTGGAACTTTGTCTTTCTCTATAAGTTATTCTTATAATTTATATCTGACAATACAAAAATAGTCAAGATTGTGATTTTTTTTTGATTAAAAGTGAATTGAATGATTTGAATTTTTAACCATTTTAATTTTTCAAAATGAATTAAGTCGGATAAATAATAATACAAAAAATAACATCAATCTTCAGTAAATAGAGAAAAAGAGAGTGAGAAAAAAAATTGAGGAAAATTTTTTCCATCAACACAACAAACAGAATTTTTCCAATCTGTACATCAGTATTCAACGAACAAGAGCTTTCGCAATACACAAAAAGGAAAAATATTACGCTCGTTAAAAGAGAGAAGAAAGAAGAAGAATGATAATGAAAAAAAGTAATGGAAGTTTTTCCGGAATCATAATGTAACATATTTTTGGCAATATTTATGCATTCTACGTTAGAATCAACTAGATTCGTTCATTGAAATCAATACAAGTATTTTTCGAATGAAATCATCATAATCGACATTAGGAAGTTCAGTTAATCGTAATAAAAAATGAGTTCCACAAACAGGAAATTGTTAAAGACTATGTCTGAAGTGATTTTTAAATTTTTTAAAAAGGCACACATAATTTTGAAGTAAAAGCTTATCAGTTTGTTCCTATTTAATCGTGATTTTATGTTCTTCACGCGTCATCAATTAACAGGAAAATCGCTTTTCCTGCTAGAAAAAAAAAGAATAAAAAAATAAATTTAAAGAAGCTTAATTCGATAAAAACCATATAAAAACTTAATCATTCACCAATCAATTGATTGTCAAGGTAAGTATCGAGAGATGGAAAAGCTATTTTACAATTACTTTAGTTCGATTAAAAATTAGAAATCATTTTGGGCTCGTCCCTTTTTCCTTAGTGACGTCATTTCACCGATCATATTTCAATATGCTAAATCAATTTTCTTTGAAACAGAAATCCTAGTATGAATTGACATGAATTTAATTAATATTGTAGCTGAAGTGAAGTCAAGTAAATATCTTTTTTATATTATGTTTATCGGATTAGAACATGCAAAAGTTGCTTTATTCTCAACATATTCGTGCTTTACTCTTATTCTCATAAAGTCATAAAAAATATTTTGGAAGGCATATGGAAATGTAGATATTTGTTGACCTTGAGCGAAACCTAAATTTAGGTTTACTTTTTATTTATTTTATATATATAAATATATATATATATATATATATATATATATATATATATATATATATATATATATATATATATATATATATATATATTGATAATTCAGTCTTTTTCCAAAAAAAAAAAAAGCCATAAAACCTTTTTTTTTTTCATTTGAAGCTTTTCTCAATGACAAATCTTTTCTTCCTCTTCTTTTTCTGGGATACTAAATGATAAAGCTTTAATTGCATCTCACATTTCCTTTCGTAGATGGATAATTTATTACCAAACGAATTGGAAGAGTTGATTGTATGCAGTTGTTGCCACACAACATTCAATGATTCAGATGCATTACCAAAACTATTTTCATGTCGCCATTACTTTTGTCTCAAATGTATCAACACAATTTTGTTGAAGGGAAAGGAGCTTTATTGCATCCATTGCTGGAAGCGTACAGAAATACCAGACATGAAACCCGAAAATTTACCAACATACAATGCTATATTGTATTTATCACAAAATATGATAAATATAAAGGCAAAGAAAATTATAAGTGCAGATAAAAATCAATTTTCGCCAAATAATAACATATCAACAAATCTAAATAATAAAATACGTTCAAATGAAAACTGTCTCACTCATGCGATGCCGAATAGTTTATGGTGCTTGAAGTGTAATGTCTTAGTGTGTCGAGCTTGTGCAAGTACTGAAGATCACCGAAATCATACCGTTAAGAGCTTAAATGAAGCTAAAGAAGCAATTCATAATGACGTTTTATCTGAATTGATTAAGATGCAAAAGAAATTAACTGAGTTACAGCATCTTGTGTTTAAGCAAAGAGATTTCTTATTAAAAATCCTTGAAGGTTGCACGACACTTAAAACACAAATTGAAACCGAACTAATAAATCATATACCGACGTTAGAAATAAGTGATATTCGAGGAAATTTGTCCAAAGCAAAACTAACATTGACGCTCCTCGAGCATCAATCGTCTCCAGCTGAGGCCTATCGATTATTCGCAAGTCTTAATATGGAAAAGCAACGACTTCATTTTAAATATAATGAAATGCTATTACAGTGCAAATTGGAGGAAATCATTCAACACAATGGTTCTCTCTTGGATTTCGAATTTTTGAAACAAATTTCCTCGGTCCTAAGTATGAATGGTGTCGATGCCATTACATTAAGCGAAAATCAAGTCATTTTGAATGCAGTTAATAGTAATTTAGCGTCCATTTCTAATCAAACCGTCTTGAACAATAACAATAACAATTCGAATAATAATAATAATTCAAACAACAGCAACAACAACAACGGAAATAATAACAACAACAACAACAATAATTCTAATTTAAATAATAATAACAATAATAACACCATAAAGAATAATAATCATCCAACTCAATTAGGCACCCCGATCTCAAGTGCTTCAATTAACAACATCAACAGTAATTCTGCGACTGTATCAACTTCACCATTCAATTGTAATCACATTATGACTGGATTAGGACATAACAATATGATTTTACTATTAGCTAATTACTGCATTTCGCAATTGTATTCACATCATATATTGACTACAAAGACAATGGCGCAAGCTCTCATGAGTAGTCCACCTCACAACAAAACTTCATTTTCCTTCTCCAGTAATAATAATAATAATAACAATAATAACTTATTCGGTGGAATTATTGGGATGCTTCCTGATCAGATGTCTCAAATGACTATGCAAGACAACCTATTTCAAAAACTTTCGGAATCAACAAATATTTCAACATCGGACCTTTTAAATAACGTTGGGCACATTGGAAACGGAAATATATCTAACTTTATATCAGCTAATAGTCGTCAGCTTCATCATTCACACCAAACTCCACCACCATTAAACTTTATACCTGATATAAATGGAATCGTTTTACATCATTCATTACATTCCTCAGTATCTAATTCTAATAATAATTTATCAACATCAACGACAACGTCAAATCAGCAGCAATCTGTCGCAAATCTTGTTCAAAATCCAAGTGTTCATGTATATCCAATATATTATTTCAACATTGAAATAAATGGAGCACCTTTTGGACGAGTTCTAATCGAAGTACGTAACGATGTGGCACCGAAAATGGCAAAGAATTTTGGTTCTTTATGTACAGGTAATTTTTAATGAAAAAATTCTTTTTTTCTTAAAGACTAATCAACTTAAAAAATAATGTTTTATTGTTTTTAGGTGAACTTGGGTTCGGCTATAAGGGTTGTTCCATTTTCCAGTGTTGGGAAAATGAATCAATCATTACAGGTGATTTTGAATTAAACAACGGACGAGGCGGGCGTTCTGTTTTCGAAGATAGCTTCTTTATGCCTGACGATACAAAAATTTTGGCGATACGCGGATCGGTAGGAATGCGACGCAGTCAAAAACGTCACGATAACTTAGGTTTAGTCGGTTCACAATTTCGAATTATTCTACGCGAAATGAGAGGATTTACAGGAATTTTTGCTTTCGTTGTTGAAGGCTTAGATTTGGTGGACAAAATAAGTAAAGCGGGTGATTCGGCTGGTAAGCCGACAAGTAATGTGATCATAGTTAATTGTGGTAAATGGCAATAGACGAGATAAACAAGTATTTTGATTTTAGAGTATTTTTAAATGAACGTGCTGATATGTAATGAATATATAAAGATTTATGAAGTTACCTTTAAACAAAAAAAAAAAAAACGATGATACAAAATGAAAATAAGCGTAATGACCTGACTAATAAATGATCATATATTTTTTGTGGAAATTTTCTGTAGATAACGAATCATGTTTGCAAAAATGCTTGCAATAGTTAAAGGTCTATATATTTATATTGCAATAATATAAATGATTTAAAAATTATATGAACCGAAATTTAAAAGAAGTAGGTTTGTTTCTAACAGACACTTGAAAAAAATATTTAAATAAATCCTTAAGAAAGTTATTGTAGCAATAGTCAACGTGCTTAAAAACAAAACACTGCATAAATTGTTGTAATTCGTGACATACATCTAATGTAAATGTGAAAAAATTTAATTGTCAATAAATAAATATATATATTTAAAGCACAAAGCTCATAACTAAGCTCATTAGCCGAAATTTTGGTCGAAAGTATCTCATTTACTGTTAAGAAAGTCTGACAAAGGCTTTTTAAAAAAAGAAAATCGAAAAGAAATTAAATTGAAGAGAAATGAATACAAAATAAAGTATATACATATATATTTACGCTAAAAAGGATGTTAGTTGTTTATAAATTGAACAGAGAATAAATATACTTCATGTTATGATTAGGAAGAAATTCATAGATACATACTTAATAATAATTATCGCATTGAACAAAAAAATATATATTATAAATGTTTGTCTCTTCGTTAGAGAAAAAAGAAACGAATTGAAGATAGTCTAAGGGCTCGTTCACTTATTACGTAACGCAAAAAAACGAATTTTTAGACCCCCCCCTCCCCCCCCTGTAACAAAGCGTAACAAAATCTTAGACCCCCCTCCCCCCCCCCATAACGTAACAATAATTTTTTTCATTTAAATTGTTTATCAAATGTTTATTATACTTCCTTTAAAATTTAAAATTAATATAGAAAAAATTATAAAAAAATATATTTTTTGAAAAGTTACGTAACAAAATTTAGACCCCCCCCCTCCCCCTGTAACAAACCGTAACAAAATCTTAGACCCCCCCTCCCCCCCTAGTGCGTTACGTAATAAGTGAACGAACCCTAAGTGACTTTATGCTTTGGTTATTGCATTGTACCTGTTTTGGAGTTATTTAATTTCGGTTACAAATAAAATGTTTTAAAAACCGAATGATGAAAATGATCACAAACTTGATATAAATGATAAAGTAACAATGTTGCAATGTTTTTGAAATGTCACAATTTGCTTGCGAACGAAAATTCAAAAAAAAAAAATTAATGTGTTAGAATTTTATGCATTTAGTCTGTCAATTTAAACAAAATTGTTTTTTAATAAATAGTTTTGGTTTAACGTGATTAATTTAAATATAGGGACGGTAATTGTTTTAAAATAATTTCATGAAATTAAAATTATTTTCAAAAATTTTGTAATTCTGTTATTTTGTTTGCAGTCCTCGTGAAATGCTTAAAAAACTTATAAAAATATATATAAAGAAGATAAAAACAATCAATAAAAACATTATCTGTCGCAATTTTAAATCATAAAAAGTATAAATAGAATGAAAACCAGTATAAAATATAGACAATCTCTTCGAGAACAAAAATAAAATTAGTTACATATTCTTCGGATTCTTGATTATTATGAGAAAACATTTGATTTTATAAGAAAAGATATACTTAAAGACTGGATTGTTCTCGGAAAACAGATTGATGGATTTAGTAATTTTCTTAAATTACCGGGAAATAAAACGAATAGTACGAATCTATACGAGTATTGAATTAGAACGGTACAATTTAAATATTTAAAAAATCATTCACAAATAGTTATGCAGGAAAATGGAAAATTTTAATTTTCAAACATTCTTTCACTTAGTAATAGCATTTGCGTTTAAAAACTTGTAGCCATATATTTAATAAACGGATCGAAAATCATGAAAATTATTTATTTTCCTTCATCAGTTACCTCATGAATGAGAAAGAAACAAAAAATGGTCAAATTTTATCGATGAAAGTGTGAAAATCTCATGTAAAGAAATTAGAATAGCCTATAATTAAATTATTGATGTGTGATATGAAAACTTAATTTGTAGTCATTACGCGCCCATTTGAAATTTTGTTGCAATTAATGTAATGATTAGCATAAAATAACGTGAGAGTTTATTTCTTATGCAAAAAATTATTTTATTTTGAACATCCCCGATATGTTAAAATAGAAATTTTCTTGAAAGTTTTGTTTTATCGTAAATATTATCAATTAGAATAAAAATGAAAAGCAAGAAAAAGAAAAAAAAATGTTTTTTCTTCTTACCTTAAAGAAAACATCTGGAACATATTGTTTATCAGTTGACTCTCTTATGTAGCCTAATTCTGGAGCGTCTTTCGTTGGAACCAAACAATTGTCACGCACTAAAGCCATGCATTGAGCTGACACTTGATATCCTTCCATATGAATTTGATTCTCCTTATCACCTATTATATTGAATAAAAAAATTTTAATTGAATATTAAATTTATTTTAAAAATAACATACCCGTGACACAAATTGTGACAAATTTTGATCCAAGGTATCCGTTAGAAGATTGTCTACAGACATTTGGATGGAGATTCTGAAAATGCCCTGCCAAAATGCATTCTTTTGCAGTCAAGAAAAATGTATCAATTCCTCGAAGATGTTTGACTTTTCCATCATTAATAGCTTCAAGATCAGTGAAAATCCAACCGATTCGTCTGAGACCAAGAGCAGTTGCCATTTCTTCAACTTCCCCATCATTTGGATCGTCCAAAAGCTTAATACTAGATTTAGTACTTTCTTGTGGGGGCTCATAAATTGCTACTACTCTGGCTCGAATGCCTAAAGGAACATCTGTAGTAGTTTCATAACATCCATATAAAAATCCTAAACGTTGATGAGATGTAGTTCGCCAATAGTTGATAAATTCATCAACAATTTCATTGTTTTCAAACATTACATTATCAACATGACGATAAATTTGACGATTTAACGTAATTGCCGAAGGCTGACATTTGGAACAGATTCCTTTTGGCCAAGGGGGATGTTCTCTGCAGCCAGATTTTATTTTACAGTTAATGTCTTCAAATGCCACAAACTTGCCACGATCAACACCGGATGTCATTTTTCGAATATAGGAATGAAAAGAGAGATGTTTTATCTTTTGCTCTTTCAAATAATTCTCATCATAGGGTTCTAATGATGAACAATGAACGCAACGATTAGTTGCCGTATGTCTGCATAACTTTTCGTCTCTTTTTCTCTGAATCCGTCCATCTAATTTTGAAAGCTCAATATCAACTGGATCTTCTGCAACTGTTGATGATTTATGTCTTTGTTTGCTAATTCCTTGATTTGAATCAGATGAGCTAGATGGTTCAGGATCAGTCTTAAAGTTCATAAATATATATTCTTAGAAATATAATAAATAAGAATTAATAAGCTAAAACTTACTGAAGATGTTCCAGCCATTTGTTTATAATATAAGATATCACCATGATTTAAGTTTGTCTTATTTATTGTTGAGGATTGCGTAGATCGCACTTCATTTGAGAACTTTCGATCGGTAAACAAAGAAAATCCATAGTCCAACAAATTCAAAGACTTGTAAACTATATCATAGAGTTCTTTAAGTGATGCATTTTTAGATACATTGATCCGTTTCAGACCGTCTTGTGTCTGAACACGAATAATCTATATAGAGGTAAAAGGAATTATTGTGTAAGCAATTACATTGCAAATTTTGTTTATAAATGAGGTTAAAATTTTTGATATTTTGAAGACATCAGGCACATCTCATGCTATATGCTTAACACTTTCATAATATAATTCATGGATCATTTCTGTATTATCATCAAAAAGTTGATTTTTATTCTGATGTTTGTATTTATGATTTATTAAGAATTTCCGTTTATTAATCAAATATACGATTATGCAATCCAATTATTCAATGCTAAAACATTCCAAATACTCACAATTTCTTCAGACATGCTTCGCTAAACAGGCAGGAAAATTAAAATAATTAAACAATATGATATTTCAGTTCTTTTAAAATATTATTATTTGTTCTAATAACTTAAAAATTTACAGGTTCAAATTTTAAACTGTCGTTATTTATTTTTAAGGGAATTGCCGTTTTTTTAAACATTGTTAATTTATTATAGGTGTCAAAATCAAATTCTTGAAAAATCTCTAAACTTATCAATCTAGAATTATCTTAATTTTAATATAAAAGACACTCGATAAAAAATTATAGCAAATTCATGGTCCAAATACTCAAATCATAACTCAAAAAGTTGTAGTAAGGTTGCTATAATTTTTTATTGAGCAACTTTGATATTAAAGTTAAGCATGATTATAGTTTAGATTTAGTTCATTCACCCTCAGCTTAATATTAATAATTTATATGAATTTTTATTATTTTGTAAATAACTGTAAGACACATATAACCTTAATGTTTTTAGAGTCAATTCTCCCACAAAAATTCACATGGCTTCACGAAACCCTTCAAAAGTGGACCACCTTAATCCCACAAAAAACTTCATAAACGGCTTCACAAAACTTCACATGGCTTCACAAAAGATATCTCCCCTCCCCCACTTGACACCCATCTGTCAACTTGGGTGTTTATATTAAAGAAAGATTTTCTTTGATTTAATTCTGGATGGATTAGGGCAGAGATTCTTCAAGGATTAGATTTTGACAAACCTCAATCTAAAAATCCCTAAAATGCAGCTACCCTAAAATGCAGATAATACTGCCAAGATGCAGATGGTGCTGCTAAAGTGCAGATGAAATTTATTTTCCCTAAAATGCAGATGCATTTGCAACAGCATTTGCTTTAAAAAAGGTATAACGCAGATAATTTTTATCGTATAAAGTGCAGATAAGATGTTTCCTAAATGTAGATCGTATAATTTCATTAAAATACATCAATATTCGATGACTTTTTTTCTTGATGCGTGTTAATGACTTTAAATGATCCATAATGAAATTTAAGGGTTATTGTTTTGTCTGACGACATATTTATGTATATATTGGGTCGAGTATCCTTTTTATGAGCTCATCTATGTATCTTGCAAAAATGTTACATGTCGTTTAACAACAAAACTAGTGTGTCAGGTAGAAACCCAATGCGGATATATTCGCACCGTACCATTAAAAGTCTTATGGATAGACAGAGATTTGTTCAGCATAAGTTTGAAGGTATAAATCCTGACGAACCAGCTTTATATCTTCAAACATAGACTTTCTAGCTTTATACCTTCAAAGCGCAGCTCAGCTGAGCATCGCTCAGCATACGTTTGAAGGTATAAAGCTAGCGTGTCAATTGAGCTTCTCTCAGCATATGTGTGAAGGTTTTAAACTCAACGAACATTCTTTAAAAGTTTTTTAAAAAAATTTTCATCCAAAGTTGAATTCTATAAAAATCACAGTGAACTTTTGTTTTTGAAAAATTCGTAAGAAAGGAAAGTTTTTTGCTTTTTCTGAAGCAACGGCTGTTCCTACCTTGCCCAAAAACAATACAACTCATCTATAGAGCAGCACGGATCAAATGTATAAAACTAGAAGTCTCTACGATGTCTCGTTATTGAGATTTCTTGCTGATTAACTTGCTTGTTTGCTTACAGAAAGAGTATTTTGCGATTTTCTCAGTAATGCCACAACCAATTTGAAATCTGTTTTTTGCAAAAGATGTGAATTCTAGGCACAAACTTTTCATTACCGTACATTTTAAGCTATCTTGCTCCATATCCTCACAAAATTCAAAAAACTGATTTTTCAATCTGAACAAAACCATTAGATTCACACGTGAAAACGGTGTGAATATAAAAAGTCCCTGAAGTAAAGTTTTTGCATGAAATTTTACATCTTTAGCAAAAATATGGCAAAAAATATTATGGCATTGATGAGAAAATCGCAAAATACGCTTTCTGTAAGCAAGCAAGCAAGCAAGCAAGTTAATCAGCAAGAAATCTCAATAACGAGACCTCGTAGAGACTTCTAGTTTTATACATATGATCCGTGCTGCTCTATAGATGAGCTGTATTGTTTTTGGGCAAGGTAGGAACAGCCGTTGCTTCAGAAAAAGCAAAAAACTTTCCTTTCTTACGAATTTTTCAAATTAAAAGTTGACTGTGATTTTTATAAAATTCAACTTTGGATGAAAAAATTTTTTAAAAAACTTTAAAGAATGTCCGTTAAGTTTTAAACCTTCGAATATATGCTGAGCGTAGCTAAGCTGGTTCGTCAGGATTTACACTTTCAAATTAATACTGAGCAAATCTTGGTCTTCCCGCAAGACTTTTTATGGTACGGTGCGAATATATCCGCATTGGGTTTCTACCCGACACACTAGTTTTGTTGTTAAAAAAGTTACAGGAAAACAAATATGCATTTTTGAATACATTGCAAACTTTATAACTTTAAATTACTTTATATATACATAAATATGTCGTCAGACAAAACAATAACCCTTAAATTTAAGTCTATCATAAGAAGATAAAAGAATCAAATGATCATCACGGATCATTTAAAGTCATTAACACTTGATTAACACGCATCAAGAAAAAAAGTCATCGAATATTGATGTATTTTAATGAAATTATACGATCTACATTTAGGAAACATCTTATCTGCACTTTATACGATAAAAATCATCTGCATTATACCTTTTTAAACCAACAGCATTTCATCTGCATTTTAGGTAAAATAAATTTCATCTGCACTTTAGCAGTACCATCTGCATCTTGGCAGTTCTATCTGCATTTTAGGGTAGCTGCATTTTAGGGATTTTTAGATTGAGGTTTTGACAACCCTATTGCCAGTCATTGCTTTATATTGTGTATATTTTTTATTTAACACTTAATATCCCAAAATTAGAAAGAATTTTGAATGGTTTTTAACAATTTGTTCTCAAAAAACCTTGTTTCAAATGCTTTTTTTTTTCTATCGCAGTGTGTTTTTGCGAATTTCAACGAAGTTGATGTACTTTGTATATAGTCTTTTTCGTAATTGAAGTCATTATTTCTGTGAACTAAAATCTCCAATTTGTGATTACGAAAAGTTATGCTGGATGGTTAATCTTATGACAAGAAACGTATTAACTGTTAATTCCTTATTTTTTCGACCATTTTTCTCTAGAGATTTTCATACACTTTTAAAATTATGAATACAGCTTTAAATCACCCACAGACCACAATCCCCACTTAGATTTTGCTAAAGATCTAACAAACGAAAATCACATGCTTCCAAAACCAACACTTGCAACTGTATTTAGGGGTTTGGAAGAACAGTTTATTTCATAAACACCACATATATTTGTGGTCAATAAAATCACACACGTGTGTCTTTATTCACCACACGTGTGATTTTTTTTACCGCAGACATTTGCAACGATGGTTTTGGAAATCCATGGTTATTGTTTGTAATTAGGATTTGCAGTATATTTGAGTGGAGATTCTGGTCTGTGGGTGATTTAAAGCTGCATCAAAGTTATGCTAGTAAATTTTCAGACGCCTTATAAATATTTGGATTTTTTTTTGTGCAAGAGTTATATTTTACATTTTAAAAGGATAAAGCACAGTTCTAATAGTAATATCATATCCTAAGTACTCAAAATGTAATGCTTTAGTTGTGTAATGTGGAAGCATAACGTGAAAATAAGTGAATTAAGCTATAATTTATAAAACATGAAAGGTGGAGCAAAAAAGCAAGAAGAAGACAAATATTTGATGTTCATCTTATAAATTAATAATCTTAAATCATTCTGTTTATTAACTTTTTGAGTGGTAAGACATCTTAATCATTTAATTAAAATAGCTTCTTATCAAAATGTGCAGCATTAGATTAATTAATGCCAAAATTTTAAATTTATTTGAAAGGAAAAGTGAACAGTCTAAGGCTTCACAATACAGAGATATTTTAAAAGACTTGAACGTACTGTGAGGAAATATCTTGATAACACAAACTACTTTAAAATTTTTATATCGTTCTTGGGTCAAAGTACAGTGTCCGAAATGCCAATTTTTAAGCTTTAAGCATGCACTAATCCTCAAAAATAATAATACCTGACAAATTCACAAATGTTTAAAAGACAAAATACGTAAAGAATGTTTAGAATGTTTGATGCTTTTCATACGTGATTTTTCGTACATATTTAATGCTTGATAGTTTCTTTTAAATTTCCTTGAGGCTAAATATAGACAAATTAATTTGTTTTTGGATAATAGAGATGATGATGCTTTCCCTTCTAAACTATTGCTTAAGACAAAGATTTTGGCGTTCAGCCAGCATATTTGAAATTTATTGAAAATTACTGCTAAGGTTTTTCAGCATATTTAAAAATTCTTATGAGTGATTATGCAAGACATAACATTAAATATTAAAAGCAAGTTTGTGGTATGTAGTATTTCAATGATATTTTTTTTTCTTTCTAAAAGTCATTTAGAAATACACCAACACACAATGTCAACACGGATTATAATACACATCTATTAAAACGCTCCATAGAGGCGGTAAAAAAATTAGGCAGCTATGAGGAAATGTAAATATTAGACCAAAAAGGGTGATAACTTTCGTTCAGGGTCGAATTAAATACTTTTTTTCCATGTAATATGCCTAGTTATGGTCATGAAAACAGAAATTAGGGGAGAATTCTTCGTGAATACTGGTAGTTAACTGAAAATCGATACGACTATTAATTTTCCTGTAATTAAGAAATAACCTTGATAATTGATTCGAAAGAATGATAGGAGAAGCGATAAATTTTTATCAAATGAAAGATTTCGATGATTGACTATGCTGAATTTTTATTTTTTCGTGATAGTAAAATATTTCCGCTAGATTTTTTTTTTTTTCATTACCTTCTTTAAATATTCATAACTCGTCAAGTATTTAAAAACACGAAAAGCAGGAAAAACACACAAGAATATTGATGGAAACGAAATTAAAAAATATGCAAAAAATCTTTGCGTTGTTCAGCTCATTTACATGCTCATACGTTATACAGTGCTTCGATTTTGTTCATTCACATATACTCAAAAAATATATTGTAAATAAGATTAACATAATCGCTCATATTTATTTTGTATATAAATAGGCTTCTTCATGATACGCTTAATTTTCTCTAATATTTCCTATATGGTTAAAAAATTGTTTTTAAAAATTATCAAAATACTGAACGCGACGGTGCAATCATCAAAAATATTATTTCTTCTATGCTTCATTAAATATATTAAATATTGAAGAATTTCATTCAAAAATATTTACCGCACATGGAAACTTCTATCTTATAAAGTTTGCGCAAAATTTAGTATGCGCAACGAGTCGATATGAATGTTCAAAAATCTAAAAGTAAACATGCAATAATATTAATGTTTTTGTTAAAAAGTAAATTATACAGAAAGTGTGTAATGTTAGTTCATGTTGTGGCTAAAATGATAAGTCGTGGCTTCACATCGCATTTTCAATTACATTTTTTACGACATCGTAGAATCATGTTTTTGAGGGTTTGCCCTTAGATACGTATATTGAATTAATATTCCCTTTTTTCCTCTTGTCTTGTGTGAATGAACTAGCGAGCATGTTCATTTTGCTTTTGTCTATTTTTTTCTCATTTGAAATAAAAAGCTATAATCCTTTCTTGTGCTTCTTTCATTGAATATTTATTGCTATTCTTATACTTGCAGGAAGAATCAATCAACGTTACTACATTTTAATCGCTTTGTTGACGAAAGCGTATTGTGAATAATAACATATAAAATAAATTAAGAAATCATTTAATCAATGGTTTGATTAAAATTACAAAACATGATGCATAAAATATCTGAATTTGCAAACAATTGAAAACAACAACAATAATGACAAGCAATGAGAATGATCAGCAACAACAAAGTCACTTTCTTAATAGTGACGAACTGCCAACTAGCTCAAATGAAGTATTGAAGAAAAGATCACATTTGCTCAATTTAATGAAACCTTCTTTGTCACTTACATCACTTCCACCACAATCTCCTAAAGAACATGCAAATGAAACATCTTCCACCACAGAACGACCCTATAATAGTTTGAAGGTAAGAATCTTATTTAACTGAATTCTTATTGGACTCTCATCATCATTTTATTGTCATGTTATTTTAGAAAAAAAGAGACATTGAACAAAAGGAATTATGGCGCAGATCGTGGGAATCGCAAAATTCTGTAAGCACAACAACAACGAGTACTGGAAAAAACGATTTTTGGGCCGCCTACAATTATATAATGGATAATTCCATAATTGATTCCTGTCGAGAGGCAAGCGGAGAAGCAAAATCATTCAATGACACAAGCGGCGAAACAAAAATCTTACCAAATCTTCTCAGTAAAATTGTGAGTTGCAAAATTTATTTCAAAATCATCAATCAAATTTCTATCGTAATATATTTTTTTCTGTTATTCATTTAATTTTTAGTCTCCATTTAATATGACACAAGGATCGCAAGGATCTCAAGCGTTAGATCCAAAACGACTCCGTCGATGGTTACGCGAAATGGAAAGTCGTGTTTCAAAACTGCCTTCTTTAAAAGAAGCCATGAAGTTGAATGCAGATGACTTAAAAAAGTTCTCCGTTGAAAGTGCTGTAAGTATAAATTTCTATTCATCTTCATCGTCAAAATATCGGTCGATGATTGCTTTTTTTGAAATATCAATTACACACAAACTATAGACGTGATTCAATGCTACATATATTTGATGGAGAAAAAAGAGAAACTTTACATTTCAATCAATTGTGGATAATTTAAAGCTTTTCTTTGATCACTTTTAAGTAGATTTCAGTTTTCTATGACATTCCGTTTATATTTATGTGTATAGTATTCAGAAAATCATCGATATCTTTCTTATGATTTAGTTTCATTTCAATTTATCTCCGCTCATTATAAAAGAGCACTTTCAATTGCTCAGATTAGTGTTGCATTAAAGAAATATCATGTGACTGATCATAGAACGTTCAATTCAAATCTGATATTTCCTAATTTGATTGATTGATGATGTCTTTCTCTTTCTTAATTATACCCTAATTGATCGTAGTAATGAAAAATGGTCACATGCTGTTATGATAATGTTTGATTGAACATGTACAAATGATGGACTTTTTAGATTTCTCATGAAGTTGTCGATATAATACACAGCAAGTAAACAAGTGCCAGTGATGAAAATTAGCCATTTATGAAACATTCGGATATAGCTCTCTCGTAAACAATAATTTGTTTATTGTACGAAAGGTCAATCCTTGAGTGTAATGATCAAAATTTTACGACGAGCGATCATTAAAAAAACTTCTGAGGTATTTGTTTTATGAGCATGATAATTATTCACAACCCATGCCTCGCAGGATAGACCACCGTGGCTTTTTAAAATAATGTCACGAACCCTTATATTGGTCCATTTTTAAACAAATAAAAATTTACTATTCTTTGAATTAAAATAAACTTTAAAGTGTGCCACTACCAGTAAAATTTGACAGGCCGAGGTTCAAGCATTTAATGCGATTCAAATAAATTTTAAATTATAAGTTTTTATTATAAGAGTGCGAAAAAATCTTCGCGAGAGACCATTAATTTATTTTTTTGCAAAAGTCAAGATAAAATGAACATGATACACAGTTGAAAATATTTTAGTTCATTCTTTACGTTTTCTTCTTCGTACTAAACAATTTTCATGAGCTCATTTTTTACTGCGAGAGTGATCATTCGTTCTCAGCAAGAGAAAAATTGTACAAAACTCAAAACATATTTCATTCCGTTCTCTTTTTAAAAGCAAAAAAGTTTTAGTACTAAGCGCGACGTTAAGCATTAAAGACATGGTATACATAGAGTAGTAATGATATGTTTCGATTTTTCGTGAAGCTAATTTTTTATTGAATTAAAATTTCGATTACGAGTATAGATTTTTGCAACAATGACTATTGTAAAATACAAAAAATATATAATTTATGAAAAAAATATTTAAAGAATGACTCATGTGAATTGAGTCAAGTGATTTAACAATATATGAATTACAAAAAAATTAGTATATAGCTGTTAAATTAAGTGTGCTATCGAATGCAAAATTCCTTTGCTTTAAAATTTTAAACAAGAAGAATAAATAAAAAAAAATAATGAAAAGACGAATGGACTACGAAAAGTAGATGAAACTTATATTAAGATAAAATGTAAGCGCAAATTTTTATTTTCTTCTTCTAGTGACTTAATTCTCTTCCTCATTTTATCTTACTTCTTACTTTAAAAAAAAAAATTCTTTGTTCTTAGTATTTTTTTGTGGCTTGGCGAAAAGAAAACAGAAAATTTATAATAAAAAATCAATTCCTTAAAGTATGTATATATTGCAACAGACATGTGAATTGTTCTCACATGTATATAACACTTGCCTTTTTTGCTATCTTTATGAAAGTTAATAGACACCTATATGTACCCATATGATAACGAAAGTAATCGTGACGCATAAATCAATGGATATATAATTTTTGCTCAATTCGCGAATAATGGAAGCCGCAAATTTCACTTGTTGTGTATGCTGTACAGTGACCATATATTCTCGAGTAATCTTTGTGTTGTTCGATAAACTAGTAAGGAATTCTGACGAAAAAGAATCTAAAAGAAAATACGTAAAATTAAATATCTCAAGAAAAATTATTTCTTTCTTTGTATTTAAGTTTTAACTTTTCCTTCTTATTATTCATCATATATGAGGGACCTAAGATCTGAAAATATTCATGCTTCGGAATCATTTCTTCTTGTCTTTGAACATAAACACAGAAACGATATAGAATATAATACATACACTATAAACGATTGTATAAGAAATTGGGGAACGTTCTTGAAACATGTGTATTCAAAATTTTAAATAAATGTGTGCAAATTAAATTTTCATGCAATATGTTTGTTCACTTCACTTACATTGCGAATGAGGTTACTCTAACACAACCAATCATCTTAAAAATAATATATACACATTTTTCTTCATTTTTTTTTCAAAAAAGCAACTAATATTTTTTTCAATGTTATGAGAACTTATTTCACGCATGAACATAGCGAAAATCGCGTCAGAATTAAATTATATTTCGTTCTTTTTTTAAAAATGATTTAACTTGGATTTAACATACATACCTACACGACTATTATTCAGATTATTCGTTTGCGAAAAAAGGAAACATCATCATTAAAAATATAATTTCTACAAAATAGATAAATATGTGTTATTATTGCTATTGTCATTATTTTTATTAATAATAATAAAAAATTTCTTGGCGGTATTGAAGTAAAAACCTCAAGCGGAAATTAAAAACGAAATACAAGAAAAAAGAAAAGTTATTTATAAGTTTGGAAAATGAGAATGTGTAAAGTTAATATTATTAACATGGAGGGTTTTCATACAAAACTTCCTAGAAAACTAGAAATAAATAGCTAGGGAAGAAAAGAACTCAAGATGATTTGCTTGTCTCGTACTCCATGTGTGTGATTAATATTACGGAATTAAAAAAGAATCTTCTTGACGAGAATTAATTTTCTACAAATGATGAGATTTCGTCAAGTATTGTTGGCCTATTCGCGATAGCTATTATTTTTGCCTGTTCGTTTTGCTCTATGAAATCATCATGAAGATGACTTCAGAAAAAAATGCTGTTGCTTGTTAATAAATTAAAAAAAAATACCTTTCAATTCATTATGTTTTATGAATACCAACTTCTTTGCATAACTACTTTTTTGTTGAACTTTTTTAATGCTAAGTTCAAATTATAGTAAAAATTTTCATTACATAAGTAAAAATCCATTCATTTATTTAAAAACTTTGATTTGAAATGAGATTTCAACAATGATTTTAATAGCTTCAGTACGGTATTTTATGCAACTGCGAGAGGCTTGCCTGCATCAACAATTTCAATTTATTCCGTGAAAAATTCTCTCCATCGAATTTCTTTCCATTATGCTATACATTACTTGTGCTTTATACACCTCAATTTAATGTGTTAAATTTTTCTGTTTAATTCTTTTTATAATTATTTTTTTTTTCTTGTGTTGTCATACACGTGAGCATATAACAATCGTATTAGTTGCGTGAACTTAAATCTTATGAGACTAGTATCTCATTAATGTTTCCTACAGAGATCATTTTTCACGGCTCAAAATGACTCAATGCTGAGATTGATCGATTGACCATTGCGCGTGGCGTTGCTTTTGAGCACAGCACAATAAAACTTCTAAATAATTATTAATAATAATTTCTCCAAATAATTTTTACATAATAACAAAGTTTCAAACGAAAACTAATGTAAATAATGTTGCTAATTGGCTTTTTCGCCTTTTTTCTGTTATTCGTTTTAAGCTATACATAACTTCTCATATTTCGGCTGACCATCGGTTCATTTTTCTCATAGAATATTTATTTTAAAATTCATCTTGGCATATACCCTGTTTTTTCGTTATAAGCTACTACTCGTTACTAAGCTACTAGCTTAGTAAAGTTTTTTGAACTTGAAAATTTTTTGTAACCTTTACTAAGCTACTACCAAAAATAAAGTTTAATTAATCTTTTTCAACTTTCTAAGTATCAGTATAAATGCCTTATGACATTGTCGATGAAATAAAATCGGGAAGATAGCAAAATTTCTTTAATTAAGTCAAAAAATTCAAAATTTTCATTGAAGTTCAATTTCTTTACTAAGCTTCTACTCGTTACTAAGCTACTAGTGAGCCAAAAAAATCACTTTTTTATTCTTCTAAGCTACTAGCTTATAACGAAAAAACAGGGTAGATGATTTTTTTTTTGTAATTTTTCAGGAACAAAGCTAATTCAAAATTATGATTTTATACTGAATTAATAGACGTTTCAAAAAAGAGTCTAGTCATCCTATGTCATATATTTTTCTTCTTTTCTTTCATATGTCTTGTAACACTGATGATTAATTAAAATTTCATAATTAATGCGTGTATTTCCTTTTTCGATTTTTTTTTGAATAGTGCTAAGCGTGTATTGTACAATAACATTGATATTGATTAAATAGATAATATACAATATGATCAATTCAAAATATGAAAGAAAAATACATTTTAGCTGACTAATAAGAGAAAACTGTCGGTAACTCTGTAAGCGTATATAAGCATATTAATCAGGTGTTTTTATTGTGTCACAAAAAATAAATCCATATAAGGCAGTCATTAGATTTTTAATGATCAAAATATAATAAATTTGATAAAAAAAAAAAGTAAATTGACCTAACATAATACCCAATAGAAAATAGAATATATATGAGAAATGAACTTATCTACGTTAAATATCAAATACTAAAAATTAATGTAATGTTGTTTGTTTCCTGTGCTACTTCTCATCATTTTTCTCTACTGTTTCGTGTATGAAAATGAGTTTTGGAAGTACACAAAAAACTGTAACTGTACTAAAATTGGAGAAAAAAAAATTGATTGCACATGTTTCCAAATACATAAAGTATTTCAATTTTTTCTGTGGTAACATATTTTATTTTGGCACTATACCATTATTATTATTTCATGCCACAGTTGGACAGTTAAAAGGGTCGTATTTTTCTTTTTGTTCCCACGAATACAACAATTACTGCCAGAAATCCTTTATTGAATGTGTTTTCTGTTTGATGGATTTTATTTTTTTTAATAAATATTAGTATCAACAGTTACCTTGCTTTATTCAGATTAAGTAGCAGTAACGATAAGCTTCAGAGATAGAGATGTGTAATGATAATCTCCTAATGGTTTTATCTATAAGTTTCATAATGATTGATTTGCACCTAAACATAATACAGTAAGCTCCAATCACGAAATGAGGCATATGTTGATCGTAACTATTAACGTGATAATCACTTTTTACGTCGACGATAAATTTTCACCGATTTGTAGATAGATAGTTTTTTGGATCAAATGTTATAGTTTGTTCATTAATTTTGATTGGAATAAAATAAATAAATACCCAAAAATAGTTGAATCGAATCTGTGCCATGTTCGGTAGGCCTACGCTAAAATTTAATGTGTCCGAGAAAATAGTCATTAAAAGAGCTTGAATACCATGTTTAATGAATGAAAAATTTGTTTATGCTTGAATGCATGGCCTTATGTCCACAACATGTGTAGACTTCGATGTTTTTATCGACCTGTTAATTCAGAAACAAAGAGAAAGGTTACTGAACTATGACTGTTAATAAAATTAATGTTCACCGTAGAATGCGGTAGCAATAGACATTATTGTAGAATTATCTATGTAAAACTTGCATAAGATGCATCTGTCATTTTGATTATAATTTTTTTTTATTATTTTTTTCATTTTCGATGCTTCTGGCAGGTTTTAAGCAATCATAAAACTCACGACTACGGTATTTGCATTTTATGAATCAATCTCCTCATTTCTATCTTGATTTTGTACATACCAATAACAATAATAATTTTGTAGATGAGAAAACATGAACATAAAATATTTAAATTAAATATTATAAGATAAACTAAGAGTAATGATGTTGAATGAAGGAAGAGAAATGAAGTATCATGATATTTTTTGAAAAACATTTGTTTGAAAACTCAATTAAAGGTTTCACATATACAGCATAATTTGACCTCATTTTATTTATGCTATTCAATAGACTTTATTATTATTATTATTTATACCAACGAAGAATTTGTCGCATTTTTATTATATTCACTTCATGATGAATATAAATGTACCATTTTAAAGCATCAAGAGAAGGAATGGAATATATAATGAGAGATCATTTTCATATAACAAAAAACCCAAAAATTCAATTTAAGAAAAGAAAAACAACGATTTGAAATAATTTCCGCATTTTACTTTCTAATCGATAGTGGTCGTACAATGTACAAGTCAGTTTCAGATTCAGAGAAAAATAAATTTAAATGATTTTACGACATCAACTCTATTCAAATGCACTTATTTTTAGATCAATAAAAAACAAAGCATTGTTCTCAAGTTTACAACCTATCTTAACATTATTGTGCTGTATTGTTAGTAAATTGACTTTATTATGGATTAAAAATTCTTTGAGAGAAATTGAAAGCTGCTCCAATGAAGAATTGAGTTTCTTTTATAATTTTTTTTTATGATGATTGAGAAGTAATTAAATTTGTTTCACTTTTACAAACATTATATAGGAGCTGTATCGCGAGATAAATTCTAATGGTCGCTTTGTTGGTGCATGTATAAGGTCACTCGAGAAACAAAATTCGAGCAAAGTTGAAGAAATACAAATAAAATCGCTTGACTATACAGAACACGATAGTTTAGATACAATAACTACGTCAACCACCAATACATCAAGTGAGAGCAAACGGAGCGAGAATGTTCTAAAAGCATTAGAGCGCCGTTACCATTTGCTTTATTTGCATGCTTTTGAGACTCAGTGTATGTTTGAAGGTTTATTAGACAAACGAAACTTTTTCAATTCTACAACAAATATTGATAATTTTGACTCAACGGATGATGAATTTGAACCAATAGCAAAAATTCCAAAAATTGATGAGAGCACAAATTTTTGTTCATCTAAACCTAATAATAATGAGGATGATACAAAGAATATACCTTCTGATATAGATGCCGACTCAGAGGACTCTCCGGATGAAATGGAATGTATTGCATTGAAAAGCTCAGATTGCGTTGATAGTAAAACAGTGCCTATAATAAGCCCTAAAGGAGCAAATACTTACATTGAAGAAAGTGATAAATCTTTTAATACTCCAAAAGTTGCCGTTGTTAGGAGGTCAAAAGATATTTCAAAATTCAATCGCTCTAATAGAAAATCAAAAAATTGTGCCATTTTTTATTACAAACATGTCGATACTGATAATGATCAGGTGACGAATAATGAAAACGAACAGAACTTGCCAAGTGAAACAACATCGGAGGAAGAAATTTGGGAGTATGCTAATGTCAATCAATCATCACAAGTGATGGAAAATCAAGAAGAAACAATGATTGGGTCAACTCAAAAGGAATTTAAGAATCATTGTAATGATGATGAAGATGATGATGCAGATTTAAAAACTAACTCTGTGCAGCAACAAAACATTGTTTCAAATACACAACAGGTGAGTGCTGAAAGATATGATATATTCCATTATTTTCTTATCAAATCATAAATCTTTTGAATATGAGATAAGACATTAATTATTATTGCCAACAAAAGGCAATTAGCGAATGTGAGCGTTACTTTGAACTGATTAATATAATTTAATTTCATGTAACTCATTTCAGTTGATAACAAAAGAAGCTTTGCGTGAGTTAGTTTTGGAAGCTGAATCAATAGTTCTTCAAAAAATGAATGAAAAGACCACCAAAAAAGAATACTTTTTGAACGAAGTTCTAGCCAAATCCAATGTTCGTAAGAATTTACACAAAAAAGTGATGGAAAAGAATCAAAAAGACACTGCCAAGATAAATCGTGTTCAGGTAATTTACAAATATTTTTACATACGTCATGTAACAAAATAATATGTATTTCTAATGTTATAGGAATGGCTAAAACACAATCATAATTCCGTTGAAATTAAAAATGGTCAACCGATAACTCTTCAATTAACAGATTGTGAAGCATCATTTGAATATACCAGCTGTTCAGATTCATCAGAGGAAATCACCAATTCGATAGCAACATGTTTGCAAGGAATCGATCAACTACAGACATCGACCGAAGGTCTCGAGAATTTCTCACCTGTACACAAAGTGAAAATGCGAGGAAAAACATCAGATAATCGTCGACATTCAGAGAGACCTTGGTCGGTTTCTTGTATTTCTCAACTTACGAGAAATACTCGCCAGAGCTTTTCTGATGCTAAGTTGGCTGAAACAACAAATGTGCTTGCAAACTTTTCAATTAGTGAATCAGCACTTAACAAATTACAAAAAGATCGAACAACCTCTGAATCCGATTCAAAGAACTGTAATAACAGAAACGCAGTTAATAGTGTTGGAAGTAAAAATTCGCTAAAGAAACGTAAAACAAAATTACGCAAAAAGTCTTTGTCCTCTAACAAAAAAAGTGATTCTGGCTCTGAAATACATGCCAATATTATGAAAACTATGAGTAAGTCAGATACTTTCAATATGACATTAATGGAAGATTTATCAACAGCAATATCTATGATGTCATTTGTAAAAGATAAAAATTCGAACAATCCTGAGCAGGTAATTCAAAAGGCAGCTACTGAATCTGAAGATGAGCAAGTGATCAAAACTCCTGATTTCAAAATCGGATCAATTACAAGTGTTTATGGCAATCCCTATTCTATGAATTTAGGTTCATTGGCAGCATTAGCAAATTATAATAGTGAAAATTGCGAAACTACGGAAATTCCCACAGAAAATTTAAGCAGCATTTCTGAACATAATATGTGGGATAACTATATGGAAAAGTATAACTCTGAAGCATATAGCGAAGATCGTGATATTGATGGCGCAAGAAAGTTGTTGGATTTTGGTGATGATTATCGTAATTTTATAGATTCGCAATCCGATTGTTGCTCCTCGCTATCATGTGCAAATCAAATTGACTCTTTATCGCCTCCACGACATAGAAGAAATATTTCCAAAAATAATTCACTTCCGTCGAGTAATGACAATTCAATGAAAGCTTTACGACAACAACGAATTCAAGAGCTTCCAGAAACCGAACGTCATAAAGGTAAATGTCTTTATATTGCCTCTTGCATGAATAAATTATTAAAAAAGCAGTAATTACTTTTGATTACTTTCAATTTGTGTTTAGATCGAAGCGTTAATAGTTTTATGGAAAAAATGAGACAAAAGTCAAACGAATTTGAATTTACAACTTCGTCAAAGTGCAAATCAAGTCAACAGTCGTTACTTTCATCAACAAAGCCCGTCAATATCTCATCATCGGATGAGGAGGAAACAAAAGAGAATAATACAATAGCAGAATGTGAGAAAATGTTGGAACAAACTCAGTCTTTACAAAATGCAAATTCGCAGCTTTTAAGACCTGAAGATTATGTAAGATTAAGACTTAATTCATTCCTTGATAAAAACGAAGACATGGTTAAAAATGCTAGATGTAGTAGTGATAATGAAGTGATAAATTGTAAAAATAATAATAAACTTTTTGAACTAGGCAAAAAAAGCCATAAGACAAATGATGAACTGATAGGCTCTAAGGGATTTTGTTCTTACGTATCTTTTGTTACTAGTTATATTATCTTTTTAATTATTGTTACATTTTTACTATCACGAATTGGCAAAATATAAGGAAATTCAGAAGCATTAATACTTTTGTTATACAACTTCTTTTATTTTTTATTTCTATTACTTTAACTATATTTCACATTCACGTTTATTTCAAAAAAAAAAAATTGGCTGATCCACCTTCCCTGACGCTCAGATTTTTGAGTTTTACATATTTATTATATTGGAACTCAATGTTGTAAGTCTCTATCTCTTTAAAATTAAAAAAAAAGAACAAATAAACAAATAAATTAAACAATTAAAAGGAAAAAGGAATCAAATCTTCATAATAAAAATAAATCTGCATCTAACATTTAACCATTTCATATTTAAAACGTTGACAATAACAGACTGATTCGGGAAGAAGAAATATTTCATTTAATTTATAGCACACAATCATGAGTATTTCTTTTATTAATTTTACACATACCTACCGACTTTGATATCTTATCGCTTTTAAATATATATATATAAAACAAATAATTATAGACTCTCTTGTCTACTGTTAATTTTTTTGGTAGTAGTACTTATATTTTATTGAATTGTTCTTACTCTCATTCTCTTCCGCTCTTAATATAGGACGAGATCATCAAAACGTGTTTGATCAACATTCAACGTTTGGAAAATATTCCACAATGCGATAATTTGAATCAAATGAAGGTTAACGGTAAGTGAATTAAAAAAGAGATTAATTAAATCTATTAACACATTTAATCTTGGCTGCTTGTTAATTATAATGAATCACTAGCTCAAATATCTCTCTAATTATCTTTACAACCTGAGCTACCATCAAACACTTATAGCTGCTGCTTATTGTTTTATAAGGTTTATCAAATTTCAAAGGCAGTATAACTTTATTTAAATCGGCTTTACTTCTTTAAGACATCCTTGCTTCTTGAAAGTTATGATTTCAATGTTCATTGATTCTCTCTCGCTCTTTTTTGATGCTCTCTAATGTTCCATTGATTTTTCTCTCCTCTCTCACTAGTGAGAATATGTGAAAAACAATTAAAGCGTAAAAAAGGTTGTTTTCCTACATCACTCAGTGAAAAAAGAAAAGCTTTGAATTTAAGTCAGTTTGAATTTAGAAGTCTTAAACAAAACACTCCTACTCATGCCACAAACTCGTATTTTCGCAAAACTAATTCTTTAATATAAAGAAAATGTACATTTTGAAGCGATAATAATTTTAATCGAGTATCGATTTCAGATGTCAAAACCATATGTGTTTCAATAGAATGAATAGAAAATGAAAATGAAAAGTGATACAATTTAGTGCTATTAAAAAATCTCTGTATCTATAAATTAATTCTTTTATATCATTGCCAAATATTTCGAAATTACGTAAAAAAATGAAATTTAAAAATACCTTGGCAAAATCTTGATACTATATAGTATAAAGGTCTATAAATAAATGATAATGGAACTATGTTATTTGTGGTGTAATATAATGAGAGACTATTATTATCATCATCATCTATAGTTGTGTTTTGTGAAACTACCTTGAGTGCTGGAAGAGCAGCTTTTCTGCATATAAAAAGTTCACAATATTAGTAACTGTACATAATAAATAAACAAAAATGATTAAATAAATTTATGCTAGAGAGTATAGTAGATCGACTAAACCAATTTACGCACCAACGAACGAGAGCTGCTTTCATTTCATTGTTTTTTATTTAGGGAAATGAATGAAGTGACGGTTCATAAGTATCTAAATTATAATTCAATGAATGCACTCGAATGATTTTTATGAAAATAGAACACTTGAAAAAACATTTAATATTCAAATCGATTTTTAATATTCCATGAATAAATTTAAAAACAAAATGATAATGAAAACTGAAGTCGGAGTTCAAACGGATGGTAATTTTTTTTTAAAAATTTATTTTATGTTTAATTTACATATGTTTTAGCGCACGTCTACAATGGCAAATATTTTTACGCTTAGTTAACTCTACTGAGTAGAATGCCATACCTTCATATAATTTTCTTATAAACTTCATTGATTTGTGGCGCAGCAAGTTAATTTTATTGCATTTAAGACGTTTTTTACAATTACTTCAAAGAAAATAAGAGCTAAAACTTTTCGTAATTATTGATTGACTACATATTATTAAATTCCTTAATACATCTCCAAAATATGTTATCAAAAAAATATTGTTGCTTTAAAAACAATTTACTTTCGCCTCTTCATATTCTTATCAGTTATGTTTACTTTCCTTTTCTGTAGCACTAATTGCTAGTTGGAACCGTCTGCTAAATTGGAGCGAAAATGCTGCAGGAATACGCCGCTTGCAACAGGAAATAGCCGAGCAAAAGCAGTTGTTGAATTCAATGGAAATCACTGACGAATGGGTGCTTAATTCGGAGGAAGCCATTCGTGATAAAATTCAAGAGTTGAACGTAAGTGTTAAAAAATCTCATCATTGATGCCAATTTAATTATTGCTCAACAGTAACGTTGAAAACTTTCTAAACTTGGCATTTGATATTCTTTGGTCAGATATAACTTATGGCATTTAGAATGGATAATTTGTTGCGAGTTCTACTGTGTGCCATTTTTGTTATTTCCTTCCTCACACGTTTTTATTATTCAATTAATTAATTACTTTCTATATTTGTAGAGTACACTCGGCGAGCTCTATAAGCATCGATCAAATATGCTGAAACTTAATGCTTCTGTTCATAGCTACATTAGTAAAGAGACGAATAAGCAAAACATTCTACGTTCGGACGATCATTTAGATAACACACAATCCTCACAATATGATGTTGATGTATTAACGGATGAAGAGCTGCATAAACAGTTAAAAGACGAGATTGTTTCCCTTTATGCAAAGTGGGATTCAATCAACTTAATTATTACCTCAAAGCTAGAAAACTTAAAGCACTCATTAGTTTGTTGGAAACAGATAGAAAATGGCTTGGAGGAATTAAAGCAAAACTTATCAAAAGACCGAGGTGCCTTAAATGGATTGAAAGGAGCTATAGAAGAGGGGTCTTCAAGTCCCGAAGAATTGGTTGATAATGTTCAACAAATCTCGAAATTATTAAGTGAAAAGTTAGAGAATCGTATTCAAACTATCTCAACAAATGAAGACTTTATGCTGCATCCTGAAGCAGCACTTAAATTTATAGCAAATTCATCGTCAAATCCATCATATCAATCAGACAGTGGAATATCGGATGGAGGATTTTCAGAACTTTCTGAAAGAGAACGACGTTTAATTGCATTAAAAAAGATAGCAAAGCAATTGGAATCTGCATTATCGCCAAGTAGTGAGGTTTTAAAGACAATAACTCAACGAATGGAAGCTGCAGAAAATGAACTAAAAGTATTACAAAATACATGTCGTGAACTGATTTTACGAACGTCCACCGAATTATTAAAGCAGCAAGGTGTGGATGTGTCATCGCATACACAATCTCAGATCAATGTTCAAATTCCAATCATAACAATTAAGCCAGCAACAAAATCTAAACGCTCAACGTCACGTCGAAATAAGGAACGAAATAGATCTTTGTATTCTGAAAGAAGATCTGATAAAAAAGCTGAACCAAAACTATCATCAAATGACACAACAAGTGAATCAGATCCTGATGAGCCAAAAACCACACAGTGGAGAATCTTGAAACGAGTTGCAAAACTTGCAATGCCTTTTCAACTAACAGTTGTTACTCTTTTCTGTATAGCATGGTTTTTGGAACCGAGGTAATTCAGTTTACAAATGATTTCATAAAATTTGAAATTAATGATTATTTATTTCTATTTCCTATTAGATGTTGTGATACATTAAACAATCTATCAATGAGTTTGACACCTCAGCTACGATACATTAATGGCCCACCTCCAACATAAAATTCAAAATTGATTTTTAAAATTAGCGCAATAATGAAATTAACGTACCTAACATAAGTTTTGAAGGTTTTTGAAACAAAAAACTAAATATTAGCGGGTAAATGAAAATTCTGCCTTATTACTTTTGATACATATACATCATTTTAAGGTACTTATCGTCATGTCTTCAATTATTACACATTATTTTCTTGAAATATCTTCTAGTCTATAATTACATGTATGAAATTAAGCAATTAATTTTATTAACCAAGGGGCGGTTCACTTATGACGTCCAGGGGGGGGGGGGGGGGGGGTCAGCAACAAAAGAACAATAGAAATTCCTAGAAATCCATTGTTCTTTTTTGAAAAATGACCATTAATATCGGACGTCATAAGCGAACGACCCCTAATTGGAGTTAATTATTTTTCAATTCGATTAATTGTTTTAAAAAAATCAAAATGTAAGTCGTTAAATGTTTGCAAGAAATAATTGTAATTATTTTCCTTTTACTTTAAAGCCAAGGGCTAAAGAGATTTTAATAAACAAAAAAAAACCTAGTTTTAAGAATCATAAATTTTATATGGAAACCTTGTTTACCTTTTTACTATTTTTGCCAATCATCAAAAACAATATTTTTTATAGATATTTTTAAGAAAAAGCAAAAAAGTTGTAAAACCAAAAATGAAAAAAAGAATAAAATATTAAGAGTCTAAGAGAAAAACCAAACATATACATTGTTTTAAACTGAGTGACATCTTTCAATTTTAATAGAACAGACAAGTTCGAAATTTCAGAAGAGTAAATTGTTATCATATGTTGTATAATAAATATATTCGATAATTTTGAATTACATCTGATTCAATAAAAATAATTTTGTGACTGAAATACAAAGCGCTATTTGGGCTTAGATGCAAACAGTTTTGGGATCATCAATTGAAACAAATCTTTTACTGAAAATTTTAAAATAATGCAATGAATCATCAAGGCTATAAAAAAATGACATTCATAAAGATAATAAATGCTTTAACCTTGACCTACATTTTTAAAATTACTCATGCTCCTTATCAAGAAATTAGCAAATACAATCAATGTGAGGAATTAAGTATAATGGATTTATCTTCATAAGATTGAAATACTGCTAATTAGTAAGATTACCAATAAATAAGACGACCCAGTCGGTTAAATTGTACAGAAACCAGTTCTTTTATATGACCAAATTTAATTTTTACATAAATGGAAGCACAAAAGCCAGCGAAGTGAGTGAGTGAGGCTGAAAAATAAGAATAGAATGAAAATATAAATGTATGAGAATTTTTTAGTAATATTATTTTTATTTCCTATGTTTTTTTTGACATTCAAAAGATTTTTAATTGTTCTCGAGCCAATTATTCTGTATTTTATAAGGTTTATATGTGACAAGTTAATTCTTATCATTTCCGAACAACTTTTCCTTTTAGAAAAAAATGGACTTTTTTATTTTTTGTAATTCTTTAAAAGAACATGTTTTAGTCCAAAATGGCATCTATAATTTTTTATAATTAATCAAATTTTTTTTGTTTATGGTAGTAATTCACAATGTTTTATTCCTCTTTTTTTTTCTTTATTAAATGCTTAGCTGAAAATTGCTTATGTAAAGACAGTTGACATTAAAAAAATTCTATTTTCTCTAAATTTCATTAATACGTTTTTTTGTTGTAATTCATTTAATTTAATTTAATTTTTTTTTTGTTTTCACAATTTCAAGATATTGTTATAAACGCCAAATAGACGCTTTAAGTAAAAATTCATTTCAAATTGAATTTACATTCCAATTTAAAATAAATCAAATTATATCGATTATACTAGTGAAATTTTTTAAACCAATGACAAATAAATATATTAAATATCTTTTTACATAATTTTCTTCATTAAATGTTATGTACACATTGTAAAAAGAGATTGTAAATTCATCAAGTATTTTTTTAAATAGTTATACTCTAATTTGTTCTTATCAAAAAAAAAATAATTATTATTTCATAACGTCGATAAAGCAGCATAAAAAAATTTTTTTGAAAAAAGAATTTACAGCATCGACTAAAAGAGCTTTGAGCTTAACAAAATTCTCAATGAAGTACTATACATCAAAAGCAATATGTAGTTATCATAATGATTAAGACATTACAATTCTGAACTTGTTCATTATTAAATATTAAAATTGCATCTTCTTCTTTTCATCAAGATACTCTTACTATCATTATTTGTTTTATAATAATAATTATTATTATTATGATCATATCTCCAAATATTTTTTTATCCTTTTTAACATTGCTTTTCTCCGCAATGTATCCAAAATGTCCAAAGTTTTGTTTAAATATTTAGCGTCCATCAAAGTGCTTCATATGACATGTAGCAAAATAGTTTTTGTTGTGGAGAGCCGTTTGATTCTGACAAAACGCTCACTAAATGCTCCGCTGATATGGATTTTGATTGTTTGTTCATTCATTATTACTTTTATGTTTCACATTTTCATATTTTTTTTTTATCTATCATTTATCGTAAGATGTGACCCACGTACAAAAAAACAATTTGTGGATTTCCACGTCTCAGATATCCAAACGACTGCATTGAGTCTCAAAAAAATTAACATTCCACAAAAGAATTTTATAAAGTTATTCTTAAGTTTCTCTCTCCTTCTTCACTTTCAGTTCCTCTCCTAATATTGTAGCAATTTCACCTGCCATAAATGCCCAGGGTATACTTGAGTTTGCCAACGGACATTTCTCGCCAGAAGGACAATAGACTTCAGCACCAGATCCCTTAAGAATACATAAAAAAATTAAAATTATTTTTAAGTGATAAGTTTAAGTACGAAACGCAACATTGAGCTTTTATAAATTTTATAAAGGTCTCAAATCTTATTGCTTTACTAAACTTTACACAAATATTAGATATGTTAAGATGTACCATAATTACCTGACGTTTAATGCTTTCTCGACTACAAGGAAAACAAAATTTATGATGAGCAACAGATGGACACTGCACAAAGTGAGTATCTTCCAAACGTTCATTGCAAATCGTGCCTAAAATTCACAAGAATAAAGTTATTAGCATACTGTAAGGAAATTGACGAGATGATGATGATACATACATTTTAAAGTAGGATTGACAGGAGTTGCATTTGGAATTAGATTAGCATCTGTTGGCTGACCATTGACTGCTGGCGGGTTATTATTAGGTGTAGTTTGTTGTTGTTGTTGCTGTTGTTGTTGTTGTTGTTGTTGTTGTTGCTGCTGCTGCTGCTGCTGTGTACTATTAGATGAAACATTATTATTGTTTGACTGTGATTGTGCTTCCGTAGATGTCACTGTTGTACTTGAAACGTGGCGCGAACCTGATGATCTCCTTCCACTCGATGAACCTAAAAATGTTAAACAAACAAGTTGATGAAATAATATCAAAAATGGCATAAACATAAAATGATAACAACCTGAACTAGGAGAATTTTGACTGCCTCTTGAAGATGTGCGTGGCGGTTGTGTATTAGGAGGACTTTGATTGTGCGGACTGCCTGGCGGTATTGTTTCTATAAATGACGATGAAATAAAATTTTATATAAATTATTGAACCGAATAGGAAGCAAACAAACGGAAAGTATATATTCTACCTAATGAAACAGCTGGTAGTCCAGTCATGGTATTCGGATAAACGGCTATACGTAATAAAAAGAAAAAGAAAAACAAACATGAATATTTTGCTGTTATTAGATCTCTCTATTGTGCTGAATAGTATTTTTTTATTCTTAAATACCATTGATGCAACGATTATCATGTTATTACTAAATACAAAGAATTTCATTTAAAAATGTATGTGCTTGAGAAGAACGTGAATATAAAAGAGAACGAAAAATCGATATTTATTACATATAGCACACGATATACGTGACGTCACCTTATGTACAAAAAAATTATTTGTAAAAGTAAGTTGATGCGTCTGTCTTCTTTATTTACAATCTCTCGCATACAAACTTACGAGCATATCATATTTTCATTACGAGCATTTTTTTTTCGAGTAATGAAAAAAGAAGAAGTGAAAAATTCACTATGCAAAAAGTGTTTTGAATTTCGTTACTAAAATGATACACAAATGAAATTGCTTCCCATAAAACGATTCTCGGTAAAGAAGCAAGCAGAAGTAAAAAAAAGTATTGATTTTGCAATTTTGAAGGAGAACGAAAAGAATTTTCTTTTTACTTTTATTTTTTTTTTTGATTCACAATATTGCTGCTATAGCATAATTAAGAATTCTTGATCACGAAAAAGGCATCTTGGATACAATTGGTATGCATGAACATACTCATTGTTAAATGGATTTGCCCAAATATAAATATAAGAAAACGTAGCTGAACGTGACGTGAAATAATATTTTTCTTTCCTTTTCGTTTTTTACTCTTTTCACTTGAGCCTGACGTATTTTTTGCAAATGTATTGGTACCTATAACAAAATTTATTCGCTTGGCTCTTTTTTTTATATTTCTCGTTTTCTTTTTAAAATGAAAATCAGTCAAGAACAATAACAAAAATAAGAGAAAAAAACGAGTCAGTATAAATAACGGTGACGTCATAAATGATGTATGTGTTTATGAAAATATGGTCGAAGATGTAACAGCAGCAATATATAAGTACGTTTCTTTCATTCGTTGTATGGCTGCTATCGTTTAATATAACATTTCTTCTGTTATGTGTGCACACATTCAATTTCGTCTGAGTCGTACATATAGTCACATTGTATGTATATATAAGTAAAATAAAACAATCTTATGAATTTGTGGAATGGAAATACACCGAAAAAAGAAAGAAAAATAAGAATAAAATGCTGACGAAAAAAAACGCTGAATTGAAAGAAAAATTTACTGTTACCCATTGAACAGCATAATAGAAGTGTGTATATAGTAACATCTTTCTTTCTTGTCGTTATTTATTTGATATTTATATAGATTTTACCGTACGTAGAAATTTTTAGAATTATTTAAAGTCTGTAAAGGTAAAAGGATGAAACCTTTTGAAATGCCTACAAAACTTATCACGAACAAAAAATTTCTTAAATTTTTGTTTTAAATGGTCTTTAAAAAAACATTGTAAACATCAATTGACAGATGTTTTTCTCGTTCAGCATTAAAATTTAAATAGAAATGCTTTATTTTTAGTTTCAACTGATCATACCTATTTTATCGATTTCTTTCTTCTATGTGTATATAGATAGTACATGGAAGCATATTACGTACTGCTCTTTTTATTATTATTCACTTTTTCATAATAGAAAAAAAAAATCTTTTCTCTTTGGTACGTTCTGCATGTCGTATACTGATTTCATACGAAATTATTTTCTGCACATACCAACACAATTGTATATGACGCGAAGCTTTCGCCCTTGTCCTTCTATGCTTCACATATACACTTATATATTCATTCATTCAGCCTTATAAATGGAATGTTGAGAAATGCTCAAAATTTTGGTCTAGTTCTTATTGCACTTTCGCAATCATTTAAAAAATTCTTAATATTTTTTTTCTATTCGTCTTCTTTAAAAACAAAATCAAATGTTTTTTTTAGAACCATATGAAGCACATACAGATTAGTAATTCAAAGAAGAAATATGTTTCGATTTCATTGGCATAGAAGCACGTCAAAATAAAACATGCCTCCATAATATGTATATAAAAAAACGCAACTTGATTACTATATAGACACATAAATAAACATAGTAGAAGCTCTGCGCAACGCTACATAATAACACTATATTGCACTATATAGTAACGAGAAAAAGTGAAAGAAATCAGAATTATTCTAGCGAATCATAGTACTTTATGAATTACTACAAAATAAATTCTGTCATCATCTGCTCATCATAAAAGAAAGATAGTAAAAAATGACGAAAATCACTCTCTAATTCTCTCATTCACATCGCTCTTAATTATAATAACGTAAAACTTTTTTCTTGTGTAATTATTATTATAGATGAAATCAGTTCTTGTGCTGTCTAATTTTCTTTGCAAAATATGCGAATATGTACATTTCTCTGTACTCTGTTCAAGGTTATCACTTTTGTGACCGTTATTAAACTCATGAAGTAATAAGATGTTTTTTTTAAGAACTATACACAATCTTTGCTATTATCATAAAATACATTTTTTTCTCTTTAATTCTTACCTGTTCCAGATTTAAAGGCTCCTATAAATGGGAAGATTAAAATAATATTGTCAGTAACTGTAAATAATATTTTTTTTTTAAAAAAAATTATTACCATCAAATGAAGGAGCACGAACAGGATGCTTATCCTTAAAACTTGGTTGTCTTTCAGGGGGAAAAGGGACTGTTGGAAGAGATTCACCACGAGTTAATGGTGGTCTATTCTCTTCTGCCGCTCTTTTCAATTGTGCTGTTGGTTCCGTATCCTCACAGTCGTCTGGCGGTGGACGTTTAAGATTAATGGAAACAGTTGTAGGAGCGGATGATCGGTTAGTGTGTGTGAGATGATGAGGTGGGACTAAATGCTGCTGTTGTGCGATTCTTGCTACAACCGGTCTTCCTCCATTTGCCTCGTGCGGCTCAATCTTTTCTGTTTTTGGTACAAATTCCATCATAGGACGTTGTATTTGTTGTGTTGACGTATTTGATGACAAATAATGATGATGAATTTGTGATGGAACCGTGCGATGAGACACAACTTCTCCATTTTCAAAGTTACCCCTTTTTGCGCTGCTAGCTGTTGTTGCGGCATGTAGCCTCTTCATTTGCCTAGCAGCTTCTATGACTAACTCAATACGATCAGCACCCTCATAATTAACACAACCGCGACAGACAGCTTCAGAAAAATCTAATATCATTGCCCATTGCATTCGAGGTAAATCACACAAATAACAAGACATTCGTTTAGCCGAAATTGTTGACATTGTTATTTGATTCTTAATTCTAAACGTTTGTTCTCGTTGCTTATGAATTGTTATTTTTTTTATTTACTTCCTCTAAAAATCACTTTAAATTTGCAACTATATTTTTCACTTTTTTTTTCTTTATTATTTCAGAAGAAAATAATCTTATTTCTTCTTAAAGATAATACCTAACAATTTAAAAATTTCTCTCATCACAACTTTTTTTTTTGTATACAAAAGAGAATTATGACATCACTGTTTTGAAATTGTATGTGTTAGTAACATAAACCGAAAAAAAAATTAATCAAACTTTTATTTTCTAAAGTTAATTTTATTCTATAATTTTTTTTTCTTTATTTATTTTGTCACTTCCGATTTATATGCATCGCTTCCGAAATTCACTTTATCAAAACTCTGCGATATTTTTTTCTTGCTTAAAATTTAAAATATTCAAAATATTCGCAGCTACGCAAAAAGCATGTCCTTCCATGTCGATTGAAAAAACTCAACTGAGAAAAAGTGTATAAAACTTTTAGCGCCTTCTTTTGAAATTTCTATCCAATTTTTTTTTTTCAAAAAAAACTTATGCTTAATTTTATAGATTTAAAGAGATTTTTTTAAAACGCTTATTTTGGAAAGTTTATATTTTCAATTGAAAAATTTTTTATTAATAGATTTTAAATGATTTAACTTATTTTAATTGTTTTAACACAATCTTCATTATGTCGTATGTTTGAACATATTAATGAATCACTTCTCAATATTTAAAACTTTTTATTTTGAAATAGTTTTTAAATAATTTTTGAGAAATATTTGATAAAATCATTCATGAATTAATGTTAAAAATGAATTTTTTGAAATAAATATTTAAATGTTCTACTTGATTTTGTAGATATTTTTTTGTAGATTTACATTTGAAAAATATTGTTAAAATTATCTAAAGTGTATTAGTCATCATAAGACTATTTTTAAATAAGCCTCATTTTTAAGATAAAAAATTTATGTTAATAAAGTGTAATAATAAAATTACAAAAATTAATTTGAACTGCCAGACAACTTTTAAAGCAGTAAATAATCGACTTTTTGTCCATTTTTAAAATAAATAATTCTGAACCTGATAAAGAGTTTTGATATGCACAAACTCTAGAACCAACAGTTTGAGAACCATAATAACGAAAATCTCAAAACTATGCTTTTTTTTTCATTTACGAAATTTTGTATGATATTATCTGAGATTTATTAGTTTATTTGCATTTATTTTTATGAAAATTCAAGTTCACTTACATTTCAGTCTAATTGAAAATTAGTTGAAAATTAGAATATTTTATCAAAAATAATCAATACTTAGTGGTTGATTTTTTGAAGTAAATCATTAATTAAGAACTTTTTATGCTGCCAAAAAAAGCAGCATTGATTTTAATAGCAGATTTCTGTAAGAAATTAATTTTGAATATACATGAAGATAAATGCTTTAATGAAAGAAGTAAAAAGATAGTAGGACAGCCATCACCTGTTTAATTGCAACTGAAATATAAAATAATAATTTTATTTATGCTTAAAGCAGCTTTAAGTACATTTGAGTTTTAATGTTTTTTTAAACAACCTATCTTAATGGCACAATTTGTTATGAATGGTTTCATTCGTTCTAGTACAGTAGTTTAAATTTAAAATCTGTAAGTCATTTTTTTTTCTTGCATTATTAAAAGAAATTAACCCTTCAGCAATTAACTATCGTTATATTTTGGTTAGTCAGATTGTCTTTTATGTAATTGGTTCATATATTCAAAATTTAAAAGAAATTAAAAGCTTACAGCTCGAATATTAGTTTGAATGATAGGGTTTTAACTGGCTAAGAAATATTGGCACTCATTCATTTATCCTAAAATTTATTCACAAAATATTGCTAATGATTGAATTAATTTAAGTCACTAGTGATTAAGTATTACCTAAATTCTACTAGAACCTCAAGTCTTTTCTGTAATTATTAAAATTATTCAATTTTTTTTATCATTTTATAAAAATGAGATCGATTCAACGTTTCATGTTCATAAAAACATGTATGATTTTTTTTTTTTAGTATTTATCTTTGTCATCTTCTATTTGCTTCAAGCGCATATTATTCAAAGCAGAGTTTCGTTTCATTGTGGAGGTGTCGGTATCATTTTGGAATTTTAAAATTTTTGGTGTATTTTGATTTAGCAAATTATTGTTTGATTTCGTTAATGTTCCTTGTGAATTTGGAACTTTAGACCGACTAGTGCTGCCACTAAATGATGGCTGACGTTTGGCTCGATTGTTTTCTATATAATCTTTAGTTGGAAGACTTGAATATTGATTTGGAAATGTTGACAAGTAATGTGGAGATCCAATTGATCTCGAGCGATTAGCCTTACGTTCTATTATATTCTTTGTTAAAAATCCTGTGATTCCGCAACAGAGAATTGTAAATATTAAGAATAAAATGAATATCCAGTGTATTCCTAAAGATGAACTTAAAAGTTTTTCTTGTGTAGCATTATCGCATAGCTGAAATTTGTTTCCGTTTTCATCGCATTCTTTTGATGCTGCTATATAAAGAGAGAAAAAAAAAAACAAAATAATTAAAAATCACTGACCAAATAAAAACATAAAAAGGATCATTGGAATTATTTAACTTACGATCGCAACTTGAATTATAACAAATTTCATCTTGTACACTTGGATTATCACCGCATTCTTTATCATCTAATATGTCACCATTTGATGATAAACATTTTCTGTATCGTACTCTCCTTCCTTTACCACAAGATACACTACATGGACTCCAGTCAGTCCAGCAACCCCAAGATGCTTTGCTTGAAAGATAAACTCGTTGACAAACATTATCATTCTTCTTACACATTCTTGTTTCTTCTTTGAATAAAGAAATTTTCAGTTCTGCTGGATCATTGATTGGTGCCTTACACATGTAACGATATCGTTTTTCCATGTGACCATACTCAGAGCTATTGAATGCTAACCATGTTGTCCACGGCCCAAGCTTCTTCACTTCATTGCAAGATTGTTTGTTGCATTCTTCATATTCAATATTACAACCAATACAATCCAATCCATTATTTTGAGGTTCTGGATCATTGCATTTTCGTTCCCTAATTCTAAAACCTTTTCCACACGGCACTGAACATTGACTCCAATCACTCCACTCTGACCATTGACCATCAATCTGACCTACAAGTGTAGGACTTATTTGAGGGCATGGAGGTAAATCAGTGCAATAAATCTCTTGTTGATTACTTCCCACACAAATTCTTCCACTATGTCTAGGCGCCGGATTAGTGCACGTTCTTTTCCTAACTTTAATCGCAACTCCACATGTCTGGCTGCATGCACCATAAGCACTCCATTCAGACCATCCACCATGTACAGTGCAGTTTGAAACCTGTATTGTATGACCTTCGCATAATTTACCACCATGTTTAGGTGCTGAAAATTAGAATACATTTTTTTTTATGTAGGCAGCTTCTAGTTTTAATATAAATTATAAATTACCAGGTGAATTGCAATTTCTGGTCCTACAAAAGCATGTATCTTGATTATTATCGTTTCCAAATGATGGTTCATTATCATTTTTGGCACATTTAAACCATGAAGACCACGCAGAAAAACTTCCATCCACAGGAACAGCTAAATTTAAGCCAGTTAAAGATAAGATTATTTTAAAAATCTAATAAAACTTTATGGCTTACTTAATATTGGACACATGGTTGAGTTTTGATACCAATATGATGTTAATGGATCGTTATTTGGTGCGGATGTACAAGCAAGTGTTAAATCATTCCATCCACAGTAAGGATCCATCGAATTCATGCACGAAACTTTTGACAAATGCCTAGAGCATCGTTGTGAAGGAATTTTCATTATTGAATTACTTGTTCCTATGTAAATTGATTGAGTCAACTGTAAATATTCTAATGTTTCGATTTTTGCATTTGCAAGTTCAGGTTCCAATATCTCAATTAAACATGACTGCTTCGTTCTTGGCAAAACAGAAATTTTCTTGATATATCCTTCCTCGTTAGAAACAAATATTACTTTTACATTTTCATGTAATTTAGTTGCAATTTTTGTCACTACAATATGATAAAATCTCTCTAACTTCGTCACATATAATGGACTTATACTCAAAGGTTGTACCGATTTATCAAGCAATTGATACTTTGTTGAGTCTAATAAATTGTTGGAAGATTTATGATCAAATTTACAATCATAATTATTTCTTGACTCTATCGTTTTTTGGTGCCAATTTGGTGAACCCGGGGTCTCTTGATATTTTATTTGTCCATTAAATGCACTTTCTATAGCAGAAATATTAAAAACACAAATTGCTGAACCATGAATGCTGTTTCTATAAATTTAATAAAAAATAATTTTTTAAAAGTGGGCAGAAAATAATTTAATGGATACATACTCTGGTGTTGAGAATGTTGCATAAAGTTCGCCCTCTTCTGCTAAATATGAAATTGCTTGAACTTCATCAAAATAAAATGGGAAGTCCCCACCAGGTAAAGAGCAATTCTAAAATTAGATTTATAAATTATATTACTTGACAAATGTTGAATCAATCATTAACATTACCAGTCTTGCTTTTAAAAATGATGTCCAATTGTCTTTGAATATATGTGTGCCTCCATTGTCATTTTTGCAAATTCTCGCGATTCTAGAATAAATAGCTTTACCACCAAAACTAGATACTTCAATAGAAACTTCACGAAATACAAAATAAATGAAGTCAGTATGTTCAAAGCTTCCGACAAACTGTGGATCAAAAAGCTCTAAATCATTGTATTGCTTGGTTCTTAAAGTTTTTGAGTAATCATTCGAGAGATCAGATCGCAAAATGACAGAATCAGATCCAGAAAAATCTATAGTCGATCCTACATACATTCTTCCATCACTTGTCACGAGAGTTGTAATATTTGATCGAGGATTGAAGGGACTTTTTCCAATGCTTTTCTCTTGCTTTATTAAATTTAGTGTGTCAATGTTTCTCCATGAACAATTTGGGGAATAAGCAAAGCTTCCGCAAACAAGAATCTCGTCATTATAAACATGAATTGCCATTATATAATTTCTGCAATCCTTCTCATTTTGCCCTTTCTGAAGACATGTATCAATAGAATTTTTGCTTGCTTCCCATTGCACTTTTTGCATTAAATCTAATTGCAATGAAAATTTGTACAAGAAGTCTCTGTAATTTAAAAATAGACCAGACAAATTTTTTTATAAATTATCGAGTATTATCCATTAAAAATATAAAAATATAAAAATATAAAAATATCTTGTTTAGGTATACAGCACTTTCAAATTTACGATATTTTTATGAAAAGAAATTTTAACATGATAATTTTCCTTTTAGCAATCTGTTCGTACATTAAACAGAAAAATCAAGTTCCCAAATAAAGTGAATACAAGTTGTTAAAGAAGGTTGATTTTGTAAGTAAGGTAACGTGTGTATAGAGATATTTAGAGGCGCCTAAATCAATTTATTGCAAAAACTTGATTATATGTGTTTTATTTCTTCGCGTCTGAATAACTAGCAAGGTTGTGTATTGTCGCATATTTTATTTTTAATTGCGATTATTAAGCTCTCAAATCCATAATTAAGTTATGTCATTGTGGAATTTTGATTTCTTGCTTTTGAACACAAAAGAATGAATCTCAAGAGAGTCCACAAGCATTTTTCTTGATAGATTCTCATCAAAATGTAAGTATGAATAAAATGATTGTAGAAAAATGATCACTTGTAACACGAACTGTATGTCTGTATTATGGTGCATTTTAAGCGCGTAGGTTTAGTTTTAAATAAAAATCTCAGACATGGCGACATAATTCGTAGGCGATTCTCGCTTTATATATTAATGAAGAACCAACCATTGCAAAATAAATATTTCTTATAAAATAGAATACATTTTTTTTAATTCACTTAAAGTCAACATCTCTATACATATTTTATAGAATTAGCAATAAGTATGACATTGGCAAAAATAATTAAGCATAATTTTTTTTCTGCTCTTAATATGATAAACTTTATGCTACAATCACATGCATGTTTTTATATAGTTAAACATAAGCTTCTTACCTAGCACCTGCAATGATTATGTTTTTGTTCACGTCAAAGTAAAGACGTGAAAACGTTGTGACATTTTGATCAGTATATCGACTAGATGTTGAAAGCAGATCTGTGAAACAATAAAAGATAATTTATTGAAGGAACTTTAAAATGATTAAGATATTTGTTTTACCGTGATATGCTACGTAACGAAAGTCATTTTGAGAGATTAATTCATTTGAAGATACCAATACTAATTTCCCTAATATAATTATGCTGGAAATATAATAAATTTTTTAAATACTTATCATAAAATGTTGGAGCAAAAAGGAAAATTTATATCGTGACATTAGAAACGTACACAAAAAATTTATCAATTTTCTAGTTTCAAATTTAAGGTGATAATTTTGATAAGAGCCTGTACGTAAGCTATACAGGTTAATATTACACTTTGTTATCAGCAGAAACATCGTAATAGAGTTTTTTTTTTAATGTTTATAAAAAGCGTTGAACTGAAATGTGAATCATTATGAGTATGTTTTTTATATGGCTTATAGAAACCTTTTTTTTTAAATAAATAAATTCAAGAGTAAACATTTAAGTTGAGCCTTATTAGAAATGAAGAATAAAAGTACATTAACGCATCAAGGTGGGCAAATAATCTTAGAAACTTTCAAAATTAAATTAAATTGGAAAATTCAATTTTTGATAGCGATAGCAGTTGATAAGATTTTTTCAAAAATTTGTGATTATTTATGTACGACGCCCTACTAGAGTTTTAACTAGATGATCTGTGTAGTAAATCTTCAACATATTGTCTGTTCCCAGAAAGATCTGTAACTACAGGTGGCTTATTTCACCTCAGGCACAGAGGTACTTTGATTCGAATCTGTGTTAAATCCATTACTGGTTCTAAAAAAACTTTATGGTACAGATACAGTTTTTCAAGACATCATATAGAAATATCTCCATATAATCAGTTTTGTGCACGTTTCTATACATCACAGATTTATTCTATAGAAATCGCATTTAAGATTTATCATCATGGTCAATTACTTACACTATGGTCTTGAAAATTTGTTGAAATTTGGCAGACATAGTAAATATAGCGATGAAACTCAAATAATTTATTATACTCGCCACACTTTCATGATTTTGTTTTAAAAGTCTTTTTTACACAAGTAATAATGCTTTCTCCTTTTTTATTTCTTTAAAACTTCCTCATTGCAAATAAAACAATATAATTCACAAATGACAGTCTTTAAAATTTTTGAAGATTTTTGTTTGAACAGTAAAACATAATTAACTGATTTCAAGGTTCTTTTAAAATATACTATAACTCTTAACTTCCTATACTAGTCATTATTTCAACATAATAAAACTTTGAAGATTTCACTGGAAATACATCAAGTGTCTTTTATATGCTATTTACTTTTTTAAGGCTATCACTACCATTTATTTTTCGCAATATCGAAAATACTTCAAGCGATTTTCTTTTTAAGCGTTTATGGCATTCCACAACTACAAAAATGACATCAATTTATTCAATTCTAATAATCACAATTTGTTTTAACACCCATCGATATCAAATTATCACGATTGTTAAAATTATTGAAGCTATAATCAATTATTTGATTGCATTTTTTTTTTTAATAATTTTGAGTACTAAACACTTTGATGTGACTGTACAGCTTGAAAGTTTATTAACAAATGTTTTTAAGAGTTGTAAAATATACTCATATTTTTTTCTGTTAACGTATTAATGTATATATACGTATCAGCATTTGTTGCTGCTACACAGCCACAATCATGAAAAATACAAACAATTTTAATGGTATTCGAGAAACTTATGTTACTTGATTCTGCTGGAGAAATTGTGAAACCGGTATGTTTTAAAGATGTGTTGAATAATTTGATACAATGTACATAAAAAAATGGCATTTTTTGTTGTTTTAAAATTCGCACATAATGTTTAATTAGCAAATCAATCATTCTCCAAACTGTTATCAATAATTGTTCTATAATTTTGGATATAAGCCTCTTGAAACACAACATATGTTTCAAGTAACTTTTCTTGTAAAGTAGTCAAACTTGATTTTTTTCTGCATATATGCAAAAATGAGATATGAGAATACAAAAAGTGCTTTACATAATTTTATATATTCACACGTCTTCAACCAAACAAACGTGTGATAACGATGTGTGAGGAATAGCCATCATTTCTATGTATTAATATGTAAATAACTTCATTAAACTTTCATGTGAATATTTTTTTCTTCGAGATAAAAATGTTTGTATGATTACATCAAAGGTCGTTTGAGGCTGTCTTTGTGTTAAGGCTTGATACATTCAAAAAAGTTTTTCTTTTCTTTTTCAAAGCTGTTTAAAGCTTCTTCTCAAAGCGCATAGAACAAAAAACAATTATTCCTATAATGTTTCAAAACATTCCTTCTGTGGTTTTGGAGCAGTGTTCATCTGAAATATCGAGCCATGTGTTGGCGATTCTGAAATAGACAGAATCTTTAGTGTTATCAATATGACAAATATATGCGAATTCTCATGACATGACACCTTCAAATCCTTTTAGACGCTCTTGTTATGACAGACGTAATAAGTGAATAACCCATAAGCGTAGCATAACGATTTAACATTATCGCATTGAGTGTTGATTATCGATTTAATGAAGGAAAGTAATAAAATAAAATAGAAAACAAACATTTATATTAATGATAAGACATTTTCAAGATCGATTGAAACGACGCATAGAAAAGTAATAAGTTAGAGATTTGATACAATTACAGACTGATGTTTTATCCTATCATGTTTTGTTTAATGAAAAATTATTAGATACTTAAATGAAGATACAAAGTATTTTTGCATGCAATATATTTTCGTGCTTGCAAGCAATAAAATTGTAACCACTTTCCAATAGCGCGAAAATCACTCGGTGTTATCGCCAAAGGTGTTTGTGAAAAAAAATTGTTTATTTTCCTTCAATTTTCTATGCGTTATTGTATGATGAAGGTATATTATTGGAAGTATCATATAAAGGAAATGTTTGAGAGGGTGCGAAAGCACTCAAAACGTAGCCACTAAAATATATATAATGGTAATGAAAGTTAGAAACGAGCACTAACTGTATGTGTTTCATTGTTCGCACATTGGAAAATTTGCTCAAAGTTTTCTTGATAAATTCTCATTCCTTTGACGGCTGAAGACCAAAAAAGATGTCTAGAGTGAAACTTGTTGGTGGACGTCCTATCACAGCGTAATATACTTAAAATTCAATGTTCATTCGATATTTTTAATTTTTTAAAAAATTTTCTCGAGAATTTGTTCAGTGAAGAAGCCATTGTAAGTTAAGTTTATATGGATAAAATGAAAAATAATATAAAAATCTTTACCCCATAGGATATTAGGCAGACAGGTAAGTTTCAGACTTTGAATTTATATCTATCACTCTAAGTTGAAGTTATAAAATTATCAAAGTATTTGGAAGTGCTTCATCTCCACCCAGAGGAGAATGGACACGAACAGGCTTGGTCTTTTCCAAAGACGGATATACATTTGGCTTAAAATGCCCTAAAAATGCAACCAGAGGACTTCAATCTGTGATTCAAGCATTTCTTATCAAACACTTTATTTTTGAGAACCGTCCTAAAGAAAAGTCCATACCAATTGAAAAGTTATTAAAGCCAAGTGAAAGTGAACAAATTTGTGCATTATGGACTTGTATGTCTGAAATCATATGGAATATAGGAGAGAAGAAAAAAGCCATTGTCGTTCTTCCATGTGATAGTAAGAATGTTTAATCCAATATTACAATTAAAAGTTATCAAAAAATTTATATTTTTTCTCTCAAACTCCACAGCTCCACAACCGCCTATAAGTCACACAAATCAATATTTTCAGGATAATATTACTGAGAAGGTGATGAATTCTTTTAAGGAATATTTGAAAAGTATTTTTTTTTATTTGTTTATCCTGACAGCTACATATATTTGAGTTTCATAAGTTGGATGACTTGCAAATATTTATGAAGCGTTATCTTTTCTTCTTTACTGACGATTCAAGTCCCGGAGCACTATTGTTGTTATATTCAGCTGTTTGGACACGTGGGTTTGAAAATGTGCGTGCGGATATGGATTTAAAAAAGTCTGGACATTTGCTAGGAAATCATGAAGAAGGCTCTTTGAATGTTATTACTTTATTGCTTTCTGGACGAGCTACTGTAAGTTAATCAGTTTTATTACTAAAACTATCTATCGGGTAGAAACCAGATCCGGATATATTCACACCGTACTATCGAAATTTTTTAAAAAATCACACTAAACTAGTGTTTAAATTTTGTAAGAAAGGAAGGTTTTTTGCGTTTTCTGAAGCATCATCTATTTCTACCTTGCCCAAAAACAATATAGCTTTTATAAAGGGAAGCACGTATTAATGCCAATTAATGCCATCTCTACGATGTCTCATTCTCGAGATTTTAAGCCTTCCTTCCCGAACATACAAAGAGCATGCTCAAAAAAGTGAGCATATAAGTGACCTCAATCTAAAACTCCCTAAAATGCAGCTACCCTAAAATGCAGATAGAACTGCCAAGATGCAGATGGTACTGCTAAAGTGCAGATGAAATTTATTTTCCCTAAAATGCAGATGAAATGCTGTTGGTTTAAAAAGGTATAATGCAGATGATTTTTATCGTATAAAGTGCAGATAAGATGCTGACCAAATGTAGATCGTATAATTTTAATAAAATACATTAATATTCAATGATTTTTTTCTTGATGCGTGTTAATCAAGTGTTAATAACTTTAAATGATCCGTGATGATCATTTGATTCTTTTCTCTTCTTATGATAGACTTAAATTTAAGGGTTATTGTTTTGTCTGACGACATATTTATGTATATATAAAGTAATTTAAAGTTATGAAGTTTGCAATGTATATAGCTGCGCTCAGCATATATTTGAAGGTTTAAAACTTAACGGACATTCTTTAAAAGTTTTTTAAAAAAATTTTTCATCCAAAGTTTAATTTAAAAAAATCACAGTGAACTTTAAATTTGAAAAATTCGTAAGAAAGGAAAGTTTTTTGCTTTTTCTGAAGCAACGGCTGTTCCTACCTTGCCCAAAAACAATACAGCTCTTCTATAGAGCAGCACGGATCAAATGTAAAAAAACTAGAAGTCTCTACGATGTCTCGTTATTGAGATTTCTTGCTGATTAACTTGCTTGCTTGCTTGTTTGCTTACAGAAAGCGTATTTTGCGATTTTCTCAGCAATGCCACAACCAATTTGAAATCTGATTTTTGCTAAAGATGTAAAATTTCAGGCACAAACTTTACTTCTGGGACTTTTTATATTCACACCGTTTTCACATGTGAATCTATTGGTTTTGTTCAGATTGAAAAATCAGTTTTTTGAATTTTGTGAGGATATGGAGCAAGATAGCTTAAAATGTTCGGTGATGAAAAGTTTGTGCCTAGAATTTCACATCTTTTGCAAAAAACAGATTTCAAATTGGTTGTGGCATTGCTGAGAAAATCGCAAAAGACGCTTTCTGTAAGCAAACAAGCAAGCAAGCAAGTTAATCAGCAAGAAATCTCATTAACGAGACATCGTAGAGACTTCTATTTTTTTACATTTGATCCGTGCTGCTCTATAGAAGAGCTGTATTGTTTTTAGGCAAGGTAAGAACAGCCGTTGCTTCAGAAAAAGCAAAAAACTATCCTTTCTTATGAATTTTTCAAAAACAAAAGTTCACTGTGATTTTTTTAAATAAAACTTTGGATGAAAAAAAAAATTTAAAAATCTTTCAAAAAATGTTCGTTAAGCTTTAAACCTTCAAACATATTATTCTTACTCCATATGAGGAACTACCTGCTTTCATTGCTTTTAAAATCTTAAATGTCTTTTATTACAGTACCAAAGGAATCTACGTTTGTTTAATGAGTCATAAGCAAGAATAGGCACTTGAACTGCCTAGTTCCTTTACATCAACAAAATTTTTTTTGTTGCTTTTTCATCAAGGAATCACCTCTTGAAGTCAAAAATTTTTTGCGCAACTAATCGGTTCCTTTCATACCTGATGATTAAATATGACTGAAAATTATGCTTTATACTTATATGATTAGATAAACATACTCGTTTAAGTCAAAAAGCATGGAACCATTGGTTGCTGTAACCTTTATTAAAGAAATTTTTGGATTGAAAAGATCCAGTTGCAAGATTTTGGCCGAAAAAGGATCAACTGCATTCTTACTTATGAGAACCTGCAACTGAAAACTGTTGATTTGAAAAAAAAAAATTTAAGAAATTGCATACAAAAATTTTATATGGAAGGATTTTAAAATCCCAAAAAAAATCCCTTTGCAAAATGATTTAAATCAATATCCCAGAGATCGAAGCCGATTTTTTCGGCTTAACTCAATTTTTGATTTTTTTGATAGAAAAAGCCATTTGACACCCATTTCAAGTATTTAAATTGAACTTTAGCTTCGGCTTAAAATCGGCTAAATTGAAATTCTGAGCTTCCTATAGCTACATGCTGACAAAATATTGCACAGAATCATAGTAAAGCATGTAAAGTTCAATTTAAATACTTGAAATGGGTGTCAAATGGCTTTTTTCTATCAAAAAAATCAAAAATTGAGTTAAGCCGAAAAAATCGGCTTCGATCTCTGCAATATCCCTTTTTAAAATCATTTATCATTGAGATTTAAATCAAAATCAAAAATAAATTCTGAGATTTTGATTTCAATCGCAAAAAATCTCCCCACCCTGCCGATAGATTCACTCTTGAAAACGGTATGAATACATCAATGAAAGCTGACAAAGTTATAACAAAATTCACAAAAATTATTCGTGAGTGACGCTTAATTAAAGTGATTTTCCGATATAACTCCATAACATGAGTTCTATGACAAAAGAAAGCAATTTTTGTTTTCTACAAGATAAAATAACTTTGAAATTTGTCACTTTGTGGTTTCGGATATATTTAAGAAACCATAGCGTCACTCTCGAATAATTGTTTTTCGTCGGTGCTCAAATAATTAATATCCAACGTTAAATTATCTTCATTAAACCAGCATTTCATCTTTATTTTATTAAAATTATACGATCTACATTTGGGCAGCATCTTATCTACACTTTATACGGTAAAAATCATCTGCATTATACCTTTTTAAACCAACAGCATTTCATCTGCATTTTAGGGAAAATAAATTTCATCTGCACTTTAGCAGTACCATCTGCATCTTGGCAGTTCTATCTGCATTTTAGGGTAGCTGCATTTTAGGGATTTTTAGATTGAGGTTATAAGTGAGTCTACTCAAAAATTATACTTATGCAAGCTCATTCAACTGAGCATGCTCAAAAGTTCATTACGAATGAACTCACTTTATTTTTTTGCAAAAAATTTATAAGCTCACGTGAGTACATTCAACGAGTCTACTCATGAGAATATTAAGAACATACTTATGCGAATATACTCGTATGAGTGCACTTACTGAACATTCTTATAAGAATATTAAGAACATACTCACTTCCAGGGGCGTAGCCAGGGGGGGGCCATAGGGGGCCCGGGCCCCCCCTACGAAAATCTGATAATTGCTTTATTAAGTATTTATAGAGAAGAACCAGTTAATGTAGAGGAAGTGATGAAAGAAATGTCAAAATCAGCACGAAAAATTAAATTTAATGTATGAATAATGAATTAAATATTTAAACTTATGAAGAATGAATATAGATTTAAGGATACAAAATAACGGTTTTTTAATTTTCAAAAATGGGCCCCCCCTTGAAAAATTTTCTGGCTACGCCCCTGCTCACTTCTGTGTGACATAATTTTTTACGTTCTCATATGAGTGCACTTACTGAACATGCTTATGGGAATATTAAGAACATGCTCATGGGTATTTACTCTTCTGAATACACTTCTTTAACATACTCATGAGCATATAATTAACATAATTATATCTAAATGACATTTTCAAAAACGTCGACCAGCTTAAAATCGAATATCGAATACATTTTTATATTAGTCGACATTTTCAAAAATGTTGAACAACTTAAAATCAAACTTAGAATACATTTTTATGCAAGTCGACATTTTAAAAAATGGTCAACCAACTTAAAATCCAACTTAGAATATATTTTAATGATAGTCGACATTTTTTAAAATGTTATTTTTAAAAAATTGTCAACCAACTTAAAAGCAAATGTTGAATATTTTAGATATGTAATACAAAAATGTACGAAACTTTTAAGTTTTCTGAAATAAATGTCAAGGAATTAAATTAAAAATTACTTTGCTTTTAAAAAACTATAAGAATTAAGCACGATCAAAATCTTTTGGCTTTCATGGAACTAATATTTGAATTCATAAAATATTTTCAAAAAATGTCGACCTGCATAAAAACGTATTCAAAGTTTAATTTTAAGTTGGTTTTTTCAAAAAATGTCGACATGCATAAAAATGTATTCGATATTCGATTTTAAGCTGGTCGACATTTTTGAAAATGTCAACATACATAAAAATGTGTTCTAAGTTTAATTTTAAGTTGGTCGACATTTTTCATAATATGTTCTCACGATCGTGCTCTGATCAACTCAAATATTTCATAAAAATATAGTTCAATTAAGCAGCGTATCAAACTTCAAAGAACTTAGTTTGCCTGTAATAATATAATAATTTAAGTATGTGTTTTACCATTTAAAAATCATTATATATTTACAGAAAATTACTCCAAGGAAAAGTGTGAGGTGACAGAAGCAGATGAGCATATACTCATAAATAAACTCACTGAGCATATATCTTTTGAGTATCTTCATGAGTATAAGCTCTTTGAGTATGTTTATGAGTACACTGGTGGAAATTGAAATGAGACACCCATGTTTTTTATGTGAAAGTCTTACAAATGAAAGATTAAGCCTTACTTGTTGTATATCATTGGAAAGGACTTTAAAAAATAACTTAAGTACAGGAACAATGTACTGACTGAAAATGTAGCAGTTTAAAGTTATTTACAAAATATGATTTTTGAGGTGGAAATTGAAATGAGACACTTTAGAAAAATTTACAAAAATCTTCCTCAATTTTGACTTTGACTATACATATTGTATATAGACTTGTAGATTTTTATTTTCTTAAGAATACTAGAGCATTCTAAAAATTTTTGGAACTTCCAATCATCTAATATCCTCAAGAGAAAGTAGTGAAAGCCAGGTTTTTTGTTTTCATCAAATATTTTTATGAATAATCATCTATTAATAACAAATGAAATCTAAATATGTAGATTTTTAAATGCTCTTTCAGATAAAGAATTGATATTTACCTCAACATAAGCTAAAATGACAAAAATTAATTAAAATGCTTGTAACGAGTGAGTACGGATATGAAAAAATTTATTTTTCTCTTATTTTGGTTAATCAAAAAAATCTGAAGTTTTCAGGACATATTCTGCATTGCCTTTACTATAAGTTTTTAATGCCATATATTTTTTATCTCCATCCATAAACGCTAGGATTAACATTTAAGTCATGATGAAATCCCATAATATCAAATTCCATAAATTTTTCACATTATTAATGCAAAAATTCAAATAGAAAAATTCCGTTAAAATTTTCTTATTTTTATCAATTATTAATATTTTATGCACATAAAACGTATTTATGTAACATTTAGAGAATCATGCACTATGTTTAAGATGCTATAGTATCCTTATAATTTCAGGACAATTTAATTATTGTTTGTTTACATCATTAATTTTAGGCTAGAAAAAAGATGCAAAAATAAATTCAAAAATTTTGACCGTTACAAAAACACTAAAACCTAGTATAATTAAATTATGCTGATAGCATAGCATCTTAAACATAGTGCATGATTCTCTAAATGTTACATAAATACGTTTTATGTGCATAAAATATTAATAATTGATAAAAATAAGAAAATTTTAACGGAATTTTTCTATTTGAATTTTTGCATTAATAATGTGAAAAATTTATGGAATTTGATATTATGGGATTTCATCATGACTTAAATGTTAATCCTAGCGTTTATGGATGGAGATAAAAAATATATGGCATTAAAAACTTATAGTAAAGGCAATGCAGAATATGTCCTGAAAACTTCAGATTTTTTTGATTAACCAAAATAAGAGAAAAATAAATTTTTTCATATCCGTACTCACTCGTTACAAGCATTTTAATTAATTTTTGTCATTTAAGCTTATGTTGAGGTAAATATCAATTCTTTATCTGAAAGAGCATTTAAAAATCTACATATTTAGATTTCATTTGTTATTAATAGATGATTATTCATAAAAATATTTGATGAAAACAAAAAACCTGGCTTTCACAACTTTCTCTTGAGGATATTAGATGATTGGAAGTTCCAAAAATTTTTAGAATGCTCTAGTATTCTTAAGAAAATAAAAATCTACAAGTCTATATACAATATGTATAGTCAAAGTCAAAATTGAGGAAGATTTTTGTAAATTTTTCTAAAGTGTCTCATTTCAATTTCCACCTCAAAAATCATATTTTGTAAATAACTTTAAACTGCTACATTTTCAGTCAGTACATTGTTCCTGTACTTAAGTTATTTTTTAAAGTCCTTTCCAATGATATACAACAAGTAAGGCTTAATCTTTCATTTGTAAGACTTTCACATAAAAACATGGGTGTCTCATTTCAATTTCCACCAGTGTATATGCTCTTTGAGAATGTTCATAAGTATATTCAATAAAAAATGTTGCATCAAAACAATGTTGCGTGTGGCATGTTGCCTTCTCATTTGAGTATGCTCATGAGTTTACTCAGTGAGCTTAATGTATGTCACATAGGAATGTGCTCACTGAGCATACTCAAAAAGGTACCGTGATCGCATCACTTTAATGTATGAAATGAGCACATTCTCACAAAAGTTTGCAAGCTCAAAAATAATGTGCTCTGAGTATACTCATTGTATGTTCGAGCTTGCTTGCTTTTAGAAAGCATTTTTTACGGTTTTCTCAGCTATGCCTCATCGGGCACAAACTGTTCATCTTTTGACATTTTCAGCTATCTGGCTTCATTTCCTTATAAAATTCGAAAATCTTATTTTTCAATCTGAACTGAAACAGTGCATTGAGACGTGAATACGGTGTGACTATAAAAAAAACAATTTAAAATGTAATATGCAGCCTTACTTGCATAATGGTGTGATTTATGTTGGAGATGAGGATCATTACGCTTTACCCCAGTTTGGTAATTTCTTGAGATTCAAAAATAGATAATTTTATTGATTTTATTATATTGCAGGTATTTTATGTCGATCGGGAGTCGGCTTATTAATTTGGTAATTAAATCAGATCAAGGAAATAAATTATTTTATAATTATGATGTTATTCAAGGGATGGTGAAGGTGCAACTCTTACAACACGCCAACCCGGCTCAAGATTGAAAACTCCGGCTTTTCCAATTTGGGTATGACATTTAATTAATTCATATTGGTTAAAAATTAGTATTAAAGTGATAATTAATTTAAAAGATAACTTGTTGCACTGGGCATTATGGTGTGATATTTAATTCAAATAAGGAGCTCCTTCGTAATTATCATGCAGAGAAACGTTTTGAATTGCATCACTATACATGTGGAAGTAATTAAAAAACTATTGCTTCTAAAATTTGATTACTTATCATGAAAAATAAAAATGCTTGTTAATCTATAGATTTATTTTTATCGATGACTGTGGACAACAGAAATCAAGATGATGAAGATGGGTATTCTTCGCAAAAAATGCCAAATCCAAATAATAAATGCGACTTCAAAGAAAATGATGCGCTGAGTATTCAAATATCGCCATTGGAAAAGGTAGTCAGCAAATAAAATTCTCTTTTTGAACAAGAGTAAAAGCTTTTTTTTGTAGCTAATTCGGACAAAATGGTGTGATGCTAAAATAACATTTCATCATCAAGTCGAACAAATGAAACTTATGCTGTAAAAAAACATTACTCTAAAATAAAATAAAAAAAATTATGTTGAGAATAGTAAAGCTTAGAAACTGGAATTATTGAATGCTCTAATGGTTTAAAATAATTAAATTTTGTCGAATCTTTTTTGAGTCACACATCGACTTTAAAAAAAAATTCTCTTCACATTTGAGCATGTTCTCCGACAACAAACATGTTAGATTCTACTCGATCACGTGTTGTCAAAATAACAGAGATCGAAGCCGATTTTTTCGGCTTAACTCAATTTTTGATTTTTTTGATAGAAGAAAGCCACTGAGCACCCATTTTAAGTATTTAAATTGAACTTTACATGCTTTACTATGATTCTGTGTAATATTTTGTCAGCATGTAGCTATAGGAAGCTCAGAATTTCAATTTAGCCGATTTTAAGCCGATCGGCTTAAATTTCGGTTTAAAATCGGCTAATTTGAAATTCTGAGCTTCCTTTAGCTACATGCTGACAAAATATTACACAGAATCATAGTAAAGCATGTAAAGTTCAATTTAAATACTTAAAATGGGTGCTCAATGGCTTTCTTCTATCAAAAAAATCAAAAATTGAGTTAAGCCGAAAAAATCGGCTTCGATCTCTGCTATATTAGCATTCTTTATCATTAATAAAACCTAGATATGTTTTAAAATGCAATTTAAACCATTTTTGGTTTTGATCATAGTAGGATATTTTCGAAAATATCGATTTTATATCTTTATTGGCATTCTTTATCATTAATAATACCTAGATATGTTTTAAAATGCAATTAAAAGCATTTTTGGTTTTGATCATAGTAGGCTATTTTCAAAAAAAAAAATTGATTTTATATCTATATGAGCATTTATTATCATTTATAATATCTAGATATGTTTTAAAATGCAATTTAAAGCATTTTTGGTTTTGATCATAGTAGGCTATTTTCCAGAGATCGAAGCCGATTGTTTCGGCTTAACTCAATTTTTGATTTTTTTGATAGAAAAAAGCCATTGAGCACCCATTTTAAGTATTTAAATTGAACTTTACATGCTTTACTATGATTCTGTGTAATATTTTGTCAGCATGTAGCTAAAGGAAGCTCAGAATTTCAAATTAGCCGATTTTAAACCGAAATTTAAGCCGATTGGCTTAAAATCGGCTAAATTGAAATTCTGAGCTCACTATAGCTACATGCTGACAAAATATTACACAGTCACATCATAGTAAAGCATGTAAAGTTCAATTTAAATACTTAAAATGGGTGTTAAATGGCTTTTTTCTATCAAAAAAATCAAAAATTGAGTTAAGCCGAAAAAATCGGCTTCGATCACTGAAAAATAATAGTCATATCTTTAGAAACAAATGGTATAGTAAAGAAATTTAAAATTTTTGATACCGTTTTACAAATTTATACGATTTTACTTTATTTGCTGTTTACTTATTCCTACTGTACAGATCATAAATAAAATATGTTGATATCAAAAGTGATAAAACCTTTCAGTCGCATAAAGCTTCCGATGGCAAAAAGTAACTTTTGTACAGCATCAACGATGCATGTTAAAAAAACATTTGAGGTGAGAAACAAAAGTCAATTAATTCACACATTTTTTGGATCATTTTAATAAGTTCTTGTTTAAACCTTATTTTCTTGTTTCTTTTAAGAACGCAATAAGTGCTCTTAATAATTTGCAAAGTAATGCGTCAGCAGTTAATTTATCATTAAAATTAAGACAGCAACAGATACATGATGAAGCTAATTTGAATCTAAGAGATACAGAGAAATTCTTGGAACGCATCGATGGATTTAATATGAAGTCGCTGGATCGACTGTCTATAATTCATGTTAGCGGAAGTAAAGGAAAAGGTTCAGTTTGCACTTATACGGATGCTATTTTACGTGAATATAATGTTAAAACAGGGCTATTTACATCTCCACATCTTATTTCTGTAACTGAAAGGATCAAGCTAATGGGAATTTCAATAGATAAAAGTGATTTCAACAGATACTTTTGGGAAGTTTACGATGCACTACAGAGCAAGAAAAGCCACGAAAATGATTTACCATCATATTTTAAATTTCTGCAAATCATGGCTTTTTATATCTTTGTGAAGGAAGAAGTAGATGTTGCTATTGTGGAGGTAGGAATTGGCGGTGAATATGATTCAACAAATATTTTAAGAAATACTGAAATTGTTGGAATTACTGCTTTACAATTAGAACATACGCAATTATTAGGAAAGACATTAGAAGAAATTGCATGGCAAAAGGCTGGAATTATTAAAAAAGATTCGTTTGTTTATTACATGAAACAATCAAAAGATAGCGTGGCTAACGTAATTGAAGAACGATTTAAAGAGTTGAAAGGCAAAAGGTTATCTCCAGTTCCATTTTTTGATGAGTATGTGTGGCATAATTGCAGCCTTCCCGATTTCAAGCAAACGTCAGACATTAATAAAATTAATTTTTCATTAGCAGCACAACTAAGTGCTCGATGGCTTAAAAATAGAATGTTGTTATCAGAAAGATATTTTAGTGATAATGTGCTAATAGTCATCGAAAGTAAATTTATAGATGCAATTCAGAAATGCCAAGTTGAAGGTCGATTTCAACAGATTAAATCAGCTGGAATTAATTTTTATCTTGATGGAGCACATACGATTGACAGCATGTTTATCACATCAAACTGGTTTTCCTCAAAAATTGAAAATGAAAAAACTTTGAGCATTCTACTTTTTAACGTGACTGGTGACAGAGATTCTGAGCACATCTTAAATTCATTACATTCGATTCCATTTGATTTTGTTTGCTTTACTACTAATATTGCGAGCGAAGAAACAAATAAGCAATGTGGTAGATTATTTGTATGATATCTATTGATAAATTAGTTTTAATAGAGGTATTATTAATTTTAGAAAACTATACTGATATTCATCAAAATGTTCAATATGATAGATGCTTAAAACACAAAGAAATTTGGACAACAATGAATGCAGACAAGAGATTAAAATCGAGTGATATTGAATGCTTTAAGACAATACAAGATGCTTTAGACTATATATGCAACATTAAAGACAATAATTTAATGCCAATAAATGTACTGATAACAGGATCTTTGCATTTAGTAGGAGGATCATTAAAAATAATTAAGAGTATAGAAAACATTGATATGATCAATGAAAAATTCACAGAGAGAAATATGACATAAATCGTAAGGAAAAATTAACGAATTTATATTTTTAAAAATAATAAAATGTGGCAACACTAATTTCAATCTAAAATTTATTAAGCATAAAAAACCACAAATGGTTTAATTTTTAAAAAGTTAAGGTATTAAATATTGAATTGATGATAATAGTAACAGCATAGATTACTAATTGATCCAGAAAACACGATAATATGCCAGTAAGTATAATAATTTGCTTTTTAAATCATCAAACTTTCAATTTTTCTTTACGAAATACTTTTTGCATGAAAATTGTCTAAACTTATTAATTTTGTAAATCGAATTTATAGGAATCCAAAGAAGATGAAATTGAGAATGTTCGCGTTGTTGTTAGAGTCAGACCACAGGAGAATAATAATGTGAAAAATATTGTTACAGTTGAAAAAAATAATAAATTAATTATCGTCCAAAAACCAAACTCGACGAATAATGAACCAGCCAAAACTTATGGATTCGATAATGTTTTTGATCAATTTTCAGCACAGGTGAGTCTCTAATATGCTTCATCAGAATTAGTATTAGTATTCGTCTGCAACAAAGTTGATTTTAAGAAAAATTAAATGACATCAAAGTGATGAATTCATATTAGCATAACATTCGGTCTCTATGACTACCGATTATTCATTGTTAAAAGACAAATAGACTTTTTTGTTGGGTACAAGCAAAATTTTATTGGCAGAAATTGGAATTGCTGTTTTAAGACATATATAAAATAATCTTTGTTTCAAATGAGATGAATGTCATGGCTTTTTTTCCTTTCCGAATTTTCTCGGTACCTTCAAACATTAAATGACATCATATTGTTTGTTTGTTTCTTTATCAGTAATACAAAAGATAATAAAAAATAATACATAAATTCTTAATTAGCTTCTAGTTTTTGGTATTAAAATTAATTAAAACAAAATGATTAACAACAAAAAATACATACATTTAACTAAGTTAACATTATAATGTAAAATATATATATCTTCTGAACTGAGATTCATAATCAGGTCAATTTTTGTCAGTATCTTATTGTACTTATTTAAATTATATTTCTCTAGAATTGCGCGCGATATTGCAAAAAAGTATCTATGATTAGCTATTTATCGATATAAGGTTTGTTAGGAATGTGAGATTTTTTTGAGATAGGTTTTAAAAATTAGATGTGATATATATATTCTTTTCCTTTTTGCTTAATATATTCATGAGAAAAAAATTATGAAAGAGCTTCATTTAGTAAATTTTCTAAATAGACGAATATGCAAAATAATATTTGTCAACACGCTTAAAAAACGTGTCAACAAAATTAATTAATTCTATAGAATACAAAATGAAATGGTTTACTGGATTTCACCACGTGCACCTAAACGAAAAACAAATAGCATATCGAAAAGGAAAAAAATTGCCCCGATGATTGAAATCGCACCAGTTGCACATGTAAGGTCCATTCTTGTTGTATTTGGGGGCCAGTAATTTCTTTCCTTAGTATCTGACCAATCCTTAAGTATTATAATTGCACATGCCGTAAACAAAATTGTACCAACGAGATTTAATAAGGCTGTTACTTTCCATGGAAAACTGAAATATTTAATAAAAAAAGTTAGGACATAAAGTTTCATGTACTTCATAAATTTAATTCTTACGTGTCTCGGAATGCTTTTCCCATTAAATAAGCAGCTGAGATGACAACAAAAGAACCAAATGTAACATAGGCTAAAGCGATAGTTCGTGTTCCAACGAATATTCTAAAGCGTGAATTATTTGCAGGATCGTCAAACAGTCCTAAACAAACCAAACTTAAAACCTGCAAAGTTCAACATATTTTTAATTACTGAACATTTTAGTGAAAAATAAATCAAAGAAAGAAAGAAAGGCTTTGTATGAAATTTTTTTGACAGCGCCCAGATAGATAAGCATACATTTTTATAATTATTCGTGACATAAAGGATTTAGACGCAGAGCTTTAATTAAAGATAATGGACTATCCTGCGGTGTCCTTTTAATAAATTTATTATTTTTTTTTCTTACCAACTCTGCTGTTTTGAATACAGCTGGGCCATAGTTGCTTGCCTTATTCATATAGTGCCCACCCAATGACGAATCCAAAGTTCCTTGTTCTCCTGTCATTGTCAATCTTGATATTTCTGTTAATTGATAACAATCAAACGGTTATTTTCTCTTTGGCTTATAAGTCATTAGAAAAATGCTTGTGATTTTGGGGTTAATTTTTTAATATTTTTGCTTTTTTACTGATTATGTTACTATCAGTCGGATTCCTTTTATTCTCTTAATGTTTTCTTTAACAATATTTTATAATTTCGATGTTAGTTCAATTCAAAAAAATCCAAAATAAATTATGTATTAAGATTATTAAAGGAAAGTTGTAATTGATAAAAATTTGTTAACAGTTCCAATTAGATTGTTGCCGATAATATGATTGGAATAGAAATCGTTTCATGCAATGTAGACGTGAAAATTCAGTTGATGAATTTAATGTTAGGTGCAACGTGAGAATGAACTTTTACGTTAAATACCTATATTCATTTTATGTATCTTTCAAGCGATCTTAAACGTGATGTATATGATGAACAAAACAAAAATGATGACAAATACTACATATGAATGAATCAAGAATTAATGCACAAACATTTATTGAGACCAAATGTCGTAGTATTATAAATAAAATACGAATTTATTTTGAGCAATTAGCATTGGACATTTAAGAACCGTCTTTATATTCAAATTATTAAGATGACTCAATTAAGTTTATTAGAATATAAAAGATCGTTATGTGTAACAATGTAATTAGATGAACAAGCTTGTTGAGAAGAAGGGCGCGGCAAAAAAGCATCGAACACAAATACATGTAAATGGCGAGCAATTATTGAATGAATAATATCAACATAAAAGAAATAGTCAGAGAATTAAGACAATTTTTTTCTTTACTATAAGTAACACATTTTAGAGTTTGAAGTGTATTTTGGATATAAATCAAACAATACACGTTAGAATAGTTTAAGGTATTTTCTTTTCTGTTACAACAAATGGCTTCATTTTCTTTTTCAACACTCACGATCATTCACAACATAATATCACAAAATTCAATGATCGATTTTCATTCACTTAATTAATATATTTTCCATTTTTTATTAAACATCATGAATGATAATTATTAAAAGTCAAATATGGCTATGAGCATAGAAACGTAAACTAAGAAATAAATTTTATTTGACATACTTTTTAAACTTTGTCAAATTTCTTCAACTTTGACAGTCACAAAATAAATTTCTTTTCAACTTTAACTCGAACTCGACTTTTCACAAATTAAAATTTATTTTTTGAGAATATTTTTTTGATTGAAAATTAAAACTTACAAAAATTTACGTCGTGATCGTTTAACGAATGGTAGAATAATGATAGAGACTTTTGAAGAAAAGTACTCACGCGACGACTTTTGCTTTGGAATGCAGAAACGAATACGCGCGTAGTTTTTCTATTACAAGCTACTCATTCTCTCTCTCTCTCTGTCGTTTTACTCTCCCCAATCGTTCTTTGTTTTTATATCAAAACAGGTTTCTGCCATGTACTATCCGTATTTTTCTGGCGTTGTTTGTTGTTGACTTGGCAATTCACTGATATGTTTTACTTGCTTTTTGTACCTGTTCATACTGACTTTTAAAAATTAAAGAGTTCAACACATGAATTCATTTATTATTTTTTATATGTATGTAGTAACTTTTATCGTAACCCAGGTAACGATTATTGTCAATTAACCATGTGCGCCTCATTTCACGATATATAATATTTCGACGAATGTGTTAGTCACAACGAGTAGCGTTAAAACATAGCACATAAGATACTCCAGAAAAATATTAATAGTAATTTTCAACTTGCAACTTATTCAATGATTTTATTAGAAATTTGATGCAGCATAAATTTACGTGCCATGCATATTTCTTTCAAATTTCATTTATTAATATCCAAAATGAGTGTAATTTCCGGATCAGAAGTTGACGAGTCATCAGTCTGAACATTTTCTCAATTAAAAGAAATAAGATAAGCATAAAAAATGAGTAATAACATTGAGCAATCGAATATATCATCCTGTGAAAATGTGTCGAGTGTGCATAGCTACATACATAGAAGTAAATTAATGCTGTTTCTTTCTTAATCGCAATTCTTCAGACAACATTCATTATTTTCGTTTTATTAACTCTGCGTGGGAGGCTATGATCATTCACATTGATCCAATTAACAACGATCTGTCATCATCATGATTAATAAAACAAATGAGTATTTACCAACTATGTATAGAGATGAACTGTCTTCCTCTCACAACATGTGAGCAAAGAATAATTGATTATTAAACTGAGGAAGTATTCTTTAATGAAACTTACACAGCTTAGGCTGTAATAAAACCATTGTCTTATTAGTTCATATAATTCTTACAAGTTGTTGTTGAAAATTTGATATCGATGCTATTATTTATTAATCACAAGTCATTTTATCATTCCTCTAATTTGGTTAATTAAATACACACATTGTATATTGTATGTCGAGTACGTACTTAGCTTAAGAACTTTTCTTCCCTTTTCCTTAATGTTTTATGAAATCAAATTGCGTTTTTATTACGATTAATTTCATTTCCATCGATTTTTCAACACCTACAAAAGAAAACATGAAAACTAGGCCAACGCGTGTCGATGCACAATCCTTTTCATTTCATAAATAGGTCATTATTACTCCTTGTGAATTTTTTTCATGAATGAATACGAAGTGCGACGTTCGGATTTCTTATGATACTTTTTTTACCGGTTTTTGCGGCTTTGCGGTGTAACAATGTGATTTTATTTTTTGTTTTCACTTTCTTGCATTAACTGTCTGAACTACTAAAGGCATTATTTTATCCTCACCGCAATTCGCAAGTTTTTTTTTATTGAATTAATGCAATATTTGGAGAAATTAACTTCTAAGATAAGCTTTTGAATTAAAAAAAAAATACTTTTTTGTCCTAATCAGTTTCATATAATAAATTACCTCATAATTACACTACATTATGTATGGAATGCTAAAATAATAAAGCAAATCAGTGATTTGGTTACTACTGAATTGTTTAAAATTAAATTTAAGGCTGAAGTGGTTCATTTGCTGTGGTGTTTCCGCACTTAAAAATTGATTATGAATTCCACAATGTAAATACACAAAGCTGTCACAGAAAGGCAGTTACGAATCTTTGAGACATAAAAAGTTGTAAAAGATGCTAAACGTGACTTAACGTATTTGTTTCATCTTATTTCAATGAATGCGCATATTTTCATCGCACATGCTAATTTGTCTTCGTCGATATAGAAATATTTGCTTATGTTAAATTTTTTTTGTGGTTTAAAAGAAGTTCTTTGATTCCTTTTTTTTCGCTTCCGAATGAATTTTAATATTAATTTTTTATCACCATAATATTACTGTCACTATTGTGCATTGAAAACAACCAAAGTTCTTTTTACTGACTAAAACGTGTTGTTTTTACTGGCGTTAAATTACATAATAGTCTTTTCGCATTTATACTGTAATGTTTATGTGTAAAGAACAAATTTAACGCAATTGTTTTATTTTTCTTCTTCACAGATTGATTTATATGTAAATACGGCACGTCCGATCGTTGATAAAGTGCTTGAAGGTTACAATGGAACTATATTGGCATATGGTCAAGTAAGTTGTTTAAAATGTTCTTAACATTGAATTTTTGCAAATAAATTAATCATTATTATTTGTTTTAATTGTTTAGACTGGAACGGGTAAGACATATACAATGGTTGGAGACTCAGATTGCCCTGAATCGAGAGGAATCATACCGAATAGTTTTGCTCATATTTTTGGGCATATTGCAAAAGCTAAAGAGAATGAAAAGTAATTAAACTTAATTAAATTTATTGTTTTTTTTTCAGTTTAATTTTATAATAATTGCCTCCGAATTTTCAGATTCTTAGTTCGAGTGAGTTATATGGAAATATATAATGAAGAGGTTCGTGACCTGCTCGGAAAAGAAATTAATAAAAGCTTAGAAGTCAAGGAGAGATCCGATATTGGTGTTTTCGTTAAAGATCTCTCAGGATATGTTGTCCATAATGCTGATGATTTAGATAACATCATGAAATTGGGAAATAAAAATCGCGCAGTTGGATCAACTTTGGTTAATAGCGTTTCTTCACGATCTCATGCGATTTTTTCGATTACTATTGAGTCAAGTACTACTGACGAAGCTGGTAATCAACAAGTCAAGATGGGTAAACTCCAACTAGTTGATCTCGCTGGAAGTGAAAGACAGCAAAAAACTCAGGCTAGTGGCATACGACTAAAGGAAGCAACTAAAATTAATTTGTCGCTGTCTGTCTTGGGAAATGTTATTAGTGCATTAGTTGATGGAAAAAGTTCTCATATTCCATATCGCAACTCTAAACTTACTCGATTGCTTCAAGATTCTCTTGGCGGCAATGCTAAAACTTTAATGTTTGCTACAATTTCACCATCAGACACGAATTATGTGGAAACAATTTCTACACTTCGCTATGCTGGCCGTGCTAAAAGTATTCAGAATCATACTCACATTAATTCAGATCCAAAAGATGCTCTTTTAAAACATTTCCAACAAGAAATCGAGGAACTTAAACGTCAATTAGAAGAAGGAATTTTCGATGCAAATTTGGTTGAAGTTGACGGCGATGAGAATGTCGAGGACGTTGAAGAGGATGAAAATTCTGATATTGAAATCGAAGAAAATGAAAAGGAAAAAAGCACTAAGAAACGAAAATCAAAAGCTAAAAAAGATGAAATGCAGAAAGAAAAGTCTGACGCAGAGAAAGAATTGCTTGAGAAAAAAGTTCAGGAACATGAAAATGCTCTCAAAGTTGCACAAACCGAACAGGACATGATAAGGGCTAAATTGCAATCTCTTGAAAATAAAATTCTTATTGGAGGTGAAAATTTGCTAGAGAAAGCATATCAACAGGAACAACTGTTGGAAAAATCAGTTGCTGAACTTGAGGAAACCAATAAAAAAGAGCAAGAACTGCAACAAACATTACAGAAAATTGAAGCTGAACGAATTGACATTGAAGAAAGATATTCTTCATTGCAAGAAGAATGTACTGGAAAGACAAAAAAATTACAGAAGGTAATGCAAATGCTTATGGGCTTAAAATCAGAACTTGCTGATCAGCAGCAAGAACAGCAAAGAGAAAAGGAAGGTATATACGAAAATATTCGTAGTTTGTCACGAGAATTGGCATTATGTGAACTTGTCATAAATAACTATATACCAAAGGAATATCAAACTTTAATCGATAAATTTACATATTGGAACGAAGAAATTGGTGAATGGCAATTGAAATGTGTAGCTTACACCGGTAATAATATGCGCAAAAATATAAATGAGCAGCAAAAGCATTCCAAAGAAGATAAAGATTATATTGATTTGAGTCATGTATATTTAAGCTACAACATTGATGGTTTAACAGAACCAATTGCTTCGCGCATAAAGACATCGCGACCAAAAACATCCCACTCAGGCGTTCCGCGCTATTATCAAAGAGCAAATTAAAGCATTTAATTTTAAAGAGCAAAAAAATGTATTTTTTTCGACAACTTTAAATGTTTATTATTTCTGGCTAATTAAATATATATTACACAAAATTAATTGCAATTTGATATGTGTGCATTATCAAAATATATAATTATGATTTTTTTCACAGCTAAATTGAAATTATGAGTTTTCACACGAGCTTTATCTTATTAAAAAAGAATTATTACTAGTCATATATTGTTTTAAACTTTATTAAATAAATGCTTAAATGTACTTAAATAAATTCAATTTATATTACAAAAATCTATACCCTATTTTCAAACTTTATATTAATTGGTCCTCGAGGTGCTAATACAAACTCAAATTGCTGCTCACATGGTGACATATATTCAATCTTAAATTCTCTTACAAGTTTTATCACCAATATAACGAGTTCCATCTCTGATAACTTCTTTCCAGGACATGTTCGTCTATAGGGTAAATTTGATAAAAAAAAAGGCATTAGAAATGATGAAGTTAAATCGTGAAACATTAGCTTACCTTCCACAACCAAAAGGAACTACGATTGATGAGTTTGTAGGTTGATTTGGATTCATTTCTCCATTTTCATTTAACCACCTTTCAGGAATAAATTCTTTTGCATTTTCAAAATTTTCTTCATTGTTGCATGCAATCATATTGTGGCACAGCACAATGTTCTGTGAAATAAAAAAAATGTATTTTAGATAAAGCGTTAAATTCTGCTATGAAACCTACGCCAGCTTCTACGTGATATTCTGACAAATTGAAATCTTGTTCGAGAATTCGGGCAACTGCAAATGCTAAAGTTAAAAAAAAAAGATAAATGCAGCTGTTTATTTACTATAAATCCTATTACTTACCGCTAGGTGATATCTGAAATCAATATGCATTATAAATTGTTCATTAAAAGATGTAATCTCAGTAAAATTTGAGTCAATTACCCTAAAACTTTCTTGAATAGCTGCACGTGTATAATGAGCCTTGTTTAGTTCGTCTAAAGATGGATTTTCACTTAGCAGAGAAGATTCTTGAAATATTTTCTCTTGCACTTCCGCATTTGAAGATATAAAACTCAACAAGAAAATAGCTGTATGTGATAATACTTGAGTTGCTGTCAAAAAATCTACATTATGGATAAGAAAGCAAATAAACAAATTGTGTGATTTAAGGATGAGGTCATGATAATTTACCTATAACACCACTAATTTTATCCCGAATATCAAGCCCTTCTGTTTTTAAGATTTTCACTAATATACTTTCATTTTCCTTGTCTTGAGCCATAAACTCATTGTTCTGGATAGTATTCTTAATAATCTCTAAAATTATATTGTAAATCTTCTCTTCATTCGCGGCATATTCTTTGTAAATTCTTGATGGGAAGTACTTCCACAGGCAATTGCCTATAAAAAAGAATGAATGTTATATAATAAGTATAAACAGCATCAATCATCGTACCATAAAATGCATCACGGAATATTGCAAAAATATTTTTTGCTGCATTTCCTAGTTCCATAAAATTTTCATTATTCTCTCCAGATTCCTGTAAATATCCCATTCGACGTCCAAGAATCAAACTAGAAGATGCTTCAAGCGACATCATTTTCATAAGGTCATCAAAGTTTTCTAGCACATTGTTGGCATTTCTTTTTTGCTTTATCGCATTGATAAATTCATCACAAATTTCGTTTAGTTCGGGACAGAATGTCGAAAGCATGCGCTTACTTTCTAATGTTTTTGGTGTAAGTTTCGATCGTAATTTCGCCCATTGTGGTCCTTGTTCATTTACTAGACCAAGTGAAGAATATCTTTCTGGATGCTTTTGCCGATAAAATGATACAATTTCAGTTGGTGGTCGAAATGGATAAGCTGTTAAAATATATTTAGATAAATTATGGTACATAAGGTATAAATGTGAATGATATAAACCTGAATTAAACTGAAGAACTTTCTCAATATCTTCTCTCTTAAATAATGATATCACAGGTATATTACCGTTCATTTCCATCACAATGTTACCATATGTTTTATTTAAATCTGTTAAAAGGATACATATGTTGTTTAGTCTCGATATATAATGCGAATACTATAAGCATGTCATTGTTTGTCAAAGTTGTGCTTTACCTGCATAATATTCATGAAGTTTATTCATCTTTATTTGTTGCCATTTAGTTCCAATAAAGGGTAACCTCAAAGGTCCAGGAATGCAATAAATATTATCGTTTTTAATAACTTTTAACATCGGAAATCCATTCAGGAAAAAGTCACTCCACTTTAACGGTTTTTTGTTTCTGAACGTATAAACCAGAAACGATGCAACAACGATGTAAATTAATATCACTGTTACTGGCACCATTTTTCAAAACAATCAGCTGCAATATTAAGAAATAAAAAAAAAATTTATGATATTGAGCATTTAACATTCATAATCTGGTCAGTGTTTTCTTATCTAAAAGTTCCTTTTTTGCCAATTCTCAATCGACTTTTACCATAGAAAAGCACGTGTTTGTTCTATTCATACTATTCTCGATTCCTTTTTCATCATTCTCTTTTTCTACTTTTACTACTTTTTATGCTATATCTGGTTATATCACAGTTTACTACGGCACACTTGATTACATAATATCAAGAATTTATTTTTTCTCTAGAAAGAACTATCAGCTTATGTTAATATCGCTCAGATGTGAGTGACCTTGACGCATCACTTCTATGTCAGAGACTAAATCACTGCAAGGCTCTAAACAAATATCGTTGTACAAAAAGGACCCACCCTTATGAGCTGGAGGCACTGCGATTTAAATTAGAACAGAAGCTAATGTACCACACCTTTAGGCCTACAGTTTAAAGTGGAATCCGAAATCTTTGCAACCTCAATGTATCTAGTCACGATTTGTATGCGCAAGATACTGAAATGAAAACATCCAGATCCTTGTATATCCTAGTATGCTTAGCAAAGAATACACGTTATGTGCTGAAGACCACAAAACTACACGTTGTACAATCTGCTTATCAAACATTCATATTTGCGACACTTCAGTGATAAATTAAAAACTAAGAACATCGCTCACACTTTTTAAAAAAGTAACGGGATTATCCATTTCTACTGATCTATTAGTTTATGCAAATTTACTTTGAAAGTACTAGAAATTCTTGAATTTTTCGACCATAGCTTGATAAAAAGACTACGTAATGATCGATTTGACTTTGTTAATTTTTAATTACTTTGAAACTTAAAAATTTTTCAATTTTTTCGACTGGCTTGACTTAATTTTAATTGTTGTCAAATGATGATTACAATTACAATAATACTACGTAGTAAAACTTTGATAACAGTTAAATTTATAAAACAGGAAAAAAAAAATATCTTCTGAAGTTCATTGCCATTCACAGCTTTTAATGTTTTGCGAAATTCAAGAGAGAATAAATACTCGTTTTTTTTGGCTAGCTGATCGATTGTGATCGACAAAATCGGTCGTTCTTAAATGACGTAATGTCAAAATTATATCCATTAATTTTAAACGCTGCAAATGACTTTAAAAAAATCTTTACCTATTCAGATCAATTGTGATCTAGAGGTGCGCTTGGGTGTTTCGCAGTTAATGAGAGTTTAACGAGTGAGGATGCGCCAAACCACTGCATTCAAACCTAGATCTACAATTTATAATGCGATCCGAACCACTCCCTTGCTGACATTTCTGTCTGTAGCCTACAAGAGAAGGCTGTGAGCCTCATTTCCAGTACATATGATTCGAAAAAGAGGGTGTAATACGACTGCCCCAAAATTATCAAGTCAAAAATTTCTCATACCCAGTCTCATGATCATGTGTCGGTATTGCAATAATTAGGAACCGAAGTACTAAACCATTCCGTCACCTAGCCACTTCAGCTCACAAATGACTTATAATTAATGAATTCATTGACTTCATCTCTCTTCATGTTACAAATCTTAGAAACATCCAAAACCCTAAATATATACAAAATAAATTAACAACCCACCATACGAGTTGCTTACTTTGTCAATTTTAGAAAGGTATTAGAAACGGGCTGAATTATAGCATTTGACAGTAATGTTTTTCATCGTTTGCATAAAACTTTGGATCAAAATGAGTCTTTTAAAACGAATGTCTAAGAGAGAGAGAATGAGAGACATGATTTATTTTTTTTTATTCATGCGAAATATTTGAGGTGTTACTTGTGATTGGTCCCTAAGATCAAAAAGCTTTCTTTTTGTCTACTTTTTTGCTAAAGAAGTTGGTAAAAAATGTTTTGAAAAACTCTCATTTTCTACTAAGACAACAACACCAGTGAAAGGTAAACATTTCTCTATTCACAAATATCTTGATGTATCTGTAAAAATCAACATTCTATCTTTACATTCACTTCTATTAAGTTGGATGGTCTTAAGAGATTATTACCCAAAAATTCTTGAATAATAAAAATATTTGTAGATTCTTCTTATTAAACTTTTCTCCATCTATGTAAGCACACACGCCTCTTGTATGTCTTTTTACTTTTTTATTTAAATTATCATGTTTATATCCATCATATACTTGCTAATCTTTTGAAGTGATATTTTTATATAAAAAAAAGTACTTATGTGTGAAATTCTTTGAATGCAATTCATTAGAAGAACTCGCCAAACAAGTTATTAATAAATTAATTTAATACTTTTAATCGAAAATCTATATTCAGAAGTTATTGACTTTTAGTGCCAATTGCAATTCACTGACGTAGCAAAAAATATTCACAATTTATCGTTCTTTTCTTGAACGATCGGACAACTTCACAAATGTCTTTGACATTCAGCATATACTCTACTAAGTCTATTATACTATTACATTCTCTTGCCGGGTGCGCGCCAATGAACTTTCTCGCTGTGATGTACAAACGCATAATTTTCAATAAAATTCTTATCACTTTTTTTCTTCTTTTTTTTATTCATTCAATCAACTTTGCATGATTAAGTTAGAAAACTATAAAAAAATATCTTTGAGTTCACTGTCTTTATGTTAGAACAGTTCGGATTATTAAAAAAAAAAGAATTTGATGTAAAAATATTAGATTCCCGGTTATCAATTATTGAATATTTACCAATCACTATGACTTTATATATTTCTAATAAGACCATGTGTTTGACCCACATAACACATAATTGAATACATGACTGAAATCTCGATTTCATTTCATTGAGAGAAATTTTATGATGACCTCATGAAGTATTTCATTGACATTGATAACTGCATTCAATCGTTGATGCCGGTAGATGATTTAAATTGTTATGATCCATACTCAAATTTATATAAAGCTCTTTTGTAATTGGAAATGAAAGCGAAATTATTGGATTGTATGTAAACACAAGAGCAAGATAATTTGGCACTTGAAACTCTGTCAGAATGTAAAGTTCAAGTTCAACAAAGATTATTGACGTGAAAATTACTTTTTTTTTAAATTATCATACACTTTTTTTTCTTCCCATCTTGTGACTTCACATTCATTAAATCGGATTTAATTTATTTTTTTTGAATGCAATGACACAAAAACTAACTGTTTATTCATCAATTTACCGCCTTTCTTTTATTAATTGAGATATTCTAGCTGCATTTTGCATTTGCAACAATTTATATTTGTTAAAATAACGTATACGTGCTTAGAATACAATTTACTAGATACTACGATGCGGCTACTACTTGATGTATATTATTTTCACTTTCAATCTACGAAATAATGTCAATGCACTTACTTAATAATAACTTTATATTGCTTTAAAATATTATTTTTTATTAAAAATTTAAATTTTTATTTTTTTTATACAACTTCACTTTTTTTTCTTGAATGTTCGTGTTGAAAGTTAAAAAATCGACTAAGCAGTTTTCCTACAAATTCGGCCTTATATATGTATGATTTGTATGGTGAGAAAATCATGTGTGTATGTTAAAGAACATTTCTCTCTTAGAATTTTTTTTTAAACGATTTCTTCTTTTTTTCATTGAGAATTTTCGTTTGGTAATGAGATACAAGATAGCAGCATAAAGTGCATGCATTTTCAACATGCATACATGATATTAAGCAGCTATTGAAACTATTATCATATGCAAATTCACATCGTAATACTAAGTAGAGTGAACTATTATCAGCGATTCTCTTATGAGTCATATTTTTGCATAATATTGGTACTGAAAGGAACTATTATTGTAAAACATAACGATGCACAACATGTTGCATAATTATGGTAGATCTTTTTATCACAGAACATGTGTAGTGAGGCAAAGTAGGTAAAATAAAAATCATGTCGTGACTTTTTACATTTTTTCACTATTTATATTCTTAATAAAGCATATTCTCTTCTTTCATTGTTATTCACTGTAGTCATATGATCAATTTTCCTCCTTCTTCTTATTTTTCATCAGAACTTGTAAATTCTATCATAAAATTTTTTTGAATTACACATTTCGTTAACCATGACTTTTAATAAATATAGACTTCCTCATTCAGAATCTGCAATTTAAGTCGCTATTATAAGTAATGATAAAAGATAAGACATATGCTTTATACTACTGTAAAGATGAGTATTGTGCTACGTAAACCCTCTCGAATGTAAATAACTGTTAAAGAAGATATTTCTTCATAAATAAAAACGTGTGTGGTTAAAGATGTGCCGGTGTTTATTATCGATTTTCTACACAAAACTTTTAAAGGAGTTATTAAGTTGTGATGCCAACCAATTAAGAGGCTAAAGGTGTCGATTACTTATGGATAACGAAGGCAAAAAAGTAGATTTTTAGACCCTTCCTTCTTTATTCCAAATTTGCAGTGTTTAAAGTGTCACCATGGATTAGTTAGGCCATGGATCACAATTGATCTGTACGGCCAGCGAAGTAAAGTGTCACCAATTCTTAGACCCTTCTGCCTTAAAAGCGTTACGTAATAAGTGAAGGTCCTAAAAGATGTAAGTGATTTTAAAAATTGATATGAACCCCAAATCTAAAAATAATTTATTTCGCGCATCTTTTGACTTCCTCCTTTGCTAATAGTTTATTAAAAGTCATTTGTTAACAATCCCCACTTTAAATAGTTTTTGTTTTAATGCGTTTAGAAAAAGAAAAAGTTGTCAGAATTTTGCTTCTTGAAGCTGCACAAAACAATATCAGTAAATGATGACATAAATGTAAATTATTTAATCAATTACCTGAGTAGTTTAACCGATATCAGATACTTTCACAATGATTTCAAGTATTCTTGAATGAATGTGCCTTAGTGACGAAGAAAAAAACAATAACCTTGTCCATAGTGATCGTTTCCAAAGTTAGATGCCATCGTTACACATATTAATAGCAACACCTTTTCACGAGAACTATCAAAAACTAGTGTATGGAGTAGAAACCCAATGCGGATATGGGGCCGTTCACTTATTACGTTCGTATTTTAGGGGGGAGGGGGGGGGGGTTTGAAAAATTGTAACCAAATGTAACATAGGGGGGGGAAGGATGTCAAGAAGTATGTAACGTTCTAACTGTCGCCTGTCTTTTAAAAAAAAGTTCACGAAAACCCTTTACACCCTAGTCCAAAATTGAAAATGTATTTCCTACTTGGTTCTTTGCTCAAAAAAATGTTAAGATATTTTATTTGTTTTTGTTGTAAGCACTAGAATATTTATGCAAAGTTTCAATCCATTTAGAAAAACCCTCAAAGAAAAAAGTAACAAAATTGATTTTGACAAGGGTCGCCCCTAGTCCAAAATTGAAATTGTATTTCCTACTTGGTTCTTTGCTCAAAAAAATTTTAAGATGTTTTATTTGTATTGGTTTTAAGCACCAGAATATTTATGCAAAGTTTCAATCCATTTGGATAAACCCTCGAAGAAAAAAGTGACAAAATTGATTTTGACTAGGGTCGCCCCTAGTCCAAAATTGAAAATGTATTTCCTACTTGGTTCTTTGCTCAAAAAAATGTTAAGATGTTTTATTTGTTTTTGTTGTAAGCACTAGAATATTTATGCAAAGTTTCAATCCATTTAGATAAACCCTCAAAGAAAAAAGTAACAAAATTGATTTTGACAAGGGTCGCCCCTAATCCAAAATTGAAAATGTATTGCCTACTTGGTTTTTTGCTCAAAAAAATTTAGGATGTTTTATTTGTATTTGTTTTAAGCACTAAAATATTTATGCAAAGTTTCAATCCATTTGGATAAACCCTCGAAGAAAAAAGTGACAAAATTGATTTTGACTAGGGTCGCCCCTAGTCCAAAATTGAAAATGTATTTCCTACTTGGTTCTTTGCTCAAAAAAATGTTAAGATGTTTTATTTGTTTTTGTTTTAAGCACTAGAATATTTATGCAATGTTTCAATCCATTTGGATAAACCCTCAAAGAAAAAAGTAACAAAATTGATTTTGACAAGGGTCGCCCCTAATCCAAAATTGAAAATGTATTTCCTACTTGGTTCTTTGCTCAAAAAAATGTTAAGATGTTTTATTTGTTTTTGTTGTAAGCACTAGAATATTTATGCAAAGTTTCAATCCATTTAGATAAACCCTCAAAGAAATTAATTTAAAATAAAAAAAAAATCACAGTGAACTTTTAATTTGAAAAATTCGTAAGAAAGGAAAGTTTTTTGCTTTTTCTGAAGCAACGGCTGTTCCTACCTTGCCCAAAAACAATACAGCTCTTCTATAGAGCAGCACGGATCAAATGTAAAAAACTAAAAGTCTCTACAATGTCTCGTTATTGAGATTTCTTGCTGATTAACTTGCTGATTAACTTGCTTGCTTGCTTGTTTGCTTACAGAAAGCGTATTTTGCGATTTTCTCAGCAATGCCGCAACCAATTTGAAATCTGTTTTTTGCAAAAGATGTGAAATTCAAGGCACAAACTTTTCATCTCTGAACATTTTAAGCTATCTTGCTCCATATCCTCACAAAATTCAAAAAACTGATTTTTCAATCTGAACAAAACCAATAGATTCACACGTGAAAACGGTGTGAATATAATAAATTATGAACGTTCAGTGGGGGGGGGGGGGGGGGGTGAGTTGTAACACACTGTAACAAGGGGGGAGGGGGGTGAAAAAAGTCGTTTTTTTGCGTAACGTAAAAAGTGAACCTATATTCACACCGTTTTACCGAAAATCTTGGGAATAGACCAAGCTTTGCTCAGCATATTTTTGAAGATTTAATGTTTGGCGGGTTTGATGAGCTTAACTAAGCATATATTTGAAGATTTAAAACTAAATGGATGTGCAAAACATTCTTAAAATTGTTTAAAATTTGTGTTCTTTTACAGTTTAATTGATAAAAGTCATAGTAAACCTTGGTTTTTAAAAAATCTGTAGATTTTATGCTTTTTAAGAAGCAACGGCTGTTCCTACCTTGTCCAAAAACAATACAGCTCTTCTATCAGGCAGCACGAATCTAATGTAAAAAACTAGAAGTCTCTACGATGTTTTGTTATTGAGTTGCAATTTAAATTTCTTGTTCTATTTCCTTATAAAATTCGAAAAACTGATTTTTCAATCTGAACAAAAAAAATCACACATCGATTTTTATATCCTATATGTTTCTATTACATCGATGGAAGTGGCAACAGACATTCGAAATTTCTATTTAAATATTTGAAACAACGCAAATGTTTCTCGAAACATTTTTAAGGTTTTCAAACACTTTTTTGTGCTCATACTGGTTTTATGAATGATTTTATTGAAAATCTTTACAAATGTTGAAATGGAACTGAAATTTGGTATAATGATTTAAAATAACGTTTGATTAAGATTAAACTTATGGAATAAATATATATGAACTAAAAGGTGGATGCATTTGAAAAATTTGATATGAATAATAGTTTTTATTAATAGCTTGTTCCTGTTATCACAAATCAAGAGTAAAAATCTAAAGGTAGCTTAAGCCACATTTTGTGAAAGTTACGGGAAGACACTTAATTTTTAACGAGTTATTATTTTTTTCTATTTATGAATATTTAAATTTCAAGGTAACTTCTAAGTATTAAGTTACATTGTCACGTTTTCACAATATTTAAGAAACTGAAATAAAATTCGCACAAACATCATTGATAGATTTTGTATACCTTTAGATTTTAATTCGTGAGATTAATTACTCAAAATTTTAAATAATGACGAAAAATCGCTGTCATTTAAACATAAAAAATTGTTTAACAAAGTTTCATAACCAATAAAGCACCTAGCTAGAAATATTTTTTCTCATGTATGTTTCTCGTTGTTCAAACATATACAAAGTTTAATAGAAAAAAATGAAAGGATTAATTTTTTATTAATTAAGCTCATTATATTCGCCCAATTTCCTATACGTATTAAAATTTATCAAAAACTACATATAATGATGTTTTAAGTAGATGAAGTATAATAAACCTCATTATTATATTCTGATAATTGAATTTTTATTTATGAATTAATGAATAGAAGTGTGAAAATAGAAACCAAACATGATTATTGAATTGCCGAAAAAAAAAATCTCATCAGTTAGATTTAAGCTATTGTTTGTTAATGATGGTAACAATTAAAAATGATTACAATTTCATCATAATGAAGAATAGTGTAAAATTAAAAGCCGTAAAGATTTTTTACACATTCGTGTATGTATTTACAGTTTTAGAGATGAACAAAAAAAAAATTATGGAACCTTATGAAATATCTTTTAACAGGTGCAATAGAAAATAAAAAATGCTTTTGTTATTAATGGATTCTATTTCTTTGCAAATTGTTTTTTCTTCTTTTTCCCTTTATCACGGCTGTTTCAATTTATATGCAAATTTTTTATATTCTCTTTATTTTTAGGAATCGTAATGGGAACATAATTT